CAGAGAACGATCTTTTAAAAGTCGACAAAATCCTAGGCCTGACTTTTTTCAAGGCAAGAAAAGACTTGGAAGGATTCAATACGGCGTTTTTTCAATTTACTGTAGCTGGGTTTTGTGCGCAATGGATTGTTTACAACTCCCGTGTATTCGCGTAGAAGCCGTTTCGTGAACTCAGCGTTTTCTAACAAGAAAATTTTGGCTCAAAAATCGAAGTTTATTTGTGACAAACAAATTTAAAAGGAAATGTTTGCAAAAATTCTACGTTTCAAGTAAACAGGAAAAAGAATGATACAAGAAGACCACGTCTTAACCTCGAACAACCCGAGCCGCCATTTTTGTCAGCACTTCATGCGAAGAACGACACAACAAACCCTTTTGGCTATAAACTTGGCGAGTCAAAAGAAAACAACAAAGCTCTACTTTTCTTCTCAGGTAAGGAAACAGTTCAAACTTTTAGCGGTTCCATTTAAGCCATTACGCTGTTGTTTGCGAAATGATAAGCTTGTGAATTGCTTTGTTTGAAAATTCTGCAAAGATCTATTTTTAAACTTGCGCGTGATTTGATCTGTCAATCAAATCGTACTTTTTAATGGTTTCCTCTCTGATTTTGTTGAGATCACCTCGTGTGTATATACTAAAACAATTATTCTTTTCAATCTCGGTGAATAGTGGCTTTGGGAATATTTACCTCGCCGCGGCTCGGTAAATATTTCGCCACTATTCACCTCGATTTCAAAGAATAATTGTTAATTATTCCCTTTATTTTATAATGCTAATAAGGCTTGTAAAACATGGATCCTAGCTTCAGTTGCATAAAACATAACGTCTCATGCATGTAACTGCTGACGTTACGCGTTAATCGTTAAATCAGACGTTACCATATTAGAAGGCTAAGCAAAGGGATTTTTTGAGTGACGCATGACAACCGGAAGTTAGTCTCCCTCGCAGCCGCTTTTTAGATGTTACGCAACGCTCCCAAAAAAAAGAGCGTTGGGGGAGCATTGCATGACATCCAAAAAACGGCTGCGAGGGAGACTAGCCGGAAGTAGGCCTTTTCCCTTTATTGCCAAATTTGTATCGCTGAGTGCCTTTACTCTTATGGAAACGATTTGCCCGAAAATTGGGCCGAAACACTGCCCAAGAATGCTAAAGTTCACTTGTGATTTACGTGCGTCGCTCAAAAATGTCTTTGCTAAAGCTCGGTCCCTGCTGTTGAGGCTTGTACCTAATTCCTCCTCTCGCAAGTAAGAAGAGTTGCACTGATGACAGTCAATCTGAAATTCTTTTCGACAAGTCATACAGCGTCTATCACCAGCATTATAGACGCTCTTCACTCTATATTTTCTTCACAAAGTATGCCGAAGGAAAATCTTTCGGCGAGGCTATCCAAATGCTGAAAACCTTTGACCAGTTCTTCCCAGTGCTTAAGGAATGGTGTCTTGTGACTCTTGATAAAATGTACTCTTGATACAATGCAGATTCCTTTCTTATACGCTTCGTAAAGGCTTATATCGTAAAACACTCGTTTGGTCGCTCTGACGTGGGCAAGAAAACTCGTTTTGGGCCGCAATAAAGTGTTTTCACTCACTTGGTCAGCGTCTATGCAAATTTATTGGAACAAAAGAAAGCGTTTGCATAAGAAAAGAGTTCAACTCCCACAGGATTGGTTTGGGACACCAACATGGCCGCCGTTTCATTGTTTTGGGACACCAATATGGCCGCCGTGACGTCATGTGAAAACAGTCTATACTTTTTTGTGGGAACTCTTTACCGCTTTTCCGCAAAAAATACTTTACATCACCATTGTGCAGAGGTTTGCCCTGCTACCACTTTTAAGGCGGAAAAGACCTTTGTTGGTCATTTAATCATTTCGCTCCAATGTTCATTTTGTAAATTGATAGTAAGAAGATCGCAGAAGAAGATTGCTAGGCTCAAAAGGTCAGCCAAAAAGGTTTCATTTGAATGGTAACACTTAAATATTCCATCAATCTAAAAGTTAGCTTGACGACTCCACACACAGGAAAGGCTTGGAGTTAATGGGCTAATTAAGAGGTTAGCCTGCGTAGCCGGCGGGATTGTTTGCGGACCAATTAGGCGAGGCACAATTCAAGTCCGTTTTTCTTTCCTATGCAGCACCGCAGTTGAGTGTAAAGGTGATTTACACGAGAAGATTGGCAACGACGATTTTTAGCGCAACACAGCGTTGCAACAGTGTTGCGACATTGGTTTGAATAGTTACAACATTGTTCCAACATTGCGTCGCTGTGTTGCGCTAAAAATCGTCCTTGCGAATCGTCCCATGTAACATCACCTTAAGGGTTACCGCCTTGCGAATAACAAACAAAAAGTAAAAATTAGTTCCTAATCACATTATCTTTTAGAAAATGACCAGACCAATTAGGCGAGGCGCAATTCAATTCCATTTTTTTCTTTCTTTTGTAGAACCTCGGTAGAATCTAGGTTACCACGGTTACCACCTAACGAATAACAAACAAATAAGTAGTAATTAGTTCCTAATTACACTACCCCCTAGAAAATGACCGAACCAATTAGGCGAGGCACGATTCAAGTTTGTTTTTTCCTTGTAGCACCGCGGGAGCTACCAAATTGTGTAGCCTTAATTTCAGCCGTTCAAACAAGTCGCTCACTGCCTAGGGAGACAATCGTATGTATGCTGTCTCGAGGAGACGACTGAAAATATACGCATGGTAAATATCCTGATTTATTTTTTTTGGGAGTTCTCGATTGAAAGGCAACGCTGAAATTATGGCTTATTGGGGTGTGGTCAAGGCGTGGTCCCTTTAAGACTTTCAATTTTTTGCCACTAATTGGATAATCCCCTTAGAGAGAAACCGAGCGAATCAAAATAGTGTAAAATTTCCAGCGAGTATTTTTTCGGCCAATCATGCCAAAGTGTGTTAATTAGTGTTGGAAAATACGAATAATAAACCAGATCAACAATCTACTTTTGGTCAGACATACAAGTAAGAGATTGTTACTCGATCAAATAATTTTCATTGAATAGTTTTGTGAAGGTACATAGTCCCCTTATTACCTCCAGAAAAGGTATTTGCCATTACTAGTCCTATAAGCTTACGCCCATGGATTTGTATAGCAAAAAAAGTGATTTCCAGAGCTCTTCCTTGAACGAACGATGTGGTCAGCCGCGGGTACAAAGAAAAGAAGTTCACAGTAGAGTCACTGCGTTTTCAGAGTCCATTGGTCATTCAGTGCACCCAACACAGCAGAAAAATAATCGGCGATGTTCTTACCAGTTGCCAGAATATTTTTGCGAGGAAGCAAGTGCTGCAGCTGACCAGTATCAAGCAGATGGTGGTATGAGACGGCCAAGAATTCCAAACCCACTGGCAAGACCTCTGAGATGTTTTGGTCAGGAAGCAAATTCGCTGTCCCATCAGCACCAGAGAAAGCCCTGGACGAGTAGATGTTTACATCTTCAACAGGCAAGCAGTCTTAAAGATTCTGACGAAGTGAAGAATAAACGAGGATACCTGCTTCAGCAAAACAAGCCAATAAGGCCGGCTAAACCAAGATGTTCAGGAAATTCATATCTTCAAGCAAATGCCTATGGATATTCATACAACCACCAGCCAGCAAAGCAGGGACTAGAAACACCAACCAGAAGCAGGCAGCAAAACCAGGTTTTGACAATGGAATGGAACAGCAAAGGGCCGATTCTACCAGCAGTACCGCACAGCAGCACTATTCAAACATGCTGGATACAGAATTCTGTTGCCGTCCGTCGATGTGGCCGACAAGAAGTTGGTGAAAAGAAGCACCTCTACCTTGCGAAACGAAAAGAAATTTTTCATGCAACGGAAGAAAGGCGGAAACAACGGATATTTCTCAGCGTCTTAGCCAAACGATTTTAAGCATGTAATAACTATTTGGCCCATTGTCTTGTTCCAATTGCAATACGCAGTCAACATTAGCCTGTGGGAAAAGAACTGGGAATGAAAGTTGCGAGTTCGAGTAAGAATTGTGAGTTTGTGAGAGCTTAGAGTTCAAAGACAACTTTTTTTCTTTACAAATGTATTAACAGTGATGTATCAAGAGAAAAAAATTTTCCTTTCCTTTCTCATTTTCTCTTGGGAGAAATCTTTGGCGTAGTAGCCGCGTGAGCAAGCGGGAGCTGAAAGTTTTCTCCAAGGCCTTAACTCCAAGGCCAAATTTTGGCTCTTGCGCATGCGAGATAAACAAAAATGAATGTTAACTACATCCAATGACAGAAAAAATTGCAAACAATATCAAAACTCTTATTTATAGCCAACTGTAGAAGGCCTAAATGTAACAAACGACCCAAAATGCAATAAAGTCCTAAATGTAAAAACATTTTGCCCTAAATGTAATAAACTCTTAAGAGCCTCAGGCCATGTGTAACTCGTCATCAATGGCGAAGGTAACACGGCATTAAAGAGTTGTGTCATGGCTGTCTTCTTCATTATTATGATGTTGGCAGTTATCGTATTTATTCGAATAAGCGCCGCCCTCACTAAGCACCCACCGCCCTCGATTAAGCGCCGCTCTCAAATAAGCGCCGCATTTGGGAGAAAAACTTTATAAGCGCCGTGGCTCTAATATGATCCAATAAAAAGATGTTCATTTTGTTTAAAACAGAGAATTAGAAAAGGGCGGCTTTTGACATCGAACACTTTTCAAGTACTGAACCTAATCCCTTGAATTAAGTACATAAAAAGATCGACGTTTGAATCAATAGGCTCTTTGCATGACTGTGATCACGTGATCAACTTTCGGTAAACACGAAAGCAAAAAGTAGCGATTTCAACGGTCTAGAGCTGAAGAATACGCCACGCAGTGAATACTTAGATGTCAAATACACACAAGTTATCAAACGTTCTCATGCATTTATATTTCTTTCAAATTTGTACAACGCTTTCATGATTCACAAACTCTCTAACGTACGCCAACAGTTTTAAATACAATATTTAAACCTGATAATATTAGTATATACAACAGGAATAAGGTCTGAAAAACGGACCTAGTTATAAATTTCTTTGTCTGACGATTCTACAAAATTATGATTGATACGTCAGAGCGTGGCTTTTTTCTACGGCACAGTTCTGTTGCTGGTCCTTGTAGTCTATAAATTTAAGTATGCACTTGCTATGGTCGTTTGAACATCTAGCAATACACTTGACCAAACCTGTTACTTAGTCCCAACCTATTAAGTTAATACTGACAAGCTACATTGTAGCTACTTAAAATAGACGCACGCACCTAGCTAACACACATGCTGTGTACAATAAGGTTTGCTTTGTGCTTACTCCTACAATATTATCAATACGATTTTAAATGCTAAACTGCTAAACGCAATTAACACTGACATTTGCGCCTTAAGGGAGAATTTAGTGAAACAGCCCATTCCCGCTGGACAATTAAATACATTTTAGTTCAGTCCTATTAAACTAAAATATGAAATGAAAATTATTATTGCAGATAATCAGCGCATTCTGAAGAGGGCGCGGCCGGTGTTTTGCTTTCGCTTCATCTAAGGAGGGCCTTAAACTGATTGGGCGTTGAAATTAATTTGAATGACCACAAACGTGATTTGCTACATGCGGTTTCGCGTGTTTGGAGCCAACTGAATGAATTTGTTTTCAACAGTTCTGGTTGATTTATTGAATGAGTATTAGTTGAGGTTTTCCAGACTGTAACTCCATCGATTTTTATAATCCGCAACCGAAAAGAGTTCTTGAAGTCAGCGAAAACATGATTGACCTCAAGTACCACAACTGCGTGTTTTAAATTATTAGAGCTGTTTCTCTCTCCTTTTTTCTTGTACAAGACCGTAGTAAGGAAATTAAAAATGTTCATGTATAGCATAGTGCTAAAAAGGGAAACGGAGATGCGCATAGTCGCTCAAAATTTTGATTAAATAAGAAAAGAAGAGAGCACTTCTTCCAAACAATCGATTTAACAGAGTGGTAAAAGGGCAAATGAAACAGTTTTTTACGCCTGCTTACTATCAATAAATGAATATTTGATCTAGTTCTGGTCTCAACTAGAGTTAAAAACGCTTAGCAACAAGTAACAACTACATAATTTTGATTTCATTTAAACTGTGTTCAAACTTTCTTTTGTTTGCTGTCAATCATATATAGATTTGACAGGAAGTCATTGGAAAGACACGAGGAATATCTGTCTCTTTCTCTGTCGCTGAGTGGCTAATTTCCGATAATAAAATGCAGCTCACTTCCTGGTGAATTGGCTTCTAGTCTGTTGAAGAGAGATTTCCATGTTTGTAAAACTCCAGACTATAACTGTAAGATTCGCTTATTAGCGGAGGTAACAATGTCCGGTAACTAACGACCCTACACGGGACAAAACGACGAGTTTAAATCCTGCGCTCTAAAGCTACGAACGATGTGTCTTGTAAGATCACGTTACGCGATATAAGTCTCTCACCGTCGACGGTTTCAAGGCTTGTTTTTGGCTACCACATTGTCAAACTGATCTCGCCATACTGGGAATCCCAACGATAGTATGCACGGACCACACCTTTGCTAATCTGTAGCTGGCACCGCCATCTTCCATGGTGGTTCAAAGCACTCGTGACATACGTAAAAGTTTCTGATTCGAGGCGATTCTCTTCTCGGAACTTGTAAATTTTATGGCCGATTTCGTTTGGAAGGAATGTTGTACGCCTACGATGCGTGCAGCGGAGGCGATAGAACAGCGTAACGGAGTCATTGTTAACCCAATCACCTTCAAAACAAAAAAAAATGGGAAACAAAGAGATTACTCACAAATATCGTCAGTATAGGATTCTGGAAAGCTACCCACCTAGCCCTTCCCTAATCCAAGTTTAACACAAACTTCTCACTTAGGACTAAAGCATTTTTTTTTTGGGGGGGGGGGGGGGTGAGTAGTTTGCCAAAATCTTATGATGATTTAAATATATTCTTCAAAGTACAGATTTAGTTACAGAGCGTTTTCATATGACTTCACGTCCACCATTATTGGTCTACCACAACATTATGTTGGTGTTCCAAACCAATCTTCTAAGAGGTGAACTTTCTTTTGTTTCAATAAATTTGCAGAGCTGCTGACAACGTGACTGAAAACGCTCTTTAGCCTCGTACCCAAGTACTCTGCGAGCAGAGGCTACATTTTCGCGGTATGTAGCCTCTGCTCTCAGGGTAGTACCCAAGAGGAGTCAAGTCTAAAGAATTTTCTTTACCAATTTCTGCACTGAAGCGCACGTACCAAATCAGCGGTATGGCCAGTACATTACGCATGCGCACAACCATATCAGCCCGGGAGTAGCAGCCATGGATCGCTGGGGCTATCCGTCTCCGGGCCGGCGCATCTCACAAGTAGGATATTGGCATGATGGTGTGTGTGTGTGTGTGGGAGTGGGGAGAGGGGGGGGGTTAAGTCCAGACTTGTCCCGTTTGGGTATTACACTGTTTGATGCCCACTTTCCAGCCTTTCCAAATCACTTTTTATGAAATGACAATATCAGCTAGAAAAACGTGGAAAAACCTAGAAAAGCCAAACAGCATTGATGACATCGCTGCACTTGCACCTTCGTCACCGTCGTGACATCTTAAACTCTTTGTTTTATGACTTAAAGATTTTAAAAGTGGCGAGAGAAAGTCACTTACCACCAACATGAAGAGTATATGTCACAGGTGCTACAACTTTCACGTGGAATTCCCCGTTTGCAGAAGTAACGTCCTGAAATCCGAACATGTGCTTTTCGGAGGTCCAGTGGCCAGAGGTAACATAAATCACCTGGGTTGGGACATTGTATTCGCAATTGCATACCCGAAGGATACGATCCGTGCCAGGAGGTCCCTGTTTCCCAGGGTTCCCGGGTTCCCCTTTGGCTCCAGAGGGACCAGGAGGACCCGACGGGCCCCTCATGCCTCTTGGGCCTTCTTTTCCTCTCCAACCGGGGGTTCCGTTGGTACCATTGGTCCCCGGTTGTCCGGGGCTTCCCTTCCTCCCTCGCCGGCCAGGTAATCCAGGATCACCTTTTTCACCTCTAGCGCCTGGAATTCCGTTGAGTCCATTTCTTCCTGGGGGTCCACTTGGTCCCTGAGGGCCTGTATGCCCTGGGATTCCTGTAATTTAGTCGATAAGATATTAGAGAATCTCGTGACTTTATGCATTTGTTCTGTTGGTTTGTGTGTATGTTTCTTTGTTTTTCACTGTACATTCGCATAGAAACTTTAAGCATATCAATACAGCAGTACCAGTGATGTCACGATGACGTCACATATAATCACTCATGCGCCATCTTGGATCTGCCACTTTGAATTAATTAAATGTATTCCATTTTGCTTGAACCAATATAAATCCAGGTAATCGTGACATAGAATTTGATCTGTGTTTAATTAGAGGATGCTTAAGAAGAAAAAAAATAATAACAATAATGAAATTTGCCAGTAGTGAATGAAATTATACTCAACATCCGCCTTTTGTTGGTCATTTTAAATTCACGTAATTTCTTAAATTAGTCACTAAAAATCCTGGGCTACATTAACCATTATCAAATTTGACAAAATGATATTAAATGAATTGGTATTTAATAATAATAATACTTCAATAGGTTTTTTTCAGAAGCAAATTTTGCAAAACATGGCTGCCAAAGCTCGGTTGCCATGGTAACTTAAATGCTGACCTACGCGTCGCAATGATAAATCTTAGGAAAAATCGCAAAGTTTGGCGGTCATAGCCTGAACAGATTCGAAGTTAAATTAAACTTTAAACATTTTTTTTTTTTTTTGGGGGGCCTAAAAAGCCCCACCCGGTCTGAATGGGGTTAAGCAATACACTGGCGTCTTTCCGTTGTTTCGTCCCTTCTTTCTTCCGGTGAGCTGGTTGATTGAGATAGACGCGGATTATTTCGAAGAAGTCGACTGCCACTAGTGTATTAATCTTGAGTTGCATAGCCATCCGAAGACTATGCAAGATTTAGTAATGCGCATGTATAAGGTCATATCCACGTACTTAGTAAAACTAGTGATGTGGTTGTGGTAAAATCCATAGGCTTTTAGTAAAAAAAATAATTGAAATATCCTTTCACACAAACGGGTGAACAAAAGTTAATTATAAAAAGTTATCTTTCAATGTAGGATTGTCCGACTTCATCAAGTCAAATAGGAGGGTAACTGGAGTCTAAAAATGCTATTTGAATACATAAACTTTTACAGGATTTTTTATTCGATTTCAGCTCTTGAGATCTGTAGATAAAATCATATGGTGTGACTATTCAAATGAATCAGTCCTCTCAGACAGAACGTTCATTCTTACACTGGCGATACCACTGGAGCTCTAGTATTGTGCAAAATGAAACTAAGCGCTTCCCTTGATTTCTGCCTTAGTCATTACCGCGTGAGTGAAGTGATAGATTAAAAGTAAATGACTCCACATTAGGAGCTGATAGTACTAAGGAGTCATAAAGGATTTCAATCCTTGACTAAGTATACTCGAAGACCACCGCCTTATGAACCTTCTGGCGAGGAGGGAACAAAAAATGACTTAATGCAAAACATATCATTCAAAACTGTCTTGATAGTTGTACCTTAAGTGGCTAAGACTAATGCCACCTTGTACAGCCGCAATATGAATGGTCACGCTTCAGGATTTCAAAGTTAAGAGCCGCAAAATAAACTCAACACGGCACCTTTACGACTGAAATGGACAGGCATTATTAGGAATAGCCCAGATTTCATTTGGTCATGAATGAAGTCACTTTACGCGGCGCAATACCAAAGAGAAGTTCTTTTTTTGGTTTCCATGTGCCGGAAGAATGACATTTTCTTTTACAAACGCATCCAAAAAATGAAAAAAGCCATGATGAAAACGCATCAATAAAAAGGAAATACGATGGCGAGTTAAGGATCCTGGAAAACCACCCATCTTTCATCCTCCTTGTTCCATCGCTCTCATTTCTCCTTCTACGCTTTTAGACTTTTTAGCATCTAAGCATGAAAATACATCTGTAGCTGTTCATTTCTATTGTAAGCAATGGTAATTATTCTCCCTTTTCTATTCATAGCAGTATTGATTCTTGATTCTCTATTTAAGGGGAAGTTTTTTAATTTTTTTTTCCAACTGAAGTATACTTTACAGAGGCCTTTCATGGGTCACCTTTTGCGATATGTTGGTTTGCAAAAACAAAATCTTTATTGAACACGTGGACTGACAGGATTGATTATGCGTAGATAAGAAAAGACAAATTTACAAGCCTTCGGCTCTAAAAGCTGTTTCGTAAAGATTCGTAATAATGGGAAAATATCGTTCTCTTTGGTTACAAAAGTGTGACGGGAGATCTTTTGACTGTAAATGTTCTGTTGAAAAGAAAGAAATCATAGAAGATAAAGTTGAAAGGAATTGTGTTTGTATGCATCAGTAAATCAAACTTAACATGTTGTAAAATATTGGCACATTGATTTCACGTGCGTATAATGTGTTTCGCCTGAAGCTAGCGACCTCTTGGCTCTCTACCTTAAAAGAGGGTGTCATAGTTGCTATGGTAACATTAAGTGCTTACTCGCCCTGGCTTAATTCACGCACCAAAGCTCCTCCCATATTAGCAATATTCAACTTATTTTCGTTCTAAATGTTGCTGGCTTTTTGAAAACAGTCCTTGACTGTGATTGGTAGTAAATCGAGGGGCTGAACTTTAAACAAGTCAACAAGTAAAACTAACGTTGAGCAAGTCAGTACCAAATGAAATAACAGGACCCTGTTGAGCTTTTGTCAAATTTGTCATTCTCTTAAATTATTTACAATTTCATTAATTGAATTTAGCTGCAGGTGACCGTGATGTGGGAATAAATTGCAATTGGAGAAAAGACGTTTATTAAATAAAGCAAAACAAGAGTCGTTTTTGTATCTTATACCTCAAATCCAAAAAATCTTCCAACGGGCGCCCAAAAATTCGTCCGAAAAATTTTACGCCCGAATATCTTATCTTCGGAAAAATTAGTCGGTAAATAAAGAAATGACGGGAAGGTTAAGTATCTCTAGACGGAACCAAAACCTTCAAACCGCCTAAAGCCATTAGTTTAACCACTGCTTTTAAGCTTTAAAGGATATGCACCTACAGCTGTCTTTTGAGTAGGCGTTGTTGTGTGACTTTACTTTGTTGTTCTTTGTTTACTAGGTTGTTCTGTCGTGTTGGGTTCAAACTTTGCAGCCTTAGAGGACATATGTTCAATAAATTAGCAACCTTCAAATGTTGTATTTTCATAGTCTATTGACCCCGAAAGTTTCTAGAACAAACCGACTTTCAAGTTAATTGCTTTAAAATTGTGCAATCTTTTTTGTTCCAAGTTTATTCGTGGGTGAGTGGTACGTGGGTACGCGGGTAGGTAGGCTCTTAATTGGTAGTTGAATTAAGTACCCACGTCACTGCACCTTTGAAAAAGAAAAATCGAGCCCCAGTTTGTTGACTTGATATTGCCATTTACGTTGAAAAATTGCTTACCAATATACACTTAATTGCATTTTTAAAATTGATTGGAATATTTTTATCTAGTTTAGCAAAACTAAAGGCTTACTATTCAAACCGAAAGCAATATTTTTTCGTGTTTTCGTGGATTTATATATAAAGTCTGATTTGTGAAGGACATAAGTAATATTTGACAGTTTCTTCGTTGACCTGTTAGTCATTTTTTGTGCACTTTTTTTTGTAAACTTTTTTGTTCAGGAAATGTGGCAGTGACTTACAAAAAACGGAAAGTAGGGCTGCTTATTTTACGTCAATTTAATATCTGATTCTGCTGTCATTGCATGTCATGCATGTGATTTTGAGACGATTTGCACGAGAAAAAGGAAACGTAATAACAAACGGTATATAAATGATGACTCTGACGTATGGCTCTGAGGTTTGGAGCATCTATGATAAAGATGATTGTTATTCATGGGAGAATGATATGATAGAGACTCAAACACAAATTCGATTCTGTAAACAAATTCTAGGTATGAATAAACAGTTTCCAAATGTTGTATTCAGAAATGAACTTGGACGACAACTACTGAAGGAAATAACTGACGTAAATAATATTATCAAGTTTTGGATACATTTACAAAACAAACAAGTTGATCATTATTCCAAGCAATGTTTACAAATATCAAAAGATATGGCTGAGAAAAATTTGTTTTTAATTGATAACAACTCCTCAACATATATATAAAGAATATGCAATTATCTCTGCGTGAGGAACCGACGTCACACCAATATAATCCAATAAGAAGTAGCAAGAAACTAAAATTCTACTCAATATTCAAAAATGACAATCACAGAAGTGATTGCTTGTACATAATCACCAATATAAATCACAAAAAAAAACACTGAATAAATTCAGAGTTAACAACCATCGCTTACAAATTGAAACGGGCAGACATACCTTACCGAAAACTCCAGAAAATCACTCTATTCAATTGTAATTCGATCTAACTTTTACAGAAACATTAGTAATAGATATCTCCTTTTCAATGATTTTGACAACAATGAAAAAACCCTCTTCATATTTAAAAATGTCGATCCTTATATCTACAGACTTACAAGTGCTTACATACATTCATGTATGAAATATAGACAAAAACTTGTTCTTTAATTATAGCCGTTATTTTGATTTAAGGTTTATAACATAAATAAGGTAGGTAATACCATGTACTCACTTGGGAATACTAAAATAAAGTTTTCATTATCTGCTACATACATTTAATTAGTTACAGATATTTTTGGTTGAGAGAGTTCCCGACAAACGTGGTGCTGTTCATTATGACGTGCACAACCATTTCTTTTAAATTTAGGCGTAAAATGAGTGAATGAACTGGCCCCTTGGGTAAATGCTGCTCTGCCTCAGTTGTAAGTGTTGTTCTGGGCAAATCGAGCTCAGTGAATCCTTAAAGATTGCTCCAATATAGTTCAGTTTAATATGCTGTGAGACTATGTTGACACTGTCCTTTTAATCGACTGAATCAGTTTAAAGGGTCTTTTAAAGTGTTACCATTCAAATGAAAGCTACCGAGCAGTATTTTCCTGAGGTACTGTTTATTATGTTGTAGAGGTGGTTCTTTCTTTTGAGTCAGGGTGGGTGAAATCCTAAAGTGTGGCCATTCAAATGAAAGCTACCGAGTAGTACTTTCCAGTGATGCTGTTTATCATGCTGTAAACGGTGGGCCTGACTTTTTCGAGTCCGTGACGGAATGGAATCTTTAATCTGTGTCCCATTTCAATTTATGTTACTACTGGGGCATTGCCACAATAAAAGTATGAGCAAGTGTCGTTTCTCTTACAGGAAAGAGTAATTCACACGAAATTTTTGAAGAGAGAAATTTTTTTAAGTGAATTATTGAAAGGGGAGGAAGCGAGTATCATGTAGTTTGGTGATTTTTCTTCCTTAGAAATGGTGACAGAACTCGTTTGGAAAGTTTTCAAGTTGAACTCATTTCTTCGTAATCAATCGCCACATTAATCCATTGAATAATCTCTGTGCTGGTATGAGTACCTCTTGACAAAAACCCAGTCGGTTAAACAGCCGGTTAAACTCTAAGGGCCATTTATTTAAACGTAGTTTAGCCAGTGCTTAACAAAACCGCGTTCAAAGCCACTTTCAATTTGCCCAATGGTTTTGTATAAACACCACTTATTGTGAAACGTTTTATGAAAGCATATAGAGTAGATCAGAAACGCATTTATCTTCTTAAAAGAACCCACTAAGGAAGAGACCTGGAGGTCCAAAGATTTGTTAAACTGGTCTTAAGTTAGACTTCGTTTAAATAACCCACTCTGAAATTCTTGCCAATGCATCTTTGGATTTTTTTTTTTATTATTTAATTACGTGACAAATCTTCATAAGTAATCACTACTTTAGCACCATTATTACTGAGAGAAAGTTTAAACGTACTTAATTTGATAATAAATCTTACCATTTCTACCAGGAGTGCCTGGAATTCCCTAAATGAAAAAAAGAAACGGTCATTAGAAGCAATATAATACAACTCACTGCATGAAATCATCGCTTAACGGTCACTCAGTCAATGCAAAGTCGTACATGGAAAGTATAACAAAGAATACGGCTTTGTGTCAGTGATATCTTCGTCCATTTCTGCAAGTCTTAACGTCAAACAGCTCCTATTTGACGCTCGGCTTAACCAAAGTCTTTAGTAGCAGTTTCGTTTGAGATTTCGTGCAACTGGCCACAAGTTATGCCAAGAAAAGTTTCCGTTATTTTTTAAGCACATCATTAAGGTTATTTTGAAAAGAATAAGTAAGCTCAAATGTTTAAGGACTGAGCATTGAGCATTATACATACTGAATGCAATCATATTCACTACACTGCCATTACATGCTACTGCACTGTCATCGCATCATTGGTGATGTCGTAAAACGTCTTTATATGTTCTCCATGTAAGCGAAAATCATTGCACCACGTTACAGTGGAAGCTTATCAATTAATTGGCAAGCTTGAGTCACTCTCCAGTTATATCTTGTTATATACAACACAGTCTCAAGAGAAAGGATACCAAGATTTGGGCAGCATTTTGCAGTTTGCACCGAGGAATAAACTGTCGTAACCGCCATGAATTTCTATCGAATAACGTCTTGCCGACACTATTTAACCATGACAAATATGCATAAAACCACACTATAATTTTTCTTGTTGACAGTCTCAGAGCTCCCACATCCGAGTTTTCTCGACTCCAAGGAAAGATTCAGGCTCGAACCAAGAAAAATAAGAATATCCAGCCAGCCTCGCCTCAGAATTAGACGCCCTATCTAAAAAGAGAGGGCAGTTTTTCTAGAAGTTGGATAGAGTGGTTAAGGGGCTATGTGACTAAGATTTTGTGGTTTAAGGTCATTTCTGTGGTGATTTTATTATTTAATGCCTTTACACCCATACACAAAATGTTCCTGTAAAGTCATATCAAACAAATTTTGCTAGGGTGAACCAACAATGATAATTGTTTGGTGATTTTTGCAGTCATGACATTAAAACTAGAAAATTGTGGCTTAATGTTTTCAAGTGTCAATACTCGTCCAACCCTGCCATATGCCTAAATATAGTCTTAATTAACAAAACTAGACTATTATTTTCAGCGGAATTCGATTATGGCGAAAAATGTTTAAGCTTTTCAGGTAGCCCATTTAACCATATATAATTCATATGTTCACCAATCACATCGGGCCACATTTTAATTCGATTGCGTCTTGGCATTGAGTCGCGCCCAAAATAAGCCCATGTCAAGCCAAACACCTGATGTTCGACTGCATTTGAATACCCACTCCTGCGTTTCACATGGTAGTTGTATTGGGATGTATTGCATGTCAGTCGTTCCTTCGTTGAGCAAGTTTCTTTTTAGGAGCTTTGTCGTGCCACGGCGTTTAGTTTGAATAGACAACGTGCCATTTGATTTATTTCGCTAAAAGAAAGCGGATTCAGTCGTTCATGTGCCCATGGCACAGCTCGCTTTTACCCTATTTTCGACGCGAGATAGTCAGGACCGCCAGTGTCGACATCATATTTCCGTTTTCAATATATCCTTACATCAGTAAAAAGTGTTTAGCATGGCCTCGATTTAAGAATCTTTCGCCCTAGCTTCGAGGCTAAAACTTATCGCCCGAAAAAGAAAAAGATCACATGTGAAGAAGCTTCGCTTTTCACATTACATCAGAGTTACACGTGATGTCACGCGTGCCTTCTTCATTTAAGTCTCACTCAATATTCCCCACAAAACAATATTCGACGTTTCCTAACAGCCATGAAGTTTTAATTTTTCATAAAATAGACTTTTTTTCTCCCTTTAGCCGTAAAATATCCTGATACACGGTACGCAGGTTAGAAACAATAAGTTAAACAGTTATCCCTGTTTGTTTGTATTTTATTAAGAACCATGCTGAGAAGTGCGAACTCAACCTTGACAAGCTCCAATCCCTCCCCCATTTTTTCCCACAGGTCCGCCTCCAGCCTCTCCTCCCAAATATTCCTTTTCTGTACACAATGCATCAGAATAACTCTTTTACGTTGTTTATCAAGTACAAATTGCTCTTATTAACTTAAACTTTTGAAGAATGATAAAAAGCAAGCTCTTATAAGAAAATTTACAGAATTCGTGGAAACAACACGAATAATTGAGAGCATTTTGCTCGCCGCGAAGATGTCGGTTTTCTTTGATTTCCGCCATTAGCTTGGAGCGAAGGAAGAAATCGAAGCTTGCATTTTCTTTTATTAGACGATTTATATTCCTGTTTGAAATCATGTAGTGATTGAGATTCTCAGTAGTCTTAGTTTTCGATATCTTCGAACATGATTTTCAAGTCTAGCAACCTGAATTATATTACTTCCTTCCATTAAGTTTACAACAATTAGCGGCGAGAAAACTCACGATCATAGATATTGCAAACTAGAGCAGATAACAGACTACACGAACAATGCAAAAACCGCAAAACTAGGTGCGTTAGGAAGAGCAGGGCTTAGAGAAACGAGGAATGATTTTAATTCATAAATCATACTAAACAACAAACGATGGATACTCTTCTGTCGAATCAGTGAAATCGAGTTGTAAGTGAGCCGCTATCTTGCTTCATTGCGCAGTTCTTGAAACACTACCCAAGTTCTCCATCGAATAATGCTATCTTCATGTCTTTCACTAAGATTTTCATACTAGTTCCTCAGTAACAATTATCTGTATGAATCAAAGGTTTTCCATAAAGTCTTTGCGCAATTTCTTTCGATATCTAGTAATGGCAAAGGAAACCGCACGCTGTTTATAAATTCACGAGAGAGAGGTCATCAACTGCCTTTTCCGCTCCGCGAGTCTGTCAATTACAACTTTACACAAAATCTCACAAACTATTCTCACGCACCTTTAGACACCTCTTTTCTATGGAATAATTTTTCCCAATTAATTACTCTAGTCCTGTTGACTAGTGTTCCAAAACATTCTTCACAAAGAAACGAATCATCACTATGGCCTGTTACGAGTTCTCTTCCTCTCATCTTTGACCGATTCGATCCCGTGACAGTTTTGCTCTTTAATCAAACACGTAAGACGTTTTCCTTTTAGAAACATTTTTAAACTGCTACCAAGTAAACATGCTTTACAAAGACCTTCTACTTTCTGTGTCTAAATTATCACTTTTGCATTGTATTTTTTCCTTAGCGGAGACAGTACAAAAGCATCGAGCCGGACAGTGCTGTCCGCGAACTATCTTTGATACGAGGAACTCGTGGTGTCCACAGCTGACTTAAATATTTACTTTTTGTTTAGAACTTAAATAGCATTTATTCTCTGGTTTTAGGCACTGTCTTCTTTTGATATTGTATTAGAATGAAGATGATAAATAAGTTTTTTATGTAACACTGACGACTTAAAGCCTTCTCTACGTTCGAAAAGGACTTGTACTTTATCGTTATAAACCCCTTCGAATGCCGCGGTGAACTTAAGCTAACTTTTCAGAGTTTGTAAACTTTGCTTGTTCGTTCGAATTTTCGAACGCACTTGGAATATTAATTTTGCTCTTCAAACTCGTATGTTGCGGATAAAAGGACGAAAATAACTACCATGTCAAGAGTTTGTGTTACGCTATATTGAAAGCGTGCTATTGAGCAGAGCGAGTTAGCTGATACATGAGGAGAACTTGAATGTTCGAGCTACGAGTGTCAACACTGTAATGAAGATCAACACAACAACTTTTTTTAACTTTGCGGGCACGAGTTCTATGCGCTACTTTGCTCAAATAATGCTTCTTTGTTTACAAAGTATGAATTTTAAACAGCTACACGTTTGAATGAACGTGTAATAAAATGTTTTTTCTACTCACACAACAAGTTACGCTTTTGCAACGGGAACTTTCAGCCTCCTGAACAGTTGAGTTTGTTGTCTGGCATAAACTAAAAGGAAAAAAATGACTTGTTAGTTGAGAAAAAGAACGAAAGAAGAACGAGTTGTTTAAGCCTTCTCTGCGTTGTTCCGCTATGGCACTTTCTTTCACTCTGTGTAGCAGTTTAAGAGTCTTACGACTCCAGCTTTAGAGCGCATGAATTCTTTATTTATCAGCAACATCGTATTATGAAAGGATGGGAATATACTTACCTTAGTGTTGGAAGTCGAGAGCACGTTGTAACCAGCAGCAAAATTATCACCACGTAGTTTGAGAATTCTGTCATGGTTGCCAGAGCAGTTGAGGTGCAACGCAAAGCGAACTCGGTCTCGTCTGAAATTAATTCAGAATTCAGGTTGTAGCTTGTTGTAGCTCATCACCTTATTACCGTAATAAATTCACTTCAAAAATCAACGGCGCATAACCAAACCGCCGATAAACAAGTAAGCCCGGGAAACAATACCGAATTCAATGTCTAACACATTGTGTTCACCACAATTAAAAAATGGTTCGTTCAATTAGAACTGGCCCTCCAAGATGACCTTGAACAAGGATGCATCGAATTATTCTCTTGTGCAAATTATCTTGCAGCTAATATCACAAGGAACTAAAAAAAAAACATATGTTGGCGCAGCTCAGGGATTCGCGAATTTGGCATTCAGGAGTATAAATTGCGTACATGCCTAAAGATAGCTGTCCAATATGACTAAAACGTTTGCTAATTGCCAGAGATGCTTGTTTTTTATTTCTCATGGACTATGAAACGATTAGAAGCAATAAAAGCTATAACTGACACTTATATCTGTGTAATCCGGGGGTGAATTTGCATAGTAATTATTTTCGTACACTCGAACAGAAAACTATGACTTGCGGGTTTTCGTGAATCTCAGCTGTAATTCACACATACGTGTGAAAACGTACTTATCAGCTTCATGTGGTTGATAAGTTCTAATGAATACCTCTTGAATTAGAATGTACTAATCCGATTTAGTTACTTGGGTACATTTCGGCACATCGTGGAAATCACTTAAGCCATATCATACACCCGTTTCTAAGTTGTACCCCACACTGTTCTACAAGGTAAATAAACAAAAATTCCGAGCAAACACGCGCGCGTCCCTTTCAATTTCACTTGCTGTTTTACGAGTTGTTCTAGAGCAAACGACAAAAGGGGGGAAGCTACAAACTTGCGAATAAAAGACGATTTTTCCGGTATAAAGTCACGTAATTGGACACTGATAATGGCCAGTGGTGGAATTGGTTAACCATATGAGCACAAAACACTTCAGAACTTTTGGTAAGTGTTGATTATGACTTGGATTAAAATTTGAAAGTAACATGTACAAAGCTTGAACAATGTGGAAGGGCTTTCTGGTACATGCGAATGTTATAGTCTCTAGAAGAAAAAGGAACATGACATTACATGACATGACATCGAAAGCTCTTTCCTCTGGTGTTGATCATACGTTGTTCAACTTGTCGCCAGTACCATCAACAATATAACTACTCGTTTCTTGTGTTGTTCAAACCGACATAGACAAATGGTAACTCTAACTCAGTATTCAATGCACTTTCTTTATAGTATCGTAATGGAGTTTTCACATCTCATCAGTATAATGATCAAGACAGCCCATATACTAAGGGTATGTCAGAGTGTATTCGAGTCTGTTTCATTAAATGGATCCAAACTTACTCACTTTCCATTCACACGAGAACACAGTCTCCAGAGCCTAGGATGCATGTCAGTTCTCGTGTAAACGTAAGTTCATATTCCTTTGCAAAATTACGCGGACAAGTGTGGACCAGACAGCCTCAGTCATACAACTGATGTGGAAATACGTGGAGCCTCAACTTACTACACATTTTTCAAAAGTGCGTTATTCTTTCATACGGGGCTGTACCTTTTTAGTCTCATACAAACAACGTTCGTGTCCAATAATTTAGAAATTATGTATTTTTATATGCTCCGGATTGGCCTTTAATTTGTCGTAAATTTTCTTCTCTTCCTACTGAAATCAATAAAGTAAATAGAGCCGTTTTCTCACGTGGACAGCAACACTGCAAATGTGCTGGAACAAAAGAAAGTTTTTACGAAACAAAAAGGTTTAACTCCCTCAGGACTGGTTTGGACACCAACATATATAGCCGCAGCCGTTTTTGTTTGGGACACCAATAGTAACAACGACAGCGACGACTTCGAAAACGTCACTAAAAAAAAGAAGTCGCCCTGCTTCAAGCTTAAACGCGAAATTAGGTATTTTCACGTCGTAGTCGTGCAGTGACGGCGAAGAAATGTACAAAAAAGCACGGTGCACGTGCAGAGTTGTTGTTTGTCTCATAAAACCATGTGGTGTTTGACGTTCTCGTTTCCGACGTAGTCATGGTAGCGTACCAGTCATTTAAAAAGAGTCAGTGAAGAGAGAATTATAAACTGATTCGAGACCCATTAAAGTCCGGCTAAAAAAATATTCGTTACCAAACAGCATACGTGAATACGTGGGTACAGAAGACGAAGATTCAACAGGCGACGTGTGTGGGGACGAGAATTTTTGGAAGGGTGACACATATACTCGGCCACCTATATATTTTTCATAAAAGATCCGACGTGTGGCTGAATTTGAATCAGTGAAATGTCGGGGTTTTTTTTCCATCCTTCAGTTCCTGAAAGGCTAAAAAAATTCGCCAAAATATCCCCATTTTCTCTAGATGACAAGAGGAATGTATTGACCTGAAAAATGGCTGAAATGGAATGAAAATCAACTAAAAGCCACGCCTCCGTTCTATGAGCCAATCAAATCGCTTCCTGTCAGGTGTCATTATTCATTTTGGACAGGTTCACGTTTCTTTCCAAGGTCATTCGAAATTCGCTTCACAAGTAGAATATGTTAACAAACTTCACATGCAACAGTATATTCAATGCCATTTTTTCGAGAATTGCTATAGGTTTAATTCCTGTTCTTGTGCGACCCTTAAAGGTAAATAAAACATTTTTTTTTTTGCATAATCTTCGTAAACATAAGAACTGTCGGCGTTTTTCTATGGACTACCTATTAAAACATGACGGACCCTTTTTATTTAATACAGTTTCTGGAATCTGACTTCCAATCTGTCTAACTAGTCGAAACCAGAAAAGAGTAAACAGTAGTATAGGGATGTAAGCGAAAAAGACTGGTTTAACTCAAAATTACGCACGAGCATTTCGGATTAGTTTCGTCTTTATTTCAAAAGACAATTACTAGAGCACAGCACTGGCAACGTTTTCGTGTAACGATGCATTACCCCGACGAGCCTAAACGACAATTTATATTGCTTAAAAGTCAAACAAGAGAGCAATTTTTCAAAATAGAAATATCTTGCATTGTTAAGGAATTCAGAACTTGAATGTCGTCATTCCGATCTGGAAAGCGCACCAATCCAAATTTGCAAGCACCTGCACGAACTGCGTGAGATCTGCTGGCTGTTTTGCCATTCGGGAATAGCGCTAATGAACAAAACTTAATGGACACCGGTGGTCTGGTTTTCTACGATCGTTTGTTTTTAATAAATGCATGCCAATTCATTTCTCTGGTAAGCATGAAGCAGTAATATTACTAATAGATAAGCTTACGTTAAATTGGAGAAGCGAAGACGGTATCATAGCAACATAAGTAGATCACATTTTTAAGAGCTGAGTTTTGAACTCACTGAGCTCATTTAGTGATATTACCCAAGGTGAAACCTTTGAAATAAGCGTTTTTCCACGATACAAGCTTAGCGTAAGTTGGTGCAATAAGCTGAATTGCATGTTATCGCTTTTCCCTCGCGCAGTTATAACCAGAAATCTGCAAAGTCTCTTTGAACGTGCTCTGCTGTTCACTGACATTTATACAAAGACGATGAGTTTCATAAATCAGCTTCTACTTACTAACAATGACGACGAGTTGGCCTTTCAAGCCTCTGCAAAGATGTTTTCATCCAGAAGATTTTAAAACGGTTTAGTATCAGTTCATAACGCAATGACCAAACGTAAGCTTCGAGCATTTTGCGTTTTGAATATTCCAACACAGTGTCATGTGATCACGATTTTGATTGACTGCGTGATCTAATGGTTTCTCTAAATGGCTTTTAAAAATTCACCTGTATCAATATTACAAAGTGGCTGCGTTTTTAATGGATGGAGAGTGTTTTAGACTGTATGCTAAATGAACATAAATTGTTAAATCGCTGACACGTTCTTTGATTTCAGTCGGCAAAAACGATGTTTGAATCATGAATTTGTGTTTCGAGGATTAAACTTCATTTGTAGGCGTATAAGATTTTTGTTCAGAAGATTGTTAGAAGATTGGCATACAAGCATACAGTGTGAGCTAACAAATAAACCTGGAAGCTAAATGAATTCTCACAACTGCTCAACTCTCGCCCAATCAAAAATTGGCATCGAATCGTCATTCTGCCAGACAATAGTTTTCACGACAAAAAAAGAACAACAAAAACAACCGTGTTTTTATTTCGTGGTTGCAATGATATCGCAGCCATATAAGTTTCTTTTCACGTGTGTAAAAACCGCCAGCGAAATAATTGTTTTCCCTGTAAAATCACTTTAGTCAAGGAATGTATTCCGTTTGGTTTCTTAATTAATCTGTTTATCATAGGGTTTTACTCTCCGGCCATCCTAAAATAAAAAGTTAAAAGAAAGGTTATGATCGGGGATCGAAATTTTATAGTTGCGAAATCTTATGTTGACAACGCGTACCCAGCGTGTTTAGCATATCTTGTTGATTATAGCTTCAACCCGCCAAAGAAAAACCACACAACAATGAAAGTTACCTTATCAGAATACGGAATGCGTCTTTGGGATATTACAGAGTGAAGACGACCATGTGCTGCTCAGTTTGTAGAAAGTGAAAACCTTTCAACAGCAGCAGATAAGAATTTAATTATCTTTGTGTTGTTCAATATAGCGAGCGTGCGAGCCAGATAAAAGGCGCCTCATGGGGCAGCACTTTTTGAAAACAAATCGTGCAGAAGTGCGTAACACTTTGCATAATTTTTTTATAATTAAGTGGTCTCTTATCATTCGTTTTATTAATTTAGTTTCTTGATAAACATACTAGCGAGCACGTAGCAAACTTAAGTATGAAATCGAACCTTTAAAGTGGGTATCAAAAGTTCCAAAATAGATTTCGAATATAGCCTCGTTAATTTTATTGGGCTACGCATAATTGATTTTGGGTATTCGCTTTTCTCCTTTTTACTTGAACTACGTGATGGTAAACAGTTTTTTATTTTGTTTCAATTATTATCATTTCCTTACTTTTAAATCTCTTTTTAATATTGCCAAGACAAGATTTTAATTTCTCGGCTTGGGTATCTTTTGTTTGGATTCAAAAACAATAATGTTGAAAGTCAGAGAAACTTTGTCCTTTTTGCTTGTTTTCACAATATTTCCTGTTTTTATTTATAATGTCCGTCCAAACATTCGATATCTTAGTGTTTGTATCAATTTGCAACACAGTTTGGTTGGATATAAATGTAATAACTTTTTGTTTTCTGTCAGTTTTTAATCTCCCCGGGGCGGTCTTGTTCAAAACGGCGATTTTACTGACGTAGCGTTGCTCATATGTGGTGTGTTACATTTATTGCTAAACTATCAAAAATCCTGCGATGGCCTAGTTAAATATTGCACTTAACTAGTTCAACGAGATTTTGTTTTCGAAAAAAAAACATTTAGGTTTGACTGACAAAGATTCCTGATTAAGTGGTTTGAAATAACGAGGAATAAAAGGAATCGCATGTGCAACATTAACCTATCAGAACTCTTACAGTAAATAGATCAATTTGTTCAAAGAGCATCTTTACTGAATTAACCCGGTCGGTCAACACCAACACGATACTAAAGAGAGGTGAAATCCAGGCCAAACATGAGTCAAGGCTTAGAAAACTCCTTTGCAATCGTCGGGGGAAAGAAGGTTAAGTTTTTCCTGTCGAGCAATTAAAAACCACTCAGTTTTGAAAGGCTGTTCAAGGGCTGACAACTTTGAAGGAAATTAGATCCTTCGTGTTTGCGATTGCATGATGCGCGTTACCATCGAAATACCTTAAATTTCCATTAACTTGATAAATTTCTACTTTCTTAAGTACATTTAACAAAGAAAATAAAAGCTTTCAACGGTGCATATAAAGTTCAGGCGTGGAAAAGACAAAGGGAAACGAATTCTCGATCTGAGTCATTTGTGCCGGCAGATTGACTGTTTACATGGCACGTCATCAAAATCTTCCCTGATTAAATTCTTTGCGCAACAAAAATAGCCTGTGCTTTGGCAAAAACGCTGTTTTCTTATTGTAACATTTCAGCCACAGTTCTCTTGAAACTTTCGGCAATTTTCTGCGAGCATGTTCCAGTTTCACTATATAAAACTAAACACGTCATCAATGTATCGAAGCTGTTACAAGCCGTACTGTACATTTCATTAGGGGCCTTAAGATCCGACGACGGCGACGGCAACGGGAACGCCACAACAACAGTAGGTTTAATTAGCAAAACAATAATTTTGCACGTGCATCACGCTTTTTTGTACATTTCTTTGCCGTCAGTGCACGACCACGACGTGAAAATGCCTAATTTCACGATGTACAGAGGAAGTACACAAGCGACGACGAAATTTCCTCTCTCTTTCTGAACTTGGATATGGTTCTTAGGAATTCAACTTTAGGAGGGTTCGCCTACATTTGACAAAGTTAGTGACTTGGAGTAATGGTGATGAAGATTGAAAGAACGCGAATTCACTTTTTCAGGGACGTTTTCTCTATCGTCGCCGTCCTCGGATCTTAAGGTCCCAATTAGCAAAAACGAAGCCCATGTGATTGTCAGCACTTTGACCGTTTTCACAATTTCGATGAACGTTGGAGTGATGTGACCTTGTTCTAAGATCTTCAAACCATATGGATGTCATCTAGTACGGGCGCCACGGCGTGAAATGAAAAGGATTATACTCATATTAGAAAGTCTACTGAAACTGGTTATGTACCACTACGACATCAAGAAACTGGCTCAGAGTGTTCCTGGATGAAGAAGTCGAACTTTTCATGTGACGAATTAAACTTAGCGAGTTACATGAAAATTAGCGGCTTTTCATGTAAGTTCATGAAAAGTTCGACGTCTGGCTCAGTTAACTAAGTTCGTATCAGAAATACTTGTGACGGCAAAACCACAGCGACAAACCAGTGAGGGTCAGATGGATCTTTAGTAGACCTGGATCAGTCAAATCTTAAGTACCAAATTTTAAAATTAACACAGTAAACTGATCCTTACGGCAGGAAAAAGTGATAGAAAAAATATAGAAAGAAAACCGCAAAAATAAAGTGGTGAATAGTCCAGTTTCGAATTAAAAATTACCGCTGAATATAAACATTAACGACACATTCATACAGGGTTAGCCTCGACGTAAAGTAAAATATTCAGAAATTCTGGCAAGTAAGTGTTTAAAATTTGAATATACACAATAGACAGTGTAATAAACAGGTCTTTTTCTCGTTGGAATTTTTGATATATTACTTCAGATTGAGGCTAAGGCTGTAAAAAATGGTTCTTCACTTCTTTAATTCAGCGGTCATAGCGAACGCGAAAATGGACTATTATATTTGCCCGATATTTCGGTTTGCAACGCAAACCTTCAACGGGGGCTATAAAAGAAAAGTGAATACAGATACATGATGAACGTTACATATGCGAGACTTGAATACATAGCAAACAGAAAATGATGGGCTACTAAAAGATAAATGTCATCAATTGAGTTCACTTCTATTTATACATGAGATTCTATTGTCATAGCTTTGTTGATGAGGCCGTGAGCCTTGCGTGCCTTTCTGACAGAGTCAGTCACGGTTGCTACGGATAGGAAGGACGTCTTTGATAGAGTGATTGGCTTTATTAAAATGTTCGGAGACAGGAGCTGCGGGATTAGCAAAGTGGCCATAGTTGAGAATGGAACGGCGATGCTCCCCAAAGCGTTTTTGTCTCCTCCATGTACCTTTTGCCGCATTTTTTTGCATTCAATGAGGTAGATAAGGTCTTTGGATTTACAGTTTAAGGGGTCATGTATACATCGTTTCTCTTTGGTGGAGGTGAAGCAGGTGAAGGTGTAGTTGGCTTGGACTTGCTTTAAAAACGGACAGGTAAGGCAGCGTGGATGATTGCATTTTGTAAAGTGCTTCTAAACTTTTAGGTCACGAAGGTTGGGACTCCTTTTAAAAGCAACGATGGGTGGAGACGGAAATATTTGTTTGCAGCGATTGAATGACTGAAGAATGTTTATCTTTTTTCGGACAGTGATGGGAACGTTAGGAAGAGCTGGATTATACGTGATTACAAAGGAAGTTCGGTTTGAGTGGTTGTGGTTTCAAAGTTTCTTGACGTGGGATGGCACCTACCCGGTTAATTTTCTTTTTCAGAAAGTGGCAGCTGTATCCCCCTAGTTCCGGAAAGTTTATAAGTTCATTGCAACGAGTATTGAAGAAATCGTCAGTTGAGCAGATGTGACGCAGACGCGGTAAGGCGAGGCTGGAATAGATGGTGCGCTTTGTGTGGGCAGGATGGCAGGAGGTTTTCAGAAGATATTGGTGCTGGTCTGTGGGTTCAGTTTGTGTGGAGATCAGTTTCTATTTGGCTATTGTTGAGATGGACTTGTGCATCTGGGAAGGGAAGACTCTGGCATAAAGAATCTGAATATTAGAGTGTAAACTTGATTGTTGGATGGACATAATGTCCTTCATGATGTAGTAAAGTTTTACGGTTATCTTTTCCTTCTGTCCACACCATGAGGATGTCATCAATAAACCTCTACCAGACGTAAGGTTTGAAAGGGGCGTTTTCGTTTGGATCGTCCAACACGTTCTATCCGTCTGCTTCAGATGGATACTAACGTCTGAAGATCGTCTCCGGGACAAACATCGATCTTCACATGCGACAAACCAAACTAAACAAATTGTTGGTGTTGAGGGGTATTTTTTGTAATAAATTAAAACTTTGTATAATGATGTACACAAGTTACCGTCGTTCCTGAAAAAATTATTAAATTAAAATTGCTTTTTGGTCTGATTCAGTCAGGATCGGTTCGACGCGTCCTAAGTTCGACGTCTGAACCAACAGACGATCTTAACTTAATTTAGACCGACCTAAATTAGAGTGTGGTTCGTCTCACGAGAAGTTCGAATAGAAACCACGGTTACAGACGACTCAAGACTGCATACATGTGTAGGATGTATGTTCGAGGTTCATGACTGTACGGCTTGCAACTTTCCAAGGAGGGTTGCCAACTGTAAGAAGGCTTGCTCTTTTGTGGTCTAAAACTCGTGGCAACTCTCGATTGATAAAAACAGCATGTTCTGATAACTGTGAAACAACATCAAGCTAAGCTCTAGACGGCGATGAAATCTCAAGAAAAAACGCGTCACCCATCGTTGGCATTTGACCCTAAACTTGGCCAAGTAAATACTTAAATGCGGGCAACATTTTTGTTAGTCTTGCACGCGTTGAAAGTTGTACGTAATTAATGCCATAATTACGCTTTAATCTCTTGCAAGCGGACATAGATTCTAAACTATGTTCGTATATTGTGTTCGCCCGAAACATTTTAAGCCATTTATACGGTGTTTGATTTAACATCTGATAAGCCGTGGGAAATTTGGGAAGCGTCAAGTAGATAAGCCAAACCGATATTATGCTGTGCTTCGTTAAAATTTTAAAATTCCGTTTGAGAAAAGGTGAGCCCAAAGTTGCCTATAGTCCATATGCGCCGTCTCTCGGTCAATACACCGAGACGAACGGGACCACGTGACCCGAAACGTATAGACTGTGCGGACAAAAGCCGAACAACGTAGCCGATTGGTCATGCCGCCAGCCTGATTGGTCATTTTTAAAAAACGTGAGTCAGGTAGATGGATTTACTGGATTTAACCCGATTATAGAAGGACCGAATAGGTTTTTCGGGACCGGTGATTTCCCTTTTTTGAGGCTCGGGATTTTAAATGAAAATCGGGGCGAGATTCGGGATTGAAAGCATGCACGGGAGGTGGGCAGCCGAAAATAGATATCGAGATTATAGGATTGAACGAAATTTTTAGTCGGGATTACGGGATTGAAAAACTCTTCAGGGGACCCTCATGATACCCACAAGACCTGTCAGTCGTTGACCTGAGGAGGAATTGATGGCGGGCGAAGAATCCGGAGGGTTACATACTACCATATGTGCAATATATAGGTATGTGTCGCTAGGAACGTTATGGTTTTCAAGCAACTTGATCTGCGATAGGGTGTAGAAATTTGAGACTTTGGGTCTAGAATAGGGTCTCATTTTCAGGAAACTAATCAATTAGTAGTGTAGACTTGGGAAACCACCGGTAACTGGCACTGGAAAAATTGAAATCGGCCAATCTTAATTTACCCGCAACTCAGGTTAAAGCATCGATCTCAGTCATTAGTGAAGCACGGCGGCTCAAGGATAGGGAGGAATTTGGGTAGCGAAATTCAGCCTAGCTAAGTCTGGTATAGGCTAAGGGTACTGGAGTCCCTGCGGCACATCCCTACCGAAATATCTCTTCTGCAAAGTAGCCCCCCCCGCCCCACCCCTGGGTGGACGAAGAATTTTCGAGTACGCGACGTGTCTTTCATACCGCCGCCTAACATAATTCAACCCATGCTGTGTCAGTGCTGTTAAGTAATGAACATAGTGTGCATTGAAAGACATAATTATTTTAAAAAGTAGAGTCTGTTTTAAGATTCTCAAATGCTGCCTTTGCTAACAGATTCCTACATTGAAAGAGAAATTTGGATCAAAACTACTTGTGTCGCAACATATTTCTTTTTTTCTTTCAATTTCTGTGTTTGATCCTGTGATCCAAACGAGCAAACACTTTCTATGTACGCGAAACAGGAACTATGTCGTTTTAACTACATTCCATTGTATCACTTCCGGCATGGACATTCATTTTTGAGATTTGAATCAGATTATCCAGAGATACTCACAGTACGATGGGTCTTACTCCTTGTAAGCCAGATTATGTGATGAAGCAGCTCGGTCTACCGTAAAAAAGAGGGCTTCCACAGTGCATAGCTAAAGCCGGTTAGAGAAACTATAATTAGTCGTCATAACAATATTCAGCGGTGACATTGTATAATCATTGATGGAGTACACGTGCCAGTACTCGTGACGTGATTTCTTTGAGATTGCAATCAAGTATTTGGACCCAGTCACTTAGACAGGACAGACATCCAGACAGCTAAGTAAGTACTTTTTATCTCCAAGGCTTTAAGGTGATGTTACACGGGACGATTCGCAACGACGATTTTTAGCGCAACACAACGTTGCGCATCCATCGCTGGGACAATGTTGTGACCAATCGAAACAGTTTTCAAGGAACCATCCTAACGTACAAAAATTTAGACGCCGAGCGGTTTAAAAATTTGAACACCTAAACTGAGGCCAAAGTTCTAACCGGTACGGAAAAATTGACCGGCACGGTTTGAGCAACATGACCGTCATAATTTTTGAACGGCAAAAAGCGTGGCTGCATGGATGCGTGGAAGACGCCATTTTGGTTTTGCCAAAGTAGCGCTCTGCGCATGGGCAGATGGTAAATAAAATTCCACCCTTAATTCCACCCGATTCGTCAGTTCTGGGTGAATAAGGCAAAAACCGTTGAAAGGTTTGGTGTAAATGAAGCGTCCGGTTAAATGTCTTAGCCGGTAGAAAATACGTCCGGTACGGAAAGAAAGAAAGAATCATTATGAAAGTTAATTCAAATAAATACTTCGGTTAAGCAAGAAATCTCCGTATTTCCAGTTATGACATTTTATCATCGTACCAAATTGCACATACTCGTGCTATCCAACGTCCTTTTTACACTGTAAAATTTCGCAGCTCCCTAATCTATAGACTTGCTACAAGTCGACCTCTTGGCGAGCGGAGCGAGCCTTTTTGGCTGCGAAGCGGCCGACCGCGAGCGACAAAGTCGTTTCGTCCCGCGCCATATGAAATCCGACGAAGGACTTTTTTGAAAGTCTACCTAATCTACAACACGTCTGATTCCCTTCTCTCTCAAGGCTATAGAAAAGCACATAACAACGATTGTATGAATAAAAATTGGTTTTATTTATATGAATGATTTTATATTAAAAATATTTTGTTTCTTTAACAAGAAACACTATAAATAATTTTCCCAAGGAAACGGACGAGAATTCAATTGCCACCTGGAGCTAAGAAATTTTTCTGAGTTCTTCTCTCTACACAATTCATTCCATCAAGAGCCATATGGCTCCTGATTCCATTTATTATTTCCTGCTTGTAACAAAAGTTTTACACCTTTGAATTGACTGGGTCGTGTTCTTGTGGTGCTAACTTTTGTCGTTGACCTGTTTTGTGGTGGTGTGGAAATTAGAGATCTTTAGATTCGATGACGAGAACGCCTGCGAAACGAGATTTAACTTTAATTTTTTCGTGTATTCTCAAAAAATACACACCCCGGAAAGCTTTATTGTACTTTTTTCATCAGAAAAGTCAGCACGGTTTTTTTTATTAAAGGAGGTTAAACCCTCTCCCGATCGCAAAATGGTGAAACTTCCAACTTTTGAGAACTTGTTTTTGCCACTGCGACATTCTTCTGAAACCCGTAGAAAAATGACGACGGCTTCTACGTTTTTGATTCACACGCGCACTACTGATAGAGAAAATCTCATCCTAATAGTCCGGCGTTCTCGTCTTAGAATCAAAAGGTCTCCTTTCTTTGCTGTCTCACAAGTGCAACACCAAGGAACTACCAGAAAATTCAATGAGATATTCAATCTATGTCCACAGGGGGAAGATGCACGGAAATTCCTGACGCGATCACAGGTTCTAATGTGACTGCGAGTCCGGGATCAGACAGAGAATGTCTCGAACTCTTGGCTGTGAAACTACCCTTGACAAGCTGTCCTCGCTGTCTCTTGTCCGTGCTCAAGGGCGGCGTCTGCGATCCAAGCTGCACAGCAGTACCCGATGCTAACAAACTAAGTTCTCCAACAGACTGAAAGAATGACAGAATTTGTTATTGACACTTGTAGACTGCACAAACAAAGGAAACATCAAGAACCTACGTTTGTTCTACGCCACAATTCTTTTCTTTTTGGTAAAGGAAGCATTCGCTGCGGGCAAAATAGGTCCATCTCGAAGCTCGAATAGAAGATAAAAAAAACTCTGCCAACTGGGGACACTGAAATAAAACTAATTCAAAAATAACAATACAATACACAATCCGAAAGAAACTAGCCTAAATAAACATTGTTAACTATAAAACTAACCTAGATGGACAGCACTGTCCTCTACCCACAGGGTATAAGTGACCCGCAATTTCAAATACTCTGCGTACTTACATTGCTTCGTTGTGACCTGTGTAGCTTAGCCCTTGGCCGTCTGACTTCACTGCTGGAACTTCTGTTATTATTCAAAGTTTGCGGTGGCATTGGCGGCTTGGCGCTGACAGGACTAAACGTTAAATTATGTCTGGTAAATCCCTTAATTCCAGTCGTGGATTCTGGCAGGCGGGACCCAGACCCGTTCCGACCCGCGGATGACAATCTGGCAAACTGTGCGGCCGAAGAGGTGTGAGGAGAAATTGTAGGTTGATCAAGCTGCGGGGGCTCGACGGTTGATACAGGAACATGGCGCGAATGATCAAGGGTGTTGATTCCAGCTCCACTTGATCTGGAGTAAAAATAGATTTTCCAAAATTAGATTTTTTGAATTAGACTGTCCTAGGATGTCACTGCCCTCTACCCTAACGCATTTTTATTTGATGAACGCGCGAACTGCCGTATGTATCAAAGCACGTTTGGTAGTCTGGTACTTTGTTGTACCGTGGTAACAAGAGGTTCCAAGCCACAATGACACCAATTTTCTTTCCCATACTTCTGCTTGACCGAATCTGAAGCTTTTAACGTACCCCAAACACGAATTATACAGGTAACTACACTGACAGGGCCCATCCACAACAGAGTTCAATACAGATGTGTACGTTTAGGATATGTCTGTAACAGTACAGATATGCCAACAAGCGAGTCAACTAATTGTTTAGGTTCTTGTACCAAGCCAAATTCGAACAAATAAACCGGCATTCTCGGCCCGATAAAGTCCTCCATTTCCTCCTCTTGTTATGACGTTAAGAAAGCGAACACTCTAATCTTTGATTCTGGAAAAAACCAGCCGGACTCACCTTGTCTTACTGCTATTTGTGGCCAACAGTCCTGACCCGCTGAGCGTAAAACTACTTGGTAAACTTTTCTCTGAATTGTTTCTATCAGTGAGAGCCTTTAATCTCTGCCCAGACTTTTTATTACCAGCCCCGCCTAAGCCATGATTGCCGATTACACCAGAAGTGAGACGGCCAATACCAGGGACCTCTCTGGACCTTCCATTGGTAGCTGTGGCAGCGATTACTGATCCAACATAAGAACCTTCTACAGGGCACTGAGAATGGTTTGTGAGCCAATTATCTATACAGCTAATGTGGAAGGGATGCTGGCACGGAAGAGTTCTTATGCACTGTCTGGCCTGGAATCCTTGTAAACACACACCGCAGGTGCTGCCATCTGTAACAAGTCTGTGTCTGTCTTGCAACACTTGAGTTGGTAGATTGAAGATTATATTGGCAGGAAGTCCTTGCTGGTCAGTTACTTGTCTGTGGTTGGAGGAAGAGTATACCAGCATGCAATGAGAATTACACATCATGTCAACGAACGTGAAACATTAACTCTCGTTTACTCAATTAACCATAACGCTTAAAACACATAGCGCTCCAACCTGAGAAAACAGCCCGCGACATTTCGCGACGCCGCCAATACTTTTACCGCAAAATGACGTCACTTCTGATTTCTGGCGTCATTTCGCGGGAAACCAGTGGTGGTGTCACGAAATGTCGGCTGTTTTAAATGAGCTCGAGTCAGGGACAAGTTTCTGTACACAGGGGCACCCAACGAGAATATAGTTCAAAACCACTTAAACATGGCATTGTTAAACGTATTTTGGTATTTAAACGGTAGATATAGGCATATTTTTATCCCCTAAAAATTTTTCATCTGTTCGGATTTCCTAGCTGAAAGTCTAGTGATCCGAAAATTATAGAGATCAAAACTTACCTTTTCGAAAATTTCAGCCAGAAAAAAGGCTCCCGAAAATTCTAGGTGACCTTTTTAGGGTAAAAATCCGTTAAAAATAGGCAATTATACCATTTTTTAGATGTTCGAAAATCCTAGGAGAAGCAGGCAAGGAAGAAATTTCCGAAAATTCTAGTTCTCAAATCGTCTTCCGAACAGATATTTTTCCGAAAATTGTCGTCGGGTAACCCTGTGTACACTGTATGTGCTTGTGCTTCGGGCAAAATTTTCCCCGCAACGTACGGCACTATGTTCGCAAAACACATGGCGTCTTGAGTACGGTTGAGCATCAAGTTTCAGAAACAGAACGGATTGTTAAACTTTGCCTTGGAGTGTCAATTTTACCTGTTGATTATTAATACCTTTTGAATGAAAATTTGAACCTTTGGGAATCCTTAAGGAAATAATATAACAGTAGTCGTAATTATTTCTCGAGCCTAATTCACCTGTCAAGTTGAAGCAGTAGTTCATAATCGCCATCAGATATGTCTCGGTTCTGTAAATCGTTTATGACAGCATTTGGCAATGGAGTAATTCTTTGTGCTGCCCGCCAGCGCTCACTTAGTTTCTGCCAAATAAGAAAGATTAATCAGCAGTTCGTTAACATTTTTAAACTTGCATTCAATCAATAATCTTGACCTATTCGTAAAACTCAGTATCGCTGATAAATTTAACAAAGCAAATGTATTCTCAGGTTCTCAGAATAAACAGAAACGGAGTTTTTCAGGCACTCCCCCGGCGAAAAAGTGGACGTGAGATTGTAAGCACACTCTTGAAATCAAGAAGAAGCCTGCAGGAAGCAATAGATTATAGCCTGTTCGAGGCGTTCAGATACAGTTCATGAAGTGGGACAGTATGGAAGAGAAAAACTATTTTATCCTTTCTGTTACGTAATATTAACCGTTTCAAGGCTTTTCCAAGTTGTGGCGAGGTCATTTGTCACTCTAACGTGAACGAAATCGCATGGTGTTACCATTCAAATTAAACCTCTTTGACAAAACCTCTGTTAAGTACTATTTATTTCTAAGGATTTACCAAAAGAAGTCATTCACTTTTGAGGTGAATTTTTATTTTGCCTGCTTTTAGTCTGAGTGAAAGGGTTTCCAAAAAAAATGTCTATGATTCGCCTCATGTAAGGGAATTCAGATTCCGGAATCCAAGAAATTTTTGCTTGTGTAATCCAGAATCTGGGAAAATTTGCTTGTGGAATCCTGGGCTTTGGAATCCGGAATACAGCTCAAGAAATCCGCCATCCCACTATTGATGGGAATCCGGAATCCAAGTTCCAAGTTCCAGTGCCTGGAATCCGGAATCCACGCCGTGCGGAATCCAGAATCCAAGTCTGTCTTGGATTCCCTTCCACGGGGCGATATAATTATGAATGCCTTACTTGTCGAAACTGAAAGGAATGCTGGGTGTGGGTATCTGTGGCAAAACATGCATGGCAGAGATGGTAATCTGAACAAACAACACATCTGAGGAAAGAAGAAGCACATGATTTACATTGAAAGGCATTCTAAATTAAGCAAGTCAAGGAGAATGGTATCCTAAACTGTGATATTTTGAACTGCCGTGCAAGCCATGAGTGTGGCTGCTGTGGCAGGGTGTCATGGACACTCAGATACTAGAGTTTGGTTTTTAAGTAATGGTCTAGAGAAGAAGGAAAGGACCAAAACGCAGTGAACACGTCGGAATGCAAAAACATGCTAACTTTACTATTGTCTCTACTAAGGTTCTGATTGGTTTAAACATCAAATTTTACGAAGTCTTCGCAAAGCAGCATGTATCTCGTCTGAGTCTAATTAACACAGAAATCGTATGTGCGGATCATGTAAAATTGTGAACATTTCTCTTGTGATTGGTCGAAATGTTTTAACACAAAAATACACCCTTTAAAAGTGGAGTTTAAATACATTTTCTTTCGTAAACAGCTTTTTTGTAGATTTATGCATTCTCTGCGTAAAAATGAAAACATTTCTATGTGAGGAAAGCGTATTGCGCCACAACAAAAGAAATTGCTTCCCTTCTTACCTGGATCATTACTTAACTGTTAACTTGTAAGTGAACCTAATTAAGTTCATAGATTTAAAGAACAGAAAACAGGGAACACAGGTCACGAACTTTTGAAACTAATCCTTTCCACCCCCCACAACACCCTCTTCTTGTCATCACGGGGGATTGTTGTCTTCTGTAGCAATCTGACTACTTTTCATAGAGCCAAAAAAATTACTCTAATTCTTGATTTGCGAGTTAAACCTGGTGATCCTTGATAACCCTGACAGACACGATAGATAATAAAGTATGATTTTTGTGATCCTAAATATCTTTAACAATAGTGTGATAAGTGTAATATTATATAGCATGTATGTTGAGAAACTCATAATCCAGTGGAAATCTCTGTTATAGATAATTTATGTACCCTTATGTGTAAGTTGTCTAATATCGGCATTTCTCAGATTAAAACAAAATTAACATACACTAAAGTGCATACAATGTTATGATTAAACAGTGGCCAAACAATATCAGTCATATAGGAAATTATAGGGCCCAGGTGGACATGAAACAAAAGAGGCCACTTTCACCTACAGTGTGTGTATGGCATACCAGTTGTGTTCACAATTTCTTACCTATAACATTTTCCTGCAATAGGACACACTCTACATTTTTTGCAAGTAGCCCCTAGGTGAAGATCTTGTCTTTCTGCTCTTGTTTTGCGCCGGGATGACTTGTGAAATTCGTCCATCAATTCCTTTTAAAAAGTATTTAATCTTTTGAGTAAGTGACCAGGAATCTTACTGTGAATTTTTCAAGGTGTGGTGTGAGGAGTAGGGCATTAACTAACTTAACAATACATAACTTTGGCAATATACACAAACAACGACAAGTGAAAGATAAATGACTCCACGTATTATCACATTTAAAAATCTGAGAAAAGCTCCTAACCATCCAGAGGCATTTTTTTTCTAATTTGCCCCATCATCAAGTTATTTTAAATGTTGTTTATTTGAGCTAAGGGAAACTAAATTGTGCAGTACCGTTATTTTTTATTTTTTATTCTATTTATTGACCGTACAGTTTTACCAACACAATGATGTTAAACCACTAATTGTGACTTTTTTTACAATTTATGTGCTTAATTATACAAAAAACTAATTACATCACTCACAGTTGGGGATATAACAAAATATGAACCCATGATCTATGGACCTACTTCATGGACCCATGGACTACCACTAGCTGTGGACCACCGCTAATTTTTAAAGATGAATTATAGCAGAGGTCTGAATGAATTTTAGGAACCTTCAATTGGAAAAAACTTCTGTCAGTTTATATAATATATCAGGGCTATGGGTCTCTCACATTATACACCTGTTCAAATTTTCTTGAATTCCATATAAAATTGGGTTCGGTCAAGTCTGGTAGAGGTATGTGCCGCCCAACGGGGTCATGATTTTGAAGCTCCTGATTTAGAACAGGGTATCCATTTCAGAGGCGTTTTCTAGAGTGGGGTATAAAAAATTGTGGATCAAGGCTTGGCTTTATCTTCTGCTTAAAATTGTTGCTGATCATGAAGAAGCATTTATTTGATGTATAAGTCGAACAAATAAAGAAATATCTTTAAAAAAAACAGGGCTATTTCAATTTACAAACTTTCTAGAATGGACTTTAAAAAATTGGCCCATTTCTAGAACGGGGTATCAGTTTTAGGACGAATTCTAGAATGGGGTATAAAAAATTGGCCTATTTCTAGAAAGGGGTATCAATTTTAGGGGAAATTGTTTTTAGAACGGGTGCCAATTTGGAGTCCCGGGTGGCACATATCCACCCAAAAAATACCCAAGTGCCCCCCCCCCCCCGGTAACAACATTTGTGGTACAGAGACATTGTTTTGTGTTGTCATGTTGCATACTCTCCTCAGACTTGCCTTCCCTTTATAGCCCATGGAAATGTTTATTCATCAGATTGGCAATCTTATTGAATCCTGCTTACCCTGATCAAGCACAAAATGACCTGCAGATATATAACTGTCATGTCTGTGAAGTTTGACGTTAATGTTAGATGTCTGTATGACCAACCACATTGTTTGAGATTACGTATGCAGGTCATTTTATGCTTATTGATCCCTAAGCAGGATTCAATAAGTTTGCTGCCGAGTGAACATTTCTATTAAGGGCAATCAAGGGAAGGCATGTTTGAGGAAGGTACTCATGCAATCATAAAATGCATTATTAAAATACCTCTTCCTCCCTAGTCTCCCATGCAGCCATTTTGGTGATGTCACGCAACGCGTCAACATAAATAAAAAGACATGAGGAGACTACCTTCCTCCCTTCCCCTTTTTCTTCAAATATTATTAAAAATATTACTACTTCAGCAGACTAACCCAAATTCATTACATTGGTATGGAATTCAGGAAAAATTTGACCAAATTATCCTGATAATAATAATATATGATTTATAGACACAGATTCATCCATTTAAGGTTCTTAAAATTTGTTTAAACCTCTAGTAAAATTCATCTTCAAAAATTAGGGGTGGTCCGCATGGGTAGACCATGGACTTGGTCCTCGAAGGGTCCATGGAGTAGGTCCACAGGAGTGGTCCATGGGCTGGAGGTCCATGTTTTGCATACGTCCCACTGCTGAAAGTATGATGCAGGGAAATCATTCAATTGCAAATCATTAATGGAGCAAATAATTCTTTTTTCTGGCTTACAAACCTGAAATGATCCAAAGTCGACCCTGCAGAGTGGACACTTAATGATGTTCTCACCAGTGGAACGTTGATGTTCTGCCCAAACCTTCATACATTTCACGTGGACATTGTTTCCACATCCATACCTGCATGCAAATTATTACAAGAAGAAAGTCATACATACAGTATATTCATTTGAAAGATAAAATAATGGAAATATGCGCATATCTGAAGATGAACACAGTAGCTTGTAAATTTAAAACAACAAAATTTTGTTTCCTTTGGTACAGAATTTTTTAAATTTTTATTATTTCTCGGGAACATTCACACAAGTGTACAGTGTACATCTATATTTCAGTTTGTAACATCCTTGGTAATGTTCTGCAGTGTTTCATTAAAACCATTAATAAAAATCTTGGGAAAGCTTTCGTACTCTTTGGCACCAGATGCAAGAGTAGCTGCTCTGTTTAAACCTCGATCAAGCAAACAATAGTGCCCAAAAGCTGTATGCTAAAACACACTGAAACCTACAGGGACTTTTGCATTTTTTTAAAAGTCAATACATGTATTTTAATTAATTAAAGGGTACACATTATCAATTCATTACTTGCAAAATGTGAGTGGTTCAGGTTGTTGCAAGAACTCTTCCTGGCAGATAGGACAAACATCTTCTGTTTCTATTTCTTTCTGTTTAAGTTTCTCCCTGCCATCAAAGATGATGAGGTCCTTCTCAGAGTCTTTTTTCTTTGCTGGGTGTGACCTTGCATGGCATCCTCTCATGACTTCATTAATCTCACGCTCCACCAGTGACAGTTGGAAAGTTACTAAAAATGTTTTAAAGACAGAATTAAACACACATATTAACCAATAAGCCGGTATTTGAATTCATCCTGAGGAACGACCAACCATCTCCAAATCTGCTCATCTGCCAGCAAATCTGTAGCAGACTGTGAACAGATCTGCCGGTTTTCTATACATGCAGGCATCTCTAAAAATTCCTTCTGGACACCTCACTGTATTACTGATCATGACACCCCGATAACATGGAGAGCAGTGGTGCTACATCTGTACTCCGTAGCAAAAATATTTGACTGAAGTTAAATCTGGCTGGTTATTACAGACTCTAACCCTGTTATAATATTAAGGACATTATCTTGCAGTCCTGAGGGTGTTTGCAATAATCATTTATGGGATCTGACTGTAATAATGACTGCATGTATCTTGGACATCTAAAACATGCCACCATCTCTCTATACTGGTCTTTATTAATAAGCTAGTGGCCAGGGTACATAAAGTACTTCCCTCAGACCCAAATCAGCATAGTACAAAGTTGCAACCTACATGTATTGCAGGAAGTGATAATATTAGGAAGTAGTCATGTGTATATACATGCACGCAACAGTACAATAAGATCAAACTCACTTGGATTTTCTTTGGGCACTCGAAATTTCTTAAGCAATACCCTATACATATAAAACAAACAACTGAATTAATATCATTATAAACCTCTAGACCACTGCATGGGTGAGGGCAAGGGGAGGCTTAACCCATTGGCCCCCTGAAATCTGGACAAAAAAGGACTTTTAAAGCTAGTTGAGCTGTTTTCTGGTCACTGCATGTTGCCATGTCTATAACTGAACATTTATCACTGTTATGGGTTTTAGGATGTTGCAAGAGAGATTAACCTTTCTTAATATCATAGGTGACGAATTACTCCTTAATTTTGGCGCGAAATTTCAGCGCTAATTTGTAATTTCACATGTGAAATTACTAAATTGCCATGGCAACCTGCTGTACGTCTCCGTTTCAAGATGGTGACGAAGTTTTAAAATGTCATGAATGAAGATGTCAGGGCACAAAAAGACGCTTTAGAAAACCTGAACACACAAGAGAACACCAAGAAGGATTCTAACAGGTATTTTGCCGAAAAAGTCTGAAACATTCTGAACTTTATGAGCCAAATTTAAGGTCTAAACATTTGAGAGAGTGGAGTTCTCGATTGATACGATCCAGGATGAACATGTCAAAAATCTACGATTGCTAACGTTATTCGTCACCCATGATGTTAATAGGTAATCAAATGGTAATACATGAAATTAGGGAACAATTTCACTTGCATTTTGTCCAAATCCTAATAATTTCCCCAAACGCGCATGAAATTATTCCCTAATTTCACTCATCACCAATTGATTACACATACTAATTTTTGCAGTTCACTTACCATAGGATATGAACACAGAGCTCTTTCTCCTTCATAAAAGTCTGGCATGTACAAGAGTGCTGGTCTCCTAAGAAGACCTAAGAACAGAAAAGTCATAGGTAGTTCAATCCATTTGTTATCATGTGAAGATAACTGTAACTTACTACAAATAATAATTAATTTAAGCCAAAGCTTATATCTTACTGAGTGAGGAAAATACATTATTTTTTTTGTATGATAGTTCAGTGTTAAAAGATGTAAAGATATATAGTCAATTTCTACAAAGCCTTAAGTTCTGGTAGTCAACTGACATTCCCCAACAAACCAGCCAATCTCCCAGTCTTTTGGGAGCTGCCAGTTTTAACTTGCTCTCATGGAAAACTGACATGCATGAACAATTTTGAAAAGAAGCTAATGATAATTTTCAACTTTTGATAATTTTCGCAGTATTTCTGATAATTATCTTTATAATTTAATAATTCAAAATATTTCCCCGATTCTGATTGGCTAAAAGCACACGTATAATTCACCATAACCAGCTACTGATGACCATGATAGCATGAAGGTGGGCACCTGAGGGACTAAAAAATGGTGAGCGGCAAGAAAACTACAGGCATTTTCTTTCTAACCAAATGAATCTCCAAATTTTGACCTGCCTTTTTGAAAATGTCCAGATTTTCTGTTCCTGTGGGTTGACAGGCCTGCCCCTGGAGGGGATGGGGAGCATTGGATGACTCTGGCCTAAGCGGCTGCAAAGGAGACTACTAAGGGAAAGTTCATTTGATATGACAAGGGGGGGATGAAGATATTGAAACTCAAGCTTGAAATTTTAGCAGCCCCCCTCGCTAGCGGTTCAATTTTTAGAGCCCCCCTCCTTGGTAGTTGAAAAAATTTCAGCCCCCCCTCTCCTCCTTCAATTCCCTTTCCCCTGAAAAAAAGATCGTTAGACTGTATTTTATACTATGACAAACTTGAGATACAGTTGTGATACAATTTTCTAAAGCAGTTTTGGGATGAAGAGATATAACAAATTTTGTTATATCTGTAAACCACGTGATATAGCTGAGTTGCACAGGTCATTAAATTGTTGAGTTGAAAACCATCCGATCTGTATGATGATGTCATGTGTTGGTTTTGAAGTATACAAATTTTCGGAGTCCCCCCTTCTAGCGCAACAATTTTTTTAGAGCCCCCCCTTCGGGTGTCTAAAAATTTTCGGAGCCCCCCCTCAATATCTTCATCCCCCCCTTGTCATATTAAATGAACTTTCCTTAAGGGTTTCAAAATGTTTTGAAGAAGGCGGCCGACTCCGGGCGGCTGTGACAATCAAGGGGCAGCAAGGCCCCTGAAGCTATGTAGAGGGGTCTGAGTAGCCGGCGACGTACAATCAAGCAGCCGGCAGACACATTGGCGGTTTTTACAACTTGGGTGCTTACCATTTTGACAGAAAAATCCGGCTGGGGTGTTGAAAGCTTAATGGTAAGCAATTTACCAGTTTACCGTAGAAATGCCACATCTGTTACGGTTTGAATCCAAAACAGGGCGAATTTGTATAGCATGAGTCTGGATCCGAGAAGGAACCGAGAAATTAGTTAATGGTAAGCAACATTCCGTTTGGTTCGTACTAACCAGAATGAAAGGACTACTTCAAAACGTACTCCTCAATTTTCGGTAAGAATTCCCGAAAAGTGACCTTACCATTTAATTTCCATCCGGAATTTCCGAAATTTTCTGTCAAAATGGTAAGCACCCCTTATCTATCATTTCGCACGCCTTTTCACCAGTGACATGTCATAGTCAAATGTCACATGTCCATGGGACTTCACTTCGACATCACTGCCCGAGGACAAAAAGTCAATGTCTCCAGCGACAAGCAGGTTGGTGGCATATGAGAACCCTCCCTCCATCTAGATTTTAGCTGATTAATTTCCTGGCTGACTGACTACAGTTTCATTATGAAACTGTACACATGTTAGGCCATGTTTAACTTAAGCTCTGTTAATTCAAAGAAATTCAGAATACGTAGAAGCAAAAGGAGAAATGCAGTTGCTAGAGAATGTTCTCTGTGAACAATTAATTTAGTAAAAATAATTAAATTTACGAAAACAAACCTTTAATTTGCGATCCGAACCATCTTCCTTCAAAAGAAATCCCGTTGGTCCCGTCTCGCGTAGAAGATAAATTCTTGCTTGGATCGCTTCATCGATCCTGCTCGCGACAACATCAGGACAAACTCGTCTCCAAGGAACTCGACGTGCCATGTCAGAGTTATTCAGTCAATCATTTTTTCGATAATAAACAAAATATATTGTGAAAACACTTCTTTTCTTTCTGGCGTTTGAATTTGCATTATTGTTTTGCCTCAGTCACGCTTGCCTGGCAACGATGTGTCCGGGAAGAGCTGGAACTAGTGAATGAGGAAGACTGGGACAGAAAAGGACATTTCGATACCTTTACATGACCAGATAATTCGTTGTTTTGGATACGAAAAAAGGTGTTATGGTCTTTTCGCCACATGTTGGTCTTGATTTTGTAGCAAATATGGCGGGGAATCGAATACATTTAAAACTAGATCAAAGTGCTGCAGCTTCTATTGATCAGTATCTGGAATATCGAAGGTTTGTGGTTGGTATTTATTGATATTTATTGATTGTATGGTTCAGTGTTGCTCTATCCAGTGTCTCACTTTATTAGGGTCTAAACTCTGTAATTTTATGAGAGTCTTAACATCAGAAAGCTCAGAAAAATTTCCGAGCTCCAGATGAGATTCGAATTTACGATCCTCGGAATTATAGATCGGAGGTCTAACCGCTGAACTTCTGGGAGACTCATGGCCAGTAAGAAGGAAAGGCTTTTGTGGACTGTCGTATACGTACAGAGTTGGGCAATGCAGTACTCAACAATACTGAATTGAGAAAAATTATACAGATCTCGAAGGGTGTTATCTTCCTGTGGCCGATAACGTCCTCCTTAATCTGCATGCTTGTCATTCTTTAGACCATACTTATCCTCGTTTAACGATTGTCAAAAATTCATGAGTTTCGGTTTTTCTTCTTATAGGATTGTTGGCGATGATGATGGTGGTAAGTTATTCACTCCTGAAGAGTATGAAGAATACAAGAAAAAGGTTCTACCCATGAGAAAGAAAAATCGACTTTTTGTAAGTTGGACAGCACCCAGTGGTATGGACTGCAAGATGATTGGACCAGAGACAATGTGTTTCTGTAATCACAGGTTAAAAGTTAAAAAGTCTTTTTTGGGGGGGGGGGCTATAAAAAGTTCAGAAGTATTTGAATAAGCTTTAATTTATTTATACATACAGTGTATAGGTAGTCTTTAAAAAGTTTAAACTTGGGGTCGGGTAATTTATTAAAGGAGAAATCCATCTGCTTAACTTATATCGAGGCTGTGCTCTTGCAGTGCCCAACAGCCCCAGGTGCCTAAATCTTACTCCTGGGCAGTGACCACTAAATCTTAGCGTTTTCATAGAAATGCTATACTGGGCACCCTGTATTTCAAAGGCTCAGAGCATTGGGTCCCTTTCAATTTTTCCTAGATTACAGCCTTGTACATGTATCTGATTGATGTTCTTTATATACCCAACTCTTAGGTACAAACAACATAAGACAGATTATGAGACACTGCCACAAACCCGACCTGTCCCAGTACCGTGTAGAGCAAGTGGCTGCAAATGCAAGAGTTACTATTATGTGCCTAAGAATGGCACACAGCCAATCAGATGTCAGTGTAAACACTTTGCAGATGAGCATTTAGAAGTGGTACCTTACAAGTGCACTAAGGGTTGCGCATGTAAGGCGTTTAGAAGTTCCTACACTTGTGGCTGTGGAGAACCAACGTATGCTCACAAGGTACATGTGCTCAAGGGTTGGTGGGAGGATGGGTGATAGCTTAATACAATGCAGGGCTATCATTAGGCTGATTTAGTAACAGGACAGGAACGTCAGTTGACAATGGTGCACGCAAATCAAACAACTGGCTTGACCAATGGCAGAGCGGCAAATTAGGCACCAGAAGTGGTGTTTAGTCCTTTCCGCGCGTTTTCCCATCGCCAACTGATGTTCCCGCCCTTTTGCTAAATCAGCCTATTGAGGGCCAGGGACCTTGGGCTTGGGGACTTACCCCAGCTACTGATACCAGCCACTTTCGTAGAAAGATTAATATGGAGTCCTTGGAGCGTAACGGTGCCTATATCTCCCCACCAATTACTGTAGCACTGACAGGATGATTTTTAGTACATTTTTGTAAGGGGACATTTTTCATCGTGGTCTTTTTGGATATATGAAGCTGGCCCATAATTTCAAAAATGTAAGTTTTGTGATGTCATCCTTTTCTTCTCTCTTCACTCATGTCCTTAGTTATTATCAATGTATTAGCCTGGTCCTGTTAACACCGTCCTCACAGTCTGAACGCCTGGATAGGCTATCAAGTTATAAAATTGACATATAATTATATACAATTTTTCTCTTTGTCATTTATGAGGTTGCTTTCTTACAATTGTAAATCGTTTTTCCCAAAGACAGTTGTAGAGACAAAAGAGGAACGCTTGGCCCGTGGACACCCAGTAGGTCAAGATGTTCCCTATGCAGCTATGGGTGGGATAACAGGATTCAGCTCACTGATGGATGGCTACATGCGCTTGGATGACAGTGGCATTGGTCCTCCACCAATGCACATGTTAGAGCAACCCATTGGTATGTGCATGGTGTTTCACGCAATGATAGGTTCACCATTATGATAATGTAATCAGTAACTATTAAGACAAAATCCATATGGAAATTGAGTAATTTTAATTTTCAGTGGACAAATACTTTGTACCAGAATAATGTTTCAAGCATGTTGCATTCTTTTTTACACTTTTCAAGGACTATAAATGTAATAAGTTGTATGAAATAACTCAGAAGAAAAGGTTCTTATTGGAGCCCGAAATTTCAAAAGCCTCAAATTTCACAAAATGAAATCTTACGCATGACAATTATTTTTACCTGTCCTGTACTTTTTTAATTCCTGTGAAATGTGACATTTATTTTCTTGGACTCCAGTAAGAAATTATCTTTAAAGGTACAAGGTTTTTCTCCGCTGAAAATTAAAATTACTCAATTTCCTAATGGATTCTGTCTTAAGGTCTCCTCATTTTCATACTACTGTAGCTTTAATTTGTGACTAACTCTGTTAATCATTTTGCCTAGGACCTGATGATCATCCATTTCTGAGAGCCCATGCAGGTGTTGCAGCAATGTCTTTAGAGGATGGGATGGGTGGCACAGCTGGGCAACTGGCACGTAGAACCACAGAAGAAGAAGACATGGCTTATTTCGAAAGGCGTTACCAAGCAAGGGTCAGTGTTATAATGTGATTTTCGTGGACCTGTGCCCACTGTTTAAACTAATATTTGCTTCCTGGATGGTTTAATGGTAATTCCCCACCCCCTCCTTCTCTGCCTGACTTTTTTCTTTAACCATGAGGATTGTTGGTTTCACAGCTTAAGGCAGAAAAAGAGCAAGCCAGACTTCAAAAATCAGCTCAAGCAAAGAGGCTCCCAGAGGCAACCACTGGACGACAGAGCACAGGAAGTCCTTCACGGAGGACTGGGCCAAGTAAAGCATCCTCAGCAACCAAGCCTGCTGGTTTGCCGAGGAGCACTGGTACCCATACTGCAAGACAGAAGAGGTGACACAAATGCACAAAAGAAACAAACAAGTGGAGCTGGGCCATATTAGTGTGTTAACATAAAGAAATGAAAAAAAAAAAAGAAAGAAAGAAAGAAAAAGAAAAAAACACCACCACCAACAAAACAAACAAAAACATGATAATTACGACAATCTGAATAACTTCAAAGAATTTTATGCAAGCCACATTTTGGCATTGGCATAGGTTTTTTAAATACGTTCCCTGTCGTTTAAACGATGATGATCTACTTAGAAAAACCTTATGTTAAAACAAAGCCACCATGGGCTCAACTATTTCAGACAATAGGGTAGTTTTGGGGTTCACAAGTTCTCACGTTACAAGATAAATGATCTGGAGTTTCATTTTTTCTGCCCAGTGTTTAGGAAACAGGAATTTTGCATGCATGCGTGAAATACTGAAGAGGCAGCCAAATCTGAGAAACCGCGCGTAAAGTTACAGTCCTTTTAAAAGCCGTTATGCTTTGAATTTTCAAAAATATTCCACACCAGACTGCAAGAAGGTTTCCTTCCTTTTAAAACTGCCAAGAAATGTGAGTCTCATGTTAAAGGCTGCTATGGGGTTTTTACAGTTTTTTGAAAGTTTTCATGGAAAAATTTATAAAAAATATTCTATAGGAAATGAAGAATGGACTGAGTTTGAGACAGAAACAATTACAAGTGATTAGGTAGAACATAATCACTTGAGCATTTCTAAGCTCAGTACTGTTGCAGTGTTATTTGATGTCAGTAGTGATATGCCATCACTCCATATAAATATATAGGAATTTTTACTAATGTACAGTGTTATAGGATAATGTACACATTTGCTAAAATTATTACAGAAAAAAAGACATTGAATTAACCACTGTATTCCTCGAAACGATTAAGGTCGATTTTAGAGTTATACTATTGAGAAGAATTGAGTATCTATAGGATAATTGTTCGACGAAAAACTATCATACTTACCTTTTCCTCCTTTGTACTGTTTTACGAAAGGAAAACTGTCCTCTATTTATTTCTCTATGGCACTTCAACAGCCCATATTGACGCATGCGCATACAAAATGCCCTCCTGTTGTTATAGGATAATGTACACATTTGAAAAAAAGACATCTTTTGTATAACTTATTTATTCAATTTTAACTCGCTTATTTAAAACAGTGGGAATTAAAATGGAGACAACAACAAACCTACATGGATGAAAGTAACTGTATTCGTAAACTTTAGGTTTTCTACATTTTTTACACACTGGACCGGAGATAACTTATTTCAAGAAAAAAATTGAAATAAAACTATATTTTGAGGATTTTGAGGATTCTGACGTTAACATGACGGCAAAAGGAAGTAAAATCAGCTCTGAAATGTTAGGAAGAAGTAACTGATTTCTTTGGAAAGTGTCAGATGCTTCACTTGATTAGGACCAGGAGGACGATGTGTTATTCTGGACACTTGAATTCCCGGGAACCGGCAAATTCGTTCTGTTTGGGTAAATTCTATTTTCTATAAGCTGGAAAGGCGTTGCTGGGCTTTTTTTTTTGCATTGTAGTATCGCTAGGGTGTTAAATAATGATAAATGGGTATATACAATAAATGTCACTGTAAGTCATATGATTTTTTGGTTCGCACGATAATGGATAAACAAAAGCAAACGAGAAAACGGCGAAAAATAACAGTCTCGTTTTAAGAAAATTTCGTTATTTGGAAATTTTGTCTCTGATACACGGATTCCATGGAAATAACTTAGCCTTTCTTTAGAATGTGTTGGAAGCACGTTTAAACTTTAATCTACCGGAACTATTTTGGAGAAGACATTGCCTTCAAAAACCGTTCTGTTCTCTGGACTTGCTGCCGTAAGCCTACAATATGAGGTGGCCCGGGGACGAGGAGGGCACCAGAAAGGTTCTATCCCGGATGTACATTAAGACAGCATGTTGGTTCTACAGCCATGGATGCCAGGCTGGGTCCATACGACACAGATTATCAGGGCTTGTGGCCGCAGCTATCAGGGTCGTGACCTTTGTTTCACCGCCTTCATATTGCGCAAGATCTGGGAAAAGAATTTGAAACATCTCAGTACGTAGTAAGCTGAAATGAGGAGTGCTTAGCCTGCGCCTTTCGCGAGGGTCACCATTAAAGGCTGGTCATCACAAACGATGGAGGGAGTCGGAGTCGTAATCAGAAGCGTAGAACTGTACGATCTAGTAAAAACAGCGTTCAGATTCTTCTGATTCCGCTTACGACTCCGTCGTTTACGATCAAGTAAAAACTGGGTCGTCGGAGACGTAAGTAGAAGCGGAAGAACTAAACCAGTCACAAAGCGTGGGAACGTGCACCGTGATTAGTTTATCCTTCCGCCACTGCTTCCGAATTCGACAATCTGGTTTTCACTACATCGTAAGCAACGGAGTCGTAAGCGGAGTCGGACGAAAATGTAAACGTTCTGATTCTTCTAACTCCGATTCCGTCTCGCTTATGAATTCGCTTACGACTTCGATTTTTGATTTTCACTGGGTCATAAGCGCTCTTACGACTCCGCTTTCGAGCCTTAAGACTTGATTAAACCAGAAACCGCGCATGAAAGCCTCTGTCACCCAGGGTATGCGGACGTCTCCTTAGGTTTTTCTTTGGTTCATGCGGAAAGAAGACACGTCTGCACGCATACACGAAATACGTACAAAAGGCGATTCGTAAACTTAAGGTCTCTACACCAAGGAACAACAATTACTTATGGTAACACCAATTAGGAATGGAGGTGGTAAGATTCCAGGAGCATGGATGTCCAAGAACAGACAGCGTAGCAGGTCGATAACAGCGGCGAACCGCCGAGGACACACAAGACCCGTTTCAATATCTGGAGATTTTTACTTCGCTCCTAGACTTGAGGGAATGAAACCAAAGAAAATTATTACTCATCTCTGATTTCTTTTGTTTTACACCCCCCCGCCAATTCTAGGGGTCTAGTATTATAAGTCAAAATGAGTCTATTTCTAACACAAACAATAAGAATCGAAATTCGCCAACCACAGGTGCAAGGATCGAAATGCACCAATCCCAAACAACCACAACGCTACTAATAGCGCCCCCCCCCGCCCCGCACAGCCAATCAACTTCATCACCTGATGCAGACTAGCAGTAAGCTGAAAAAAACAATTAATGAACAAACCTTATTATGAATGACTTACTTTGTAATCTGGTCATAATGGCGTTTACTGCGCCGTTGACAAGTGTAATCAGCAGCTCACTTTCCATATCAGTTGGTGGATTACTCAGCGGGAAGGCGTGCGTCTCGTCTTGTTTCTACATTCAAAAGGAAGTATGTTAGAAAACGAAAGAGGCTTATAACTCTCTCACTCATTTAAACCCTCCAAATATTCCTTAAAAACCTGGGAAAGGGAGCATGGTATGTAAAGAGGTTTTTAGTATTTAAGAGATGATCTGTCGCCATGGAAACTCACCTTCTTATGCCAAGCGATCATCTCATCACGTAACACAGCCCTCAGAATACTCTGAATACTGAAATGAGGCTCAGCTAAACAACGCGCAGCAGACACAATTGCTGCGGACACCACTCCGTTAACACCGACCGGTGTTAAAAACTCGGCAAGGTTCGGGGTTAATCGGAAAGGTACGGGACGGTTCGCGTCAAGTTTGCCTGTCAATAAGACAAAAAGTGTGAATGAATTTAACAGGTACTTTTAAGGAAGCCGCAGAGCTGTTGAACAGACCTCTACATGAATTAAAGAAATCTAAAGGGAAAAAGTAAAATCAGCAATCAACAATTAGCGAGCTTAAGATAAAAAAAGAACGCCGACGTTCCGGAAGTCATGAATAGCAACCGGAAGTTCGATGTCTCGCTTGATGAAACGCCTCTGTCTCGGAGGACAAAATTGACAGCTTTTGTTTGAACTCCTGCAGTACGAATTTGCCGATTCAGAGCACTGAATGAGAGAAAATATCAGCTTCCGGTCGTCATGTTTGACGCCCAGGACGTGAGCGTTCTCGTTGCTTAAGGTCAAAAAATGAAAGCAAATACTTAGTAACAGACAGCCCCGTTGAGACCAATAACACTGCGCCTCTCCTAAAAACTGACACTATCGCAGACACCACAAACCATACCTTCAGAGTCGTCCACTTCAAACCGACTGTACGAGACAGTAAGTCGGCCCGAGTCTCGCGCAATTTGAAGCATTTCCGGCCCCAGTCTTGTAAGGTGCAAGGTGAACTCGGCGAAACCCGACAGAGCCAGTTGAATAGAGAGCTTAGTAAGAGCGAAAATAAATCACGTTAGTTAACCAATGATGGATTTAACTTCTGGAAAAATTTCTAGGCGAATGTTCTTGTATCTACTTTCCATAGTTTACAGTTTCAGCATGACAATTGCCTGTTCCAAGCTTCAAGATAGTCACGTGCGAATCGTGAACACTGATACGAAAAACGCGCGGGGGCTGGGGAGAGAGAGAGAGAGTAGACGGTCTCTCTCCTTCTTTTCCCACCATTGCCCCCTCCCGAGACCTTACGCATCCGATTCGCCTTTGACCTTGTTTCTAAGACCTCCCTACTATCTCTCTTGGTACAGGCTACCATGACAACGCCACAAACGCCCTGAGCTGAGTTGCTCAAAGCATGGTTAGCTTTAACCATTGGTTAAGCAGTATTAAAACCAATACGTTGTCAAGGTATTAAATGCTGGTTAACGCTAACCATGCTTCGAGCAACTCCCTGGATGGGATGCCAGTAAACCCCCCCCCCCATTTCGTAGTTTCCTTTTGTTGCTGTTTTTATATCATACTCGTCAGTCCCAAATTCATTTTTAACATGATAGGTACCAACCATTCACCTCAGTGAGGAGGGATAAATTATATTGAGGTAGATGAAAACACTTAAAAATTGGCCAAATATCGAGAAGTCGCCCTCCCCTTCTCGCAAAGATAAGAAAGGATAAAAACGACACCTTATTGAAAGAAAAGTAAAGTAATCAACTAAAATCATAATAAAATACTTCACATTACTCTACCCAAATTTAACATATCTCTAAGTCAGAAAAGAAAACACAACATCTACAATAGGGACCATGTTAAATTTGTATATTGTATTGGTGGACACGACCTTAAATAATGCTTGTTTATATCAACTATCAAAACGTAAAGCAGCTGAACAACAAATAATACGGCGTAATCACATTAACTCTCTAGAGTACCTGTTTCCTAAAGGTCCAATAATCCGAAGGGTCTTGGTAAGTGTATTGGGCCCATTCTTTCAGAAGTATTTCTGGTACCAGTGTGAGCTGCACCTCTCTTAGAATGTCCTTCAATACTTGATGAGTCACCTGGCAACCACGTGATTGCACGGAAGCGAGGCGTTCGTAGTACAAGGCTATTGGCGCATCTGATTCCATGTTTTTCTTATCGCAACGCTGCAAAACGAAGGTGGATAGGTAAGGGTTGATTTCCAGCGTCGCGTAATCTTTACGTGCGTAAAGATTACGTTCACAAATAAAATAAAGGCAATGCATGAAAGGTCGCTCGTAAGCGTAAAAGTTGAGCCTCGCTCAACTTCTCCTTTAAGCTCTACTTTATTTTCTTGCCTCTATTTTATTTACGTGATTTAAATTTACGTGCGTTAACGTGCGTAGCCAAAAACGCGTCAGTGGAAATCAACCTTAAGGGTTCAAGCGCGCTCACCACTCAGTATTGAGAAAATCACGTTCTCGAAGTTGTGCTCGTCTTAGAATCTGAATGTCTCTGTTAATAGGAAACGTATTGTTACAACAGCAATTATAAACTGAAGCTACACTGTACTTTCCCTTACCTCTGTTAGGATTTCTCGGAGAGAAATAAAAGACGGGTTGTCCTAGGAAAAAAAGCACAGCGTTAATAAAATAACGCAAGAAATGTCTCAACATTCTTCAAATGAAATGTGTGACTTGTGGCACTATTTTGACCTTGCGTGACATACCTCTATCAGTCTCATCTGAGGTGAAACAGCAACAACTCGAGGCACAGTAAATAAAAGATGCCTTTTGCAAGACTCCTGGAAAGAAAAAAAGGAGAATAAGTTGAAAAGTTGAATTTAAGCCACTGAAAGAGGAAACTACAACACTAATTTTCAAATATATTTTTCTGGCCCAGTATCTAAGTCTGCACCTTTCTCTTTTCCAAATAGAGATTAAGCAGCCTCAAAAGCTGAAGAATCCTTTCTTCTCTTCTTGACTCTGTCATCCAAGCATCGTTGACCACGAGATAAGGGTAGATCTATAAAAATCAAGAAATGGGGTTAATACATTTCGAAATGATAAGAATATTTACTCCAGATACCACAATCTTATTTCCAGGGTTCGTGTTGTTTTAGGTGAGCAGTTCATGAAAGATCTGGTCTCCGCTGGCCTAAATTGCACTTAATGTGGGCACGGTCTAAAACTCATATCCAGACATACCTTTCCATTGTTACCCCGGATGTACAGACGCCTTGCAGAGAAGTTGTGCTTCTGAACCAGTTCTACTCGGGGCATGAACCTGGCGATTCTGATATAGTATGGACTGTGCTGTAGGGATAAAAAATAAACGAAACTGGATACACTTCATTTTGTCCCAGTCACACATTTCTTGACCGTAATTCTTTCCCGCCATGTCACGACTTTCATTTTTTGCCTCCAAAATGCGTGATAACAGGGCTGATTGATTTCAGCACTTTCCCGCCAAAATGACCGAAGCCTGAGAAAGCTTTCAGTTGTATTCACGCCACAAATGAGCCACATTTGCGGCATCTGATGAACAATTCTGATAAGAAGGCCAAAATTTACTGGCAAGCTACAATCAAGGACAAAAGTTCTTGGGAAAATATTCATATTTTTCTCTCATTTCTGGGTTCCCTCACACACTGTGAAACTCGGAAAAAATTCTGGATACACGCGTCCAACATTGTTTGTGGGGGGAGGGGAGGGGGTTAGGCCTGTGTGAATTGGAAAACGCCCCAGAGATGCAAAAGTGTCCGAAGACTTTTCCGTGATTGTAGCTTTGAACTGTCATTCTGAGTCTTCTTTAGCAGTACTTCCAAGGCTGAGAATAATTATTCAAAGTATACTAACCGTATTTGCCTTTGGCATCAGGAACTCGCCTGGAAGTTCCACTTCTGCGGTGGATGTGGTGAAGTTACTAAGGAAACGACATCTTTCCTCTAACAAAAAGGAACTGAAAAATGAAAAAAAAAACAACAATTTACCAAGTCATGACTGAACTGGGAAGGGGGGTGGGGTGGTGAACTCTGGTTGGTATCAACTGCGCACAAATATTGACCTGCACTTTAAAGGTCACGTGTGATACTGGGCGAGAGCTCGGTCTAATTGAATGATGGGACTGATTTATGGGAAGCGCACCATAGAGCAATCCGTTTCGACGCCGATCTAGTATAACGCGCGCGCGAGTGCAAGAAAGCCAGTAAACAACACTCTTCACCTTGGTGAATACCACACCAATGGATAAGGCTGCGTAACATAGAGAAGAAAAAGTTGTTCTTCTTCAGACAATGCTCTACTCATGCGCAGTATGGTTCCTAATGGCGGTAAACCGTGTACAACTGTTACGGCTGCTCTTGTCATTTCGCTCGTACAGTCCAGTAGTTTTATGTTGATTGTGTATATAAAGCATTTACAATTATGTCTTACTTTGGAAGAAGTTTTGCTTTCTCCTCGAGAATCTTGATCCACTTTTTTAGTTTACTGATCAGATTATGCAGACCCATGGAACCTGGTTGACTGAAAGACAAATCAAAAGTCACATGGGCTGGTTAATGCTGTCATTAAAACTTTGTTACTTCGTCTGTCTGTGCCTTCATCCCTAAAATGAGCATCAATTTTCTTATCTTTCTCGCACTAGTCAAAACGTCTTACATCGGCATGTGGTAAGCACTTAACTGGATTTTTCATGCTGTACGGAATTGTCTTCAGATGAAATCTTAGTGAGACCACTCAAATGAATGCTATACTGAGTAGTAATTTATCAGTGGGGGTATTATTCATGACACAACACAAGGAGGCTTTAAAACTTGAGCCTGCGGATGTCTGCAGTTGAAATGGTTATCACAGACCTAAAGATTCGAGGACGAGACTTGCCGAAAATTTTTTATTCCGCGTATTCTCAAAAACACACACCCCTTAAAGCTTCATTTTACTTCTTTCACCAGAAAAAATAACGCAGTTATTTTAATTGGACGAGGTTAAGCCCTTTCCCGATCACAAAATAACAAAACCTTGATAACTTGTTTACGTCACCACGACATTTCGGTAAAACATGTCACAATGACGACAGATATCGACAGAGATTTCACGCCAAAATGACGCTCTTTCACGCGCGCGCACTAGCTAAGCATTGCGAAAAACTTGTCCTCGTAGTCATCTACGAGTTTCTATTTAAAACTTGGAACATTTGACTCAGTTTAGCTGTTGAACAACAACAAAACAAGGCTACAAGCTGCTCACGTGAAGTCAAAATCAATGGCGAACTGCTCCTTCAGTCTCTGGAAAACTGGGTCTTGAGCCGTTGCCTGGGCCCTTCTCGCTAGGGACTCAGATGCTGCTGAAGAAAAGGTGCTTGACACGCTTGAAGCCGATTCAAATCCGATCCCAAACGTGCTCACAAGCTTTTTTACAAAGCTTAAAGTATGAGGGGTGATACGAGCAGACGCAACTGTGTAAAAAGAAAAGGAAAAAGGAAAAAAAGTTTCAAAATCACCCTCCTCACAGCTACGAAAAAGGAAGAAAAAGGAACTTTCCAGTGCTCTATCTATTATATATTACGCTCTACAATTTATTTTCCATTTTAAACTTTGCAGATTAAGTCATAAAGTGTGACCATTCTACTTAACGCTACTGAACAGTACTTTCCAGTAGCTCTAAACTTGCGTTTACGCAAACTTCCAGAAAATCAAAAGAATACTAGCAAAGAACCAAATTTGAACGCTTGATTTTGCAATTTTTTTCTGTCGTGACTGCGATCCTGCAGCTTTACGGCAACAGTCCGCTATACATACCATCTCCTCTGGTCTCAAAGGCTACTTGGTAACACTTGGTCAGACCCTGACGAAGCTGCCTGAGTACTTCCTCATGCCAACACTCTCTGAACCACACCATCTGTTGAAAAGAAAACACCGTTCTTAAAAACAAACCAGTATGTAATATTCCATTTTACAGCTTGGCATTGAGTATCCTGGCCTTGAGTTGAAGAGATCAAAACCAAATCACTGCCAGCTTCGCTTCCACTTAATCTACAACTGTAAATAGGCCATTTGCACTAAAAGGCATGTCACATCGTTTTTATGAAAATGAAAGTTATATGATTTTGCCTTCGAAAAACGATTGGTGGGTCATATCTTAAACAAAATAATGGTGATTTGGTTTTTCAAACCCGAACCATTTTCTTAAAATGAATAAGTTCGTAAATGGTCACGTGACCAAAATGTGAATTTTAAAATTATGAATTACCTCTTTCTGAACACAAATTTTGCACTTAAACTTCACGGAAAATGTTGAAAAGATGATGTGATAACGTTTACAGCACATCTGAGCGTAAATATGAAACGTTGAACAAGATATAAGCAAGAAGTAGTTTTGGCCGCCATGTTGGAGGGCAAGAACATGCCCTCCAACATGGCGGCCAATACAAATCATACTACTTTGCTGAAAAATCAAAGTGCCATAAAATATCTCCCTTAAATGCGTTTCCTCTCAAATTTCGGGTGTAAGATAATTTTTATGTGCTCTAACAATTTTTGGCATCAGCAAGATTCCAACTCATTGTTTAAAGGAAGCATTGGTCACGTGACCTCTTAGTGCAAGTGGCCTATTGCCTCTACGATAAGCCCACAACAAGAATCTATCGTATGGCTTCAATCAAACCAACCGCACGAACAAGTCATTTCATATGTTTGGCTCATCGTTATCACGTAACATGCGCAAGTTGAACCGAGTAAATCGGCCTCAAATGTTTCACTTTACGCCGGCAATCAACTGGCTGAGCAATGAGAAGTGAATACCTGATCCACGACCCCTTCGAGGGCTGACAGAAGAGTAGGGTGAAGGTCCCTAAGAAGGTGCATGATCTTACTACAGCGCCACATCTGAGCTGTAGCACGGATGGCCCCTGGGTCACTCTGACTACTGGCTGGTGTGGAGCTTGTGCTTTGTGGGGTTCCTGTGGTGGCTGTAGTGCTGCCTGCGGTCGTAGAACTCGTAGCTGAGCCCACAGTAGATGTAGGAGTCGGTGCAGTGGTTGTATTTGAATGAGCAGGTGCTGTTGGTGTAGAAGAGCTTGTTGATGGAGGTGCTGGTGTGCTCTTGAAAGAGGATAAAAACAACAACTTCAATAAATGTAAGAAGAAATGAATATTTGTAAACGTGATCTAGAGAAAGGATAGTTTATTATTTTCCGTGAAACACATCTACGTACCGTAGTGGCTGCTTTCAAACTTCCCGCATTTTCTGCTAAAAAGGAAAACATAAACCTCTTATAAGACATTTAAAAGGACATTGCTCAAACAATCAAAGGAGATATAGATATTTTTATGCTGCACTAAATGTAGTAGCATGCACTCCATGAAATATCAAAGGGAAAACAGATGTAACGTGATTATATTTAATCCGTGAATCAAGCGTTAACAACCGTCACACCAAAATAACCGAAAGAAAAAAAAAAGGAACTAAATTATTGTAGGTAATATCACCCAAGACAACGATAAAGTGTTACACATTATTGACATTATCATTCCATGCAAATTGTTCTTCCTTGCAATTGGCCGAAAGCCTACAAGGTGACCTGCGAATAACAGCCTACAAATAATGGTTTGCTCATGCGCAATGTCGTCAAACTGTGTTTGACTTTGTGTTTGGCTGCAAATAATATTCTGCTCATGCGTAAACAAAACCACGCTTTTATCATTGTTGCGATCGCTCTTGCGTGAAAATGGCAGATCGCTTCGCTTCCCGAATATATTCATTAAAAGGCAAACTTGGTGATCGAATGATAAAACAATTTTTCGACTTAGTAATGTATTCACAACCACCTTTTTTAAATCGATTAAGCTCAACTTGAAGGTAATTATTTTACAGCAGAATATTAAATGGTTGTAGGTCTCTTAGTTTCCCTTAGTAGCATTGCCGAGCTCGCAAGCGATTTGAGAGAAACTGAGTGACACGCGAGAAGCGAGGGGCTAAGCACCAAGCCCTCGTCCCTCGAATGAGAAGAGATGAGAAAAAGGTTCTCCCGAGTCCTTAACTCGCTGTCTTTACAATCTACTCCACATACCAGAGGCTTGAGAGCTGACTGCCGCAGTACCAGTCGTTGCTGTCGAGGCTGCAGCCGTACTGGTTTGTCCTGTTTCTGAACCGGTTGTACTTGTTTTGGAAGCAGCAGAATTCGCGTTTTGTGAATCTGAGGACGCGGTGGTGTTGGTGCCTCCAGTAGAACTGCGGTGTGCTGATATTCCCGCTGCGGCAGCTTCCATTTTATCTGGAATTTGAGATTTCATGAGGAGTTCATAAGACAGCGCGGGAAAACAAAAAAGCAAGCGAGGGAAACGTGCAACAAGCCTTAGCGCGCGAAAAGGAAAACAGCTTCCAAAACGAAAAAACGCGGGCTCATTGCCTAACAGGATCAGTATAAGCTTCACGGAAACTGTCCACCAACCCCTTCTTAATCCAACATTTTGCCCTAAGTGAGAAGTAAGTGTTAACGGTAGATTGGGGGAGGGGTAGGTGCGCAGGTTCGCAGAATCGAACACGTGCTGCAGTATAAAGAAGAGAAAAACAAACGTGTACTTCAACAAATTCCTCAAAAAACAAAGAAAAAGCAGGAAATAAAAAAACAAAACTTACGCCTCTCCCGCTGTTCGATCTTCCAAGTTAGATAAAGTGTTCTGATTGGAAAATACATGGCCTAAAAAAAACGATAAGAGACTTCGTGGGCTGAACAAAGAACAGTTTCTAGTGCTTTAAGAAGATTAACAATTCTTATCCTCAAGGGACAAGGTCATCTTTAATGATTCTTGGCTGCGTGTTTACAAGCTTTTGAAACAACATTGAAATAACTTTCAACTTGTCTACCAGATACCTTGTGTTCTTATCTGTCTTCTCATTAGCTAAGAGTCTACAGTTAATTTTGGAAATTAGTGCAACCTACAGCGCAACCTATCTGCTAGCAGATAACTGACTAATCTGTAGGTTGCGTGCGCAATGCATGATTTCCCATAACAATTATATCAATTCAGGTTCCTTGCGACGGTGTGTTTGTCGTTATTTTCTTCAAAACAATGTATAATAAAACAACTATAACATTAGGTTTTTGTGATATCTGGAATAACCAAGGTCTTGGTAAGTGTCATCAGCCTCGGCCTTTGGCTCGGCTCGGCTGATAACACTTTCCTCGACCTTGATTACCGTTACTCCAGATATCACAAAAACTTCATCCAATAATTGGTTTATTAGTTGTCATATTACCTGAGGATGGACTCGTCCTATATTGCACAGAAGATTTAAGATTTTCTGACCTTCACGTCGAACCAAACAAGTCAATAACTGAGGAATCCTATGTAGAAAGAGAAACACAAACATATTCAGCAAAAGAAAAGTAAGCCTCTGCGTCTTTCAAGAATTCAAAAGGAAAGGAGAAACAAACAATTCATCAAACAAACGTAAACAGAGAGGCACTGAGATATAGACATTAATGGGCGGGTTCCATACCATGGTAACCAGTGAACCGGGGGGACACCAACACAGTACTTGTCCACTGCTTCGGAGATTGATCCCTAGAATAGATAACCAAAATTAAGCTAAGAGAGCCGTTCAAAAACCTTAACGTTTGTAGATAAGCTTCAACTTGATGATAATTCAATGTAATCATCATCATCATTATCATGATCATGTCTCGAAATTATACGTTCTGTTGACGCTGTCAATCTTTTGCGCGTGCGCCTATAACTTCTACGTCTACACAATTGCTAGCTTCTATAAAGTCCAGTCCATACATAGCAGTTCATAACAGACCTTTTCGTCATCGTAAGTCATCAGCCAGATGGTCCTCGCCAAGTACTTCCGGCACTTAGCCTCGTTCTGGTGTCTGCAGGCATGAAGGTAACACACAATGGCAGACACGCCCAGCTGCATGTTCCTATGGCGACAGGTGTAAACAAAAGACAAGAGAATTTAAGACACATAGCCCCACGCTAGTGAAAGAATATGAACGTCTCACCTCTCTCATTTTAAACCGAGCTTGAATTTTCCACCTTAAATTATCTTATCTAGCACTATACACGTGTCTCATATTAACCTAGTAAGTGTCCTTGCTCGCCATGAGTCGCTCCGTAACTAAGTGATTAGAGAGTCCAGTATTGTTAAGAAACTAATGTTTATTCGTTGGGCCACGCTTGCGATGTGATTAAAATGTCTGAATTAATGTTTCCCATTAAAAGAGAACTTAACAGATTTTAAGACCGAAGTTCCAGACATTGAGGCTTTGTCATGAAAAAATTGAAATTTTGGAAGAATGAGGGGGAAATTACCTCTCGAGTACAAACAGTCCGTCCAGGTAATCCCCCCATAGCGCCCAGGCCATAACAAGTGAATCATGCATTTGAACGGCTTGAGAGAAAGCTTTATTTGCATCTTCAGACCTACAAAGAAGGAGAAAATGAGTAACACCTTTACGAGAAGGTAATTACTTTGGCGTATTCGCCATACAGAATAGACCCTTTAATTTCCCGGTTCCTTCACATCAGCCAGGGCCGGGTTGTTCAAAGCTGGGTTAAGATAACCCAGGGTTAGTGCGAAATTTGACCTCAGATATGAAAGCTGAAATAGTAAATTCAGTTGAATTCTTGTTGATGATTGGATGCTGTTAAAAATGACAGAGAAATTATCCGAGAAAATGCTTTTGAACAAAAGAAAAAGAAACCCGGGTTAAATTAAACCCTGGGTTAAGCGCTAATCGGCCTTCGAACAACTGCGCCCAGGTCTTGTGTAGTTGCCGGTTAACTGGGACGAAATCGTTTACATGACTGCATGCACAAAATTTCACTTATGCTTTTCTTTGCTACATTTTTTGAATTTCTATCGTCAATCCAAAAATTATTTTGACAATAAATTCGCAAGATGAGACGCATGAGTATTTGTAAATAAACTGGGCTAAAGGGTTCACATGGAAGCAGCGCAACACCACCCCTCCCCCCTGCCCCCTTGAAAAAGCGATGTCGAAATAAGCGTTTTAAAGGTTAACAAAGGGCTTATCCGATGGGATGTTAGTACCGGTTTGTATATAGCTAAAGATATAAGCTCCTGATCTTGCGAACACGTCGAACACTCTAATCCTACCTTCCTATGTAAGCCAAAAACATTCCTTTGAGAGCGAAGAACTCGGCAGTCATTTCCTTAGAAAAGTACTTGAGATTTGTTGATTCAATAACCTCCAGGCCCTGTTAGAGAAGAAAGAACAAACAATTATTCGTAACTCATAATTTTATTCTCATTCAAAAAACGGGGAAGGTAATCCGTTATTTTGACCAAACAATTTAAAAGTAAATAATAAATGACTTAGTTACAGAGAGTACAAACCTCTTGTAGCTCTTGTTTTCCCATCCCACCAGCCATCTGCAGGTAGCACTTAACTTGCTGTTTGATCTTTTGAAAGCAGTCCACGATAGGAACACTGGGAATGGTATGAATTCTGAAACGAAAATGTGCCTGCTACAATGACTTCTGACTCAAAAAGACCAAGCATGTTTTTACCGTCTACTAACTCGCGCGGCTGGCGCCACTGGAGTACGGGAGCGGAGCCGGCAGCGGGAAAATAGGGAGAGAAAAAGGAAAAATCGCCTTTCTTCTCGCGGCTCTGCGGCCAAAACCAAAGTGCTCGTGAATTAAAACACGCAAGGGCGTTAAATCCCGCAGCTTCGCAAGTCAACCTCCTCAGTAACCGGCCATAATCAACGATGACATTACTTTTACAAAAAAAATAAATAAATAAATACACTTAATCATCCTCTCCCCGTAAGAGGCTTTTCAAGGATAATGATAAATAATGTGAAATCATCAAATAAACTAAACAAGGTAAAAATCTTAACTGGCAGGCAGCAAAGGCGGGGTTTTTTACATGTATGGCCGAGGAGATGAACTCAGGGATACTGCTTAGTTTTATATAGTTTAGTTAGCATGTCGAGCGTTTTAAGCACGAGCTTCTAGCTCGGAAGATTGTGCAAACGTTTCCAACGTTCACGTTCTGACAAACAATTCCTGCGAGTTGTCAGAGCGGTGATTAAACCTGGACACACAGATTGTAAATACTAAGCCATGCTGCCTATTCCTTTACTTGATGCGCTCAGCGTTTATTCACAAATGATCATATAACCGGCCACAAAGTGTCCAAACAAACCTGCTCAGCCAGTCCAGACAAACTCCTGTGAGGTTCTGCTTTCTGGCTATGTAACCATAATGAATTATGGCCCAGGCGGAGGCGTGGACACCAAGCATGGAGTGGTTACTCTGCTGCTTACAAAATAAAAAGGTGTCCTCATTAGTAACGAAGGAATTGTGAAGAGAAGCTATAGAGCGGTTTTCACTTGACTGTCGAAAGGGATTGGTTTTGGTTTTTGTTTTTGTTTTACTACGCCCTTTGGTTGGCTAGTGTATTTACTTTGGTTTTGGTTTTACGACAGTCAAGTGAAAACCGCTCTAAGATGACTGATATACATGTGGGCTGGGTTATTCGAAGCTGGGTTAAGATAACCCAGGGTTAGTGCAAATTTTGAACTCAGATATGCCTACAATTTGATGATTGGATATGCTAAAAAAATAGAGAAAATTATGCGAGAGAGGGCTTTTGATAAAAAGAAAAAGAAACCCGGGTTAAAATTTAACCCCGGGTTAGCGCTAACCCGCGTTCGAACAACCGGGCCCTGATCTTAGTTGAATAGCATGGAGTGGAGTAGCATGAAGTGGCACCGTTGGTTAGTGTGCGGCCTTCAGTGGGCGAGGTACCGAGTTCGATCCCCGTGACATCACATCCTTGTTTCAACGTCTCTCCTTCCTGAGTAGCTTTGACCAGCTTTAAATACCCTTGAAACGGAGCATTGATGGAGGGAGGGGAATAAAATGAGTACACTGTCAACCTCAAGTTTATCTCTTATTACTGACACAAGTTATCGACGTAAAATATGGTTGCTTTACCTTTACCTTTAATAGAACGTTGTGTGCATTGAGTAATTTTTGTACAAAAAGTGCTTAAGTTTATGACGCGCAATTATTTGTCATATTTCTTAAACAAATACTCCTACGCAGCATTTTAATTCGCTAATCATTTATTTAATGACTAAAAAGAAGATAACGCAATAACTGAAATGATAAATGTCTGAATGTTATATATTTAAACTACGAGATTAGGAAATATATGTAAAGATCATCACAGTAAAATATGTAACTTATGCAGTTGCGAAAAGAAAGCCTCTATAAAATACCATGATAATACCTCCATAAAATAACATATAATAACTCTACAGCTACTAAAAAATTGCATAAACTAACCAGAAATGAAGCAAAATGTTTATAATTTACTGACCTCAAAGGAAGGCAAATGTTTATTTACAAACTGGTAGGGATATGAGTGTGTACGTACTGATAGAAAATGTAGGCAACTGTGTTTTTACTGACCGGTTCATGTTGAGCTTGATTCTCATACGCTGCCACAATGGCCTGATAATGGTGATGTCTCCACATAAACACGTCACTCCAGTGAGATAAATTATCTGACGGCATGGGAAGACGGTTACTGAAAAAAAGAAAAATTAAGACACGTTGGATATGTTTCCAGTTGACTGTTGTAAAACCATAGTACATTTGCCCAATCAGAATGCACACTGACAAGTAAACAAACTAATCAGAGCTCGAAGCCTATGGCCCAGCGCGGGTAAAACGCGTGCGCCCGCAAGTTAGGATTGGTCTTGCCTTTAATGTGATTGGTTGAGAAAGCGACACGAAATTTTCCTAACCACTCCGAAAGCGTAACAACGCGAAACTAAACCAGTCGAGAAAGACGCGCGTTATTACTTTCGACTTCCGGTAAGATCTGTACTAGTGCAGTGTTTCAAACAAAACATTGTTAAATCGTGTTCGGTAGGTGAAAAGTACCATTTTGTAACAAAACCGCAAACGTAACGAACAGATTCTTGTGCTCACCGCCAAGTCTTGACTATGGCTTTCATGTCATGGAGACTGGTTGATCGTCCTACATTCGGAGGCTGTAGTCCTGTGTGTATCTGAGCAGCCTCTTGCAGTTCCATTATTTGTTGAGCAGCCTGAAGTGCGAATTATAAACAACGACAAAATAATATGAAAATGTAGATACAATATTAGTCCTTTTATCCAAAATTAATCGCATCCTACAGTGCACAAGACGTGCGTCACAGAAGAATCCAGTAAGTCACCTTGTCCACCACAATGCTTTTATTTGTTTACTTAACTCACCCTCATGCGTGAGACATTTCTTACTATTAGTGTGACTGTGTGATACAGTTAAGCCGTAATGTGTTGCTTGTGATGGACTGTGTGACTGCGAGATGCGGTTCGCAAGTCCAACCCACAAAAATGGCCCTTGCTCGCCAACGAGTCCTCAGTAGCTCAGAGGTTAGAGCATCCGATCTAGAACACGGAGGGTCGTGGGTTCGAATCCCGTCTGGGAATCAGATTTTTTCTGCGTCCTCTTATGGTTGATTCTTTACATCTCCCTTTATTTCCTTTATAACATTAATATCGGTGGCATAGGTTCACCCAGCAATACTTTTCTTTAAATAGGATATGAGACTTTTTCGGACTGATTTAACATTACTACAGTGGAATCTCGATATAACGAAGGGACTGGCAAAATTTGTTCGCTATAATGAGGTTTCGTTATATCGCGGTACTTTTCTGCGGTAGAGAAAATCGTTCGTTATACCGAGGACTTCGTTATATCGAGGTTCCACTGTAGTTAGCTTGAACGCTTATACATAACGTTATGAGGTAACGTAAAGTTTAAAAATAGAAGCTCTCTCTATCACACTTATTTCGACTACGGTAATTCATTGTCTTTAGGTGAGAATTGAAGAGAACATATTCAGAGTAATAACTTTGTTTTCCACAGCTGACTGCTGACCTGTAAGAGAGGAATGTGTTGCTGTGAAATAACAGGGGGCAGTCGTCTCCATTGACGGATGGCTTGAGTGGTGGAATGTTCAACAAGTTTGTCAACCTACAAATGCAAAAGAAGCGGACCCAGAGTTAGAGTTGGCCACTACTCCATTACCCACAGCTTTCATTTGAAAGTAACATGACAATAAATCTTAGCGATAGCGAGAACTGTTCAGGCAAACGTTTGTGATGTTTAATAGCGGATGACAAAAGCCGGAATCTTGATAATTTCTTGCCATCAAGCAACATGCTTGTCTGCCTGCAGTTGTTTCATTGAAAGTTAAATACTGACGCCGATTCGCCATTTTGGGTTCAAGTTTTCAGCGTTTGATCCTTTACTCTCACAAGTCGTAAAAACTTAATTTTTTCCCCGATTTCATTTCTTTAGCTTCTTTAGAGTGCATGGGGCACCTTGAAGTCACTTTCTAAACGTCCAAAACGCAACATTTCAAAGTCAGCAAGGAAGTGAGGCAAGAAATCTTGGACAAAACGCGTAGCTCGCGGAGCCGGAAAGTTACACGTCTCCAAATCGTAAAAATTTGAAATGGTCTCAACACAACAAAACACGATAACAGCCCAGGGACACCTACCATGTTAAGATGCTGCTCTTCTGGATGGCATATGGCGATGTATCCGCGATACAAGTTTAATTTGTAGGCCATGGACTCAGGGAAATTAACTTCAACCTGTTGGAGAGTAGAGTAAGATGATTAGACTCATATGATACAACAAGAGTGCAATACTATTGTTGATTTGGAATGTAATAATACACAAAGATATTACCTGGGCAAGAGCTTCTTTCATCGACTGCCATTCAGGGACTCGCCAGGCGCTTTCAAGAACTAAGCGACGAAAGAAAATTGTTATGCATACGAACAACTTTCACAGGCCAAAAAAGAATTGGACAAGGCGCACTATTCTCAGAACCACAACAATAACTTAAATTTAATTTCTTCGAAAAAAAAATTTAGTTTCCTTATAATATCATTAGTTGACCACACATAAAAGACATGAAAACGAAGGAAGATATAGAAAAATGTCAAATATGACTTTAAGACAAAGTTTATTTACTAGCACTAGACATAAGCATTTCGATCACACTGGCCCGACTAGTCACTTTTTAAGGCGACAAATGTTTGAAGAACTTCTTGAAAATATGCACTTTTTTTTATCCTTTTCCGTTCAAGTTCTCCAAACGTTAGAGTCCCCATTGAGAGTGGTTACTCAGGCAATGATGATCGCATCGACTTTGGATGAAACTGCGTTTACAGGCATGGAGTAAACCTACCAAGAAAAGGATTCGCATGACCCTTGGTTTTTCCAAACTCCATCAGCAAGTCCCACTGACCAAGTTCCTTGGAACAACTAAATATATGAAACGCAATGAAATAGTTATTTTTCACATAAAGACAAGACAATTTTTTGTTCACAATACTCTACATCACAAAAGCTTTCTCGGCAGCTAAACTTTGGGTTTGTCAAGCAGTTTTCGCACGTCATGCACTTTGGTCTCTCGAATCACTCGCAGAGAAGGGGCGCGCGACGTCCAAAAAGAATCACGTTTTGAATGAGCTTGACTAAACTTTCAGTTTAAGACTTAAAATCAGCAAATTTTAATCCAAAAACACGAAATAAACTTAAAATGCACGCAAAACGTAAAGCTGAGTCTGCCATTACTTGATCCAATGTTCCTCCCACAGATTGTATTCTGAGTTCAGTTGTGGATTGGCGGGTCCTCGGTTATGTTCCTCACGAGCTTTGCTCATCGCCTGCAGATAAGAAATTAATACGTCATGATATTCAAGAGAACTAACGAACCGCTCACTTAGAAAACGCTCTCTAGGAACTAGAAGCCTCATCAGAGAATTCTCCTGTAAGCCTTGTTTAAGGGTTTGTCGCATTCTAGTAAAGCAGAACCTTACAACGAGACAGATGCGATCTCTTCTGGGTATCTGTACTTTCGAGTAGCAGTTACATTTTACCGATATGCCATGTCAAAATCGTTTGAATGATCACACTATGGGATTCTATCAGGCTCAAAAAGTACAAGCACCCTTTACAACATACTAAACAGCACCAAAGGAAACTACAGCCAAGTAGCCTTCTCCTTAACAGGAAAAGTGGAAATAGAACAAAGCTTGTTTTGATGTGGTGTTCACACGAAAAGATTCAGGGCACTTTCCATTACCAAGAAGTTCCACTTGGGATGTTATTCCGTGTGGAATAAGTGGAATTTTGAAAACTTAAGGTAGTCCTGTTTTCCCGTTGCAAATTTTCCGGTGAAAAAGCATGTTCTATTTACGAGTTTTAATAAGGAATCACCAGTTCAAGGCTATTCACGGCGATATCTGTGGCACCACCTAGAACTTTGGTAACGAGAGCATGGACGAATAGAACTTGTGTCAAATGGAACACGTTCTTCACTCGATGGACCTTTCCACGGCAGTTTCCGAAAAGTTTTGGTAAATGGAAAACGCCCTCAATCTTCAACGAAGGTTCAGTGAAAACGGAAACTTTTTTATTACCATTTCATAAGCAGACTGCGCCTGTTCATAGAAGCCCTGAGTCTCATAAGCGATAGCAGTGGCTGTTTCTGGATATCGACACCGCTGCTGCCACAAGCCAGCCCACATGTCTTCTTCATTCAACAGTGAATACATCTCGGCAAGCGCATCCATGGTCTCCTAATGGATGAAAATGTTATGGATTAATCTTAAGTTACATTTTATTTTCCTAATGGCGCCTGCTTGTGGCAAGCAGTTTCGTCGCTGGCTGTGTTATTGTTGAGAACGATAAGAGTTTATTTTTTCACAAGGAGTCAGGAGCTCTAAAAACCGATAAGAAAGTAAGAAATGAACATAACTTACAGTTCCCTTGGCGAACATTTTTAATTTTCACGTCAACTAGCGGGGTCTGGGTCAGTCGAAAATTCGGAAAACTATCGTTAGATCCGACATGAGAGATCCGAGTGACTCCGAGGATTTCCCGGCACCAGACATCGTGCCAGCTGACCGCAAAACTCAAAATTGCCAACAAATAAAACACATTCCACATCTATATTCATTAACTATACCCTAACCGTACGTGAAAGGCCCTGGGTGTTTTTGTATCAATTAGAAAGGTGACTAAATTATGCTTCACAATGAAATTGGCCAATGTAAATTGGTGTGAGACAGCCTGAACTAACCCTAAATCAGCCTAAACAAACTTTTAACAAAGTGCATGGAGGCAGACACTGCTAGCAAAACGATCACAGTCTCGGGCAGTTCTATTTTAACATCAAACTATGTCATGCCTTATCACAAATACAATTTTTTTTCATATCACCAGCAAGTTAAATAATGAGAAGAGAAAGGAAAAGAAAACGGAAAAGCACCCTACGTACATGTTGGTTGATCTCAGATGGGTCTTCCTCAAATGGAGAGAAATCAATAACTTGTTGTTGTTGATGTGAAATCTGATGAGTAGAATACTCATCACACAAACTGGCATAGTCCTCAAGCGTGAGTCCAGCGCGATGCCACGAGTTATGACTTTTACCCAGATACTGAAAAATGAAATAGAATTAAATTAGATTAAAAAAACACACACACACGAACACACTTCAAAAAACCTCTCCTATCCTTAACATTTTAAACCGCGAACGGTCGTTTTTCGTTCTCAGAGCCACGCGGCGAGCGAAAAAACACAGTTATGGCAAACTGATGGAAAAATGGAAGAGAGTTTGGGCTCCCGCCCTCGTTCCTGACGACTTAGCCACTCGCCCCTCAAGCTTGCTCAACTGAGGAGCTTAAAATGCTATTTACTGGAACTGCACTTTATCCCTTGTCTTAATTCGTTCATATTTCAAACAATTCAAACTACTTGAAGAGTTAGATGCACTCCTCAAAGTTTCTCAACGTAAACATTCTATATGGCTAAATATTACTCAAGGTTTGGAGCTTGTTTAATGAAGCGGTTAAAACATGTGAAACCAGGATGGATCTTAAATTTAGACATTTACTTCCAGTTCATATTAAAGCTTCACACCAGACATGTTTAAAAACCGTTTAACACCGTTAAATTTGATTATTCATCACGGCTGCCAAATGATTGTTGTCAACTACAAATTTGGCACAAAAAGAGGCAGAAACCGAAATTTACTTGAACTCTATTCAATACCCAGTTCTTTAGTTTTTTTTTTCTACTACTTTCATTTTGGTAAAGCTGATTTAACTAGAAATCTTTTGTTGGTGTGAACAGGGCATTAGATATTGTCTCACCTTGAGGATACATGGACGAATGGGAACGGCAGGGTTACACTTAGAAACGCCTTCAAGGATCGTATGAACGGAGCTCGGAAAGGTGTCAACCTGAACTAAGTGACTTCCACTGCACATAAACGGACTAATCTCACCAGCAAGAACCTGATGACAAGAACATCAAATCAATTGATCTGTCACCCATATTGCGTTGCGCTTTTCCCATTCATTTATGAGAGTATTAGCGAGGTTAAGATTCACGTTTACGCCAAACGGCAGACGTGAATTTGTACCACGTGACCAAGTTTCCCCCTTACTTTCCGTTTACTCTTTATTGCTTCTACACAAAAATAAGTAGTTTTATGCCAGTTTTAACCATAGGAATCGTTAGGGACTGTTTTTATCTGCTTATTTTCTATTCCGAGAAATTCTCAACGCGAGTCTGACGTTTGCCGTTTGCGGTAAATGTGAATCTTAATCTCTCTATCAACTAACTAAACCCACTTCAACGGTAAGCGCGCACGCCAAATAAAATAAAACTTAAGAAGAGATATACTCAAGGCAGTGACTGCAGGTGGTCTCCCAGATGGCAGATCCTTCCCAGCGCCACACAGTGTAGTCTTAGTACGTAGAGTTTTGTAGCGATCATGCTACTCACAATCATTAAGTACGTCTTCTATTCGGAGTGCTCCTAATTTGGAAACCTTTCTACTGGTATTACACGGTGGCTGAAGAATGCCCTTCATAATTAACCCTAGACACAGTAAAAACTACTAACATCGTCTTAAGATTCGCGACAACTTTTCTTTCCAGTAACTCGGCTATTTCGTCTTCACGTAAACGCGTGAAATTTTCCGCCATTTCCTTTATCTCTCCAAATTCCAATCAGCTTGGCGACCACACACGTCCTCCTCCTCTACTACACGTTGCTAAACTTTTCTAAGTCGCTCGCCAACTGTCTTCCGGAGTGTCAGGTTGTTTTATGGCCTTCGTCCATAGGACTCTGTTTGGATGTACTGAATAACCCTCGGCGACTGACCCTTTTTCTGTCCATTATCAGTGCAATTGACGTCAACTGTATTGACATCGACAAACAGCTTACAAATTTCGTCAACGCTAGCTGTTTTAATTTTTATGAACAATTCCCGGAAAGATTGCCTCCCAAGCAGACACTCTTAGTGGAGGAGCGCGTGATGACGCCATAAGAACGTCTACGTGAAGGGCTAAGCCAATCAGAAACGGAGACATTTTTGATTGACTAATAACTGAATATGTTACTTACTTGCTGTTGTTTTTCTGTCAAAAGATTCCACAGCTGAGGGAACAGGTCTACCCACACTTGATGTGCAAGGTTGGAGTATCTGTGGCACAGTTGAGCCATTGAACGCAGAAAAGAGAAAGTCTGAAATCACACCAAAATACCTTTAGCGCCTTCACGCTGAGACTACTCAAGATTAAGAACGATTTCCCCGTACAGAACATAACGCCTGCGCGAGAGTAAACACACGCTACTATGACGGATTCTTCGGAACCTTTCACTAAGGCCTCAGTGTTGCGCACAATAAACAAAAAATATTTTGTCATGTAGCGTCACCAGGGACCTTAAGCAACGACGACGGCGACATCAACGAGAACGGCGAAAAAGCAATAGGTTTAGATTGGCAAAACAACAACTTTGCACGTGCATCACGCGTTTTTGTACATTTCTTTGCCGTCATTGCACAACTACGACGAGAACCTTCCCAATTTCACGCTTTATGAAGGACGTGAACCCAAGAAAACGATTTTCTTTTTTCTTTGGTGAACTCACATACAGCCCTTTAGAATTTAACTCCTGAATAAAAAAAATAGCCATTATTTGAAAAATTAAAAGAGTTGGGATAAGAACGATGAAGTTTCAAACAGCGCGAATTCACTTTTTGAGTGACGTTTTCTCTGCCGCCGCCGTTGCCGTTGGTTAAACGCCCCATTACCATGTCACGGAAAGGAAATCTTATTGGATTACGTACCTTGACCTCTCGAAGCTTTTCAATGAATTTTCCATGTCTCTCTACAAGTTGCTGAACCGTTTCTTCCTTATTTAGTCTAGTGGTAGCGGCCTTCTTGTCCATGGTGGTCAGAAGAGTCTGTGAAGTGACAAGTCATAGGATATATCAGACTAAGTTACGACTGCTTAATGGGAGTTCAATGAAAGAAATAAACCTTTGCAGTCTTGAAATGGAAGTGAAATATTAATTTATCGTTTCATTAACAGTGGCATAGAAACTAAAACAGAGGTTGATTTCTTTAGGCCTTGAAAACAGTCGTGCCTTCATGTGGCATTTTCTTTCTGATATTTTTCAACGACCATATACTATAGTTTAAGAAATGATTGAAACAATGGGACTTTTTTCCTTTACGTCCTGGGAATACAGGCAATTGGTTCCTTGGAAAACCACGTGGATAACACTCAAATAAGGACATAAACAAGATCGTTTCAGTTTATATACATCTATCCGCCCATTTCTTCAAATGTTTTGTCTAACTTATGATAGTACCTCGGAGTCGTCGATCTCAAACAGGAATCGTCCTGAGCCGTCCTCCTTTTTGCTTTCTCCTTCCTTGCTACTCTCTGTCTCCATCTTCTCACCCTTCGCATCCTCAGAACCAGCAGTTGGCTTCTGTTGAGTATGCGCTAGAATCTCCTTACTTGCTGGGTTGTCAGAAACCCGGATGAATGACGTCACTGAGGGAAGCATGCTAAATGTACTTGAGGGAGTCACTGGCCTCTCACATGCAGACACGGCCAGTAGAAGCTGAAAGTAAGGAGATATACGACAAGTTAGCTTAACTCATCCATGATCTGAAATGCAACGCCGCTTCTAGTAGTAGGAGCACTAATGAGGGATCTAGTACAACAGAGCAATGTTCACATCACCTTAAGAATAGGCTGATTTAGCAATAGAACGGGAACGTCAATTCACGACGGCGCGCGCAAATCATACAACTGGCTTGACCAATGGCAGAGCGACAGATTGGGCACCGGAAGTCGAGTTTTCGCGCGCTTTCCCGTCGTCAAATGACGTTCGCGTTCTGTTGCTAAATAAGTCTAATAATCGACTTGACATGTTCACAAGTGAATGCAACTAAAACGATAAACAACTGAGAGGGTAGATATACTTTCTCACATTACTAGCTTTCCGCAATCTGATTGGCCGTTTAAACGATGCCTTTTCCATATTAATAAACATGATAATATACTTTATTTAAAGAGGGTAGTGACGAATAGTTAGAAAAACTAATATACTTGTGGTCCTCTATCGAAAATTATAACTACAAAAAGATACCATGAAATGTAAGAGCTAACGAGAGCTTATAACATTAAGGATCTCTTTAGCGGTAAAACCCGCAAAATTAAATTGTTGCCGTCCTTTTGGTGACTGCTTAAGGAAGAAACAAAAAGGCCAGCTTTGAAGGTCTCGTGAAAATTGGTTTAAGCGAGTCTCTAGCAACTAGGATCTCGTACTTCTATACACTGTTTAATCCAAAAGTGAGGGCCCATGGCTTCCCAGTTCTGAAAAAAAAATAAAAAATAATGAAATTAGTTAAAAATAAACGAAAACAGTTGAGGAAGAAAAAAGCTCCCTTCACGTTATGTTAACATGATGCGAAAGGAATTGACTGGAAATGAAACGAGTTCATGCCGAAATATTTCGACTTTGCACGCGAACCACTTATAATCGACCAGACTTGAACGAGCGATTTAGTCGAAATATTTCGGTGAAACACGTTAGGTTGTCCGTCAGATTCTTTTCGAATCAGTTAGAGAAGAACTAGAAAGTAAACTGTCAAAGTTATCAAGCACTTGAAGCGTTGGAAATGTGAGGCACACGTAACTTAACAACGTCAGGACTAGTTCAGTTGTTAGAACGCGTAACTGCTGAGTGGGAGGTCGCAGGTTCGATTACCGGGACCCAAACAATACTCAAGGAATTCGCATGGCTCGGATGACCACGTAAAATGGAGGTCCCGTCTCCAGTAGCAGACGTAGTAATAGGGTCCTGAATTAGTACTTTCGTGCTAACATACGTTGACACTCAAATTAAGTGCGTTTCCTTTTTTGTATCTTGACGGACACCACGATATGACGGATACCCAAAACTGATAAGCCGCAGACAAATACAATGTACCAGCTGTAAATTGTAATCACGTAAACTGATATACCTGCGAGCAGAAGATGTAGAGTAGACGATCATACAACTTCTTTTTCATGGTCTTATCAAAAACCTGTGGAACAAACAACCCATAATTCAATTGGTTTGAACACGAGAGAATTCAGGAAAGTAGAGCTCTCTATCGCCCTTATCTTCACAGACGTTCTTCCTGTTGACCGTTGTCAATACTCGCTGCTTTTCTTTTCAAATAATCAAACCAATTTATCACGGAATTTTCAAAAAGGAGAGAGATGTTACCCGCACCATAACTGGTTGAAATTCGTCACATAAAGTTCAAAACGAAAACCCTTTTGACCGCATTAGTAAATGTAATTGGTTCAATTTGTTTCAATAACAATTTTAAACGACAGCTGAATATGTTTTACAGAATTTGCGCCATATAAATGAGTGTGATGTGCTACCAAATTTGCTTGACCTCTACCAAACAATGAAGAGAATTATTTAATTGTTAGAAGACTTTACTTTTATCGCATACCTCCATAAATCTCGATCGGATCTGGGGCTGGATACACCGCAATCCAGACAGGAATGCAGGCTCAAGTTTGGAAGCCAGTTCAGTGCTCACAAGGTTCTCATCTCTGCAAAACACGAAAAATCACGTGACTTCACACACCGGAATGCTATCTGACTGATATTACGGAGCTTAAAGCTACGTGCAGACGGACGCAACACGTTTTACCAGTTTCAAACTTTGCGCAAAAACTCCCAACAACATGCATGCAACAGGGTGTGCATACGGACGCAACATGTAACATCCAACAATGTTGGGAGTTGTTGGTCAACCATGTTGCGTCCGTTAAGGTTGATTTCCACTGACGCGAATTTGCTACGCACGTTAACGCACGTAAAATTTGAATCGCATAAAAAGTGCTGAGCTTAAACGTTGAGCGATGTTCAACTTTTACGCTCACGAGCGACCTTTCATGCATTGCCTCTATTTTATTTGCGAACGTAACTTTTAAGCACGTACGCACGTTAAAATTACGCGACATTGGATATCAACCCTTAACACGGGGCTTAAGCAGTAAGCAACAACGATGGCGACGGATACCAAAGACTGTACCAAAGTCCAGGAAAAGAAAAAGAAAGTCGTTGTCTTGTTCACGTCCTCCACAAAACGTGAAATTAGGCCCTAATTAGGCCCCGGCAAAGAAATGCACAAAAAAGCGAGATGCGCGTTCTCCTTGCCGTCTCCATCGTCGTTACTGAAGCTCTCTATTTGCTTTTAAAAACTTCTTAAACTGATCAAGAAAAGTCAAAATAAAACACTTTCAAACCTGTAGACATAATTGACGAGCTCCAAAAACTGAGCTTGCAGTTCGAAATCTTCTGGAAACCGCTTTTCATAGTTGGCCATCATCCTTACAAGCAACGCTGACTTCTCTCTCAATATGGGCAGCCGCTGAATTGTCAGCTGTGTCTGAAGAAGACAAAATACGTTGTGATTTTAATGGCAGCTACCACTAGAATTATATCCGTATTTACTAAGAAAACAGAGAATCAGTAGGAATAATTAAAATGTTCGTTAAGTAGTTTACCACTTTGGTTTTGATCCAGTCTTCCACAATCTTCGTTATCGCTCGAAGAAGTTTTGAGTCCTGAAACAAAATGTACAAACGCAAATTAAGTTTGTAATATATGAAAACAATGCCACCACCACCACCACAACACCACCAACATCAGCAACAGAGAATAATGCTCAGAAGCACATTTTGGAATGGACAAACTCGATTTCATGTAAATGGTCACTCTATTACGCCTGGGATTTCATCAACAGACTCCACAGACAGAAGTTAGAACCACCTTGTACAGCATAATAAACAAAACCACAGGAAAGTACTGCTCAGTAGCTTTCATTTGAATGGTCACACTTTAGGATTTCATCCACAAACTCAAAAGTTAAAACCACCTTGTACAGCATAATAAACAGTACCACAGGAAAGTACTGCTCAGTAGCTTTCATTTAAATTGTCACACTTTAGGATTTCATCCACAAACTCAAAAGTTAAAACCAACTTGTACAGCACAATAAACAGTACCACAGGAAAGTACTGCTCAGTAGCTTTCATTTAAATTGTCACACTTAGGATTTCATCCACCAACTCAAAAGTTAGAACCACCTTGTACAGCATAGTAAACAGTACCACAGGAAAGTACTGCTCAGTAGCTTTCATTTAAATGGTCACACTTTAGGATTTCATCCACAGAACCAGCATGAAATAGCAGTGCCAGAGGAACGTAATGTGCCATAAGAATGAACACACTTGAGCATTTTACCTGCTGACCCAACTTTCACATTGTTTGAAACACTGTAGGAATAAGTGTGCACTGCTGTACTTACAGGCGACTTTTCGATCAGTGTCGAGAGAATGACGAAGAAAAGTCTTCGCATCTCCCCATTCATTACTCCCAGCCGACTGCGGATCAGCTCCAAGCATAAGATCAACATTTCGCTAGCGCCTGTTGAAAAGAAAGTCAAGAAACCTTTATTATTTTTTTTCCTGCGGTTTTAGGGTTAAGGCAGATGCAAGACGCATGCACACGTTCAGTCTAACTGGTTCGGTTTGGTTTTGGTTTTGTACTTGGTTGTCCTAAAAACCATTTTTCCATTTTAATGAACAAAAAGTTATTAAATTAAAGATTAAAATGAGTTACCACATTTATATTCCCATACCTGTGCTTTCTCCAAGTACTGCATTGATGTGATCTTTGTGCATTCGTTGCAATGCCTTGAAAAAAGGACTCACTAACCTACAAGGAGAAGAGTTATTTTGTTACGTATTCTGAACCCAATGAAGTTCAACATAACATCTAATTACTTATTCTTTGTAAGAACAGTTTTAGTCTTTCAGTTTCTTGAATAAAACATTCTTGACAAACGTAGGGACGATTTCAAACAGGCTAGGCATAAAAATAACGACAGCCCAACGTTTATCAAGTTTATCTATACTTGCATTGAATGAATCATTACGTGTCGAAATGATTTTTGTTTGGGAGCAATTCTGTCAAGTGTAAATTTGCCGCGTCAATTTGAAACTCTTATATGCAATAACTGAAAATGAAGTAAGATATTATTTCTTAAGTCATCTCGAGTGAAATCTGTTTTAGTCTTTGCCGATTTCGCCCATCAATGGGCCCATTTTGCTTTTAAAGCGATTATTTTGATAGCTCAAAATTATATTAAAAAGGCGTTAACAAAAAAATATTTCACAGAGTTTGTATTTGGTTTTGAGGTCGATCTAGAAGAAAAGAAAAGTCAACTCCCAAAGCTCAGAAAGAAAAATAGTCTGCTACTCGGCCGTTTTTAGTGTCGTCACGCAACGCTCCTCCCCACTAAGGAGCGTTGCGTGACGACACTAAAAACGGCCGTGTAGCAGAATAAAAGAAAAAGGGACGCCAGCCTACCTGTCGATGTAGGATGGGTTGTGTGAACAGGCCGCTTTCAGCATCATAAGAGGACCATAAAAGATGGACGTTGCCCCATTAGCTGATCTAGTGACCAAACAACGAAAAACACATATGAAAACTGAATACAATTCATACATGTACAAGGACAAAAACTAACAGCCTAAAAACGACATCACGAGAATTTTGTTGTTTTAGCTTCGTTCCCCATACACAAAGTAAGCAACAGCGACGGCGACGGCGACGGCGACGTGTTCGCGCTGCTTTAAACTTTATCGCGCTTATTCCATCTCGTTCTATTCATCAGATGTTGGCGAATTTTTCTTGAGTTGAATTCTAAAGGACTGTATTAAAGTTCAGAAAAAGAAAAAGAGGGCCATTGTCTTGTGTTCACGTCCTCCACAAAACGTCAAATTAGGCAGTTTCACATCGTAGTCATGCAACGACAGCAAAGAAATGTATAAAAAAGCGTGATGCACGTGCAAAGTTTTTCTTTTGCCAGTCTAATCCCATTGCTTTTTTGCCGTCCTCGTTGCCGTCGCGGTCGTCTTTGCTTGAGCTCCCTAACGTTCCTGTAGAGTTTTGGAGATATAAAATAAATTTTACCAGGGAGCACTAACCATAACAACTTGTTGATGATTTTTGCAAGCGCAGAAATAAAACTTGAAAAAAAAAATTGGCCCAGTTTTTCAAGTTTCACTCCATGTCACCCTCGCCATCCGTAGCAACCGACGACAGAAACAGTTTCAATGCATAAATATAGTCTCAAACAACAAATTTGGACCAGTATTTTTGGAATTCTAGTGATGAAAAGACACATTTTAGTTTTGTTCTACGATTACAAAAAGTTTGAAATATTCCTTTTAAAGAATGCACTGTCTTCTTGTCAGCAAATATGGTGGTTACCTTTCGTAGTTAGTAAGGCCATCATAAATTACTTTTCCAATGTTTCCATACAGTGTCTCCAGTTCTTCATACTTTGATGTTGGCGCTGCTAGAAAGAGAAAAAGTCAGGTAGTAACTGAAGTTTCTACAACGGAAACTGATCAAATAATATCATGATGGTGCCACGCCTTACAAAGACGACAGCTAATTAGTTCGCAAAGTGATACCTGATTCAAGGGGAAACAGTGTCATAAGTCTGGCTAGAAGAGTGTGGATTGCACGAATGACCTGCAGCAAAGATTAAAGTTGTATCAGTAAAAATAGTTGAAAAGATCAGTTTAGGTTTCTGGGTAACTGACCACCTACCCCTCCCTAAAGTGAACATTAGGGAACTTTAGCATCGACGACCGCAACGGCAGCGAAAACGTCAGTTTTAAAATGAATTCCCGTTTTTTCAATCTTTGTCGCGTTTATTCCAATTTGCTGAAAATGGCAAGTGTCGGCGAATTTCCCTGCAGTTGATTTCTTGAGGACCGCACTCAAGTTTATAGAGAGAAAAGGAGATTCGTCGTCGCTTGTTTACGTCCTCCATTAAACTTGCAATTAGGCATTTTCACGTCGTAGTCGTGCAAGGACGGTAAAGAAATGTACAAAAAAGCGTGATGCACGTGCAAAGTTGCTGTTTTGCGTAATAAACCTATTGCGTTTTTGACATCCTGGTTGCCGTCGCCGTCGTCGTTGCTAAAGCTCCCTATTGACTTAGGGGAGGAGGAGGCAGTTGAAACTACATTAAAAGGTGACGAATACCAGTGATGACCCACCCCACCCTGCAAGCAGAGTCTCCTTTTGGTTTCTTGACTGAGCGGGGAAACAAGAGTTTCTGCCTGAATCGCGTCAAGCCTTTGAAGTCACCGCAGCATGAACTTCTGGACTAGTCAATCTTGTTTTCTCTCCTCAAACTGGTTTTTCGAGTGCGAGCATCCGTTTAGTGATAGACCGCTGGTCATAACTGAGCCGGCTGTACCAAGCGCGGCTATTTGTAAGCCTGGGATTAAAACTGCCAGCAACATGTAGCGTAAGCTCAACAGTGATTTTACTCGATTCATGCAGAGACTTTTTCGAACAAGCGAAAGAGGGGCTCTGCTACCAGGGTGGCGATGACCGAGTGGCTCTCCATGTACAAAAACAATGATAGCCTCTAGAGTAAATAAGCTCAAAAAGGGATAAATATGGCTCTCGTGTAGCCGCAAATACCGTTTACTCATGTGGGAAAAGCATGAATTATTCAGTCTAGTACCTTGGTGTTTTGGCAGGTCATGCAAGTAGCAATGCCTCGTTGAAGCGGCTTAAACAACGTCAGGATAGTTTGCTGCGGCTGAAAAACGAAAAAATCTTGTGATTAGCGACGCTCCAAACATCCTAGAAAAACAAACGTTACCCTTAAAAAATAGGGCAATTGTCTGATTTCACTCGACAAGTAAATGAAAGGCTAAAATACCGGTGAATCCATCACAATGACAACTATAACGTAAAATGCTACTAAAAATCAACACTATTATTCCCTCTATATTTTAGAACAAGAAGTCTTCCAAGATAGAGGCTACTGCTGTTCTGAAGCTGTAAAGTTGGGACTTTCTTGGTTTCATCATCTCTCCCACTTAACTTTGTCTGCATTCACAAACATTGAAAACATTTTACTTACCAGGACTGACAGTAGATAAGTTAATATCTCAATCGCTGTACAAACATTCGCATAGTTGGCTGCTGGTGTTTGATCCTGAAAACAAACACAACTTATAAGCAAATAATACTTTTCTTAACTATTGCCGATGTCTTGGATGAAAAGGTGACTGAATATTTGTCAAGCTCCTTTAATTTTTGTTTTCTTTATGAGCAGTAACTTGAGACGACTTAACCTGGAGAGTCAACTCGAGGGTAAAGCGCAAAAAACTAGCGCCACGCGAAGTGCACGTACTCCCGCGCGACCCTTGGCCTCAAGAGATTATTAATTGGAATGTTTGCTCGCAGGTTATCGTCCTCAAAAAAACTTGATATGCGACTTCAGAGACATAACTTTATCTTTCTTCCTGAAACAAATCGGTTAATTCTTAGTCGGTAAGGTAGTTCCATGGGGCCTACTCATAAGACAATAACAGGACAGGATTCGTCTCAATTTGCTTCCAAATATAATAGTAAATAGCTTACCAAGTTGACATAAGAGCTTTCTAAATGATTGACGTTATAGCCAAAGCTAAAGATGTTTGTTCAACCAATCACAAGACGTGGACAAAATCGAATGAACCAATCAGATCTCGAAGCTTATCAAGTAACCACACGCCAGTAACCGCGGGAAAACGCATAGTGCAAGCAAGTCACTGTTTACTTCTGATTGGTCAAGAAAGTGGCGTAAGATTGTCTAGCCAATCATAAAACGTAAGGATGCAATACCAAAGCGAACGCGTATTCACTCACTTCAGTCACTAATTTAAAACTGTCAGTTCCAGAATTACAAGATTTTTTTTACAGAAATTCTAGGGTCATAAACAAGGAAAGATAAGTTAACGCTTACAACTGTAACCAGTATCTTGTCCAGCCATCCAACACGCAAATCAGTGCCTAAAAAAAAAAATAAATAAAAAAGCAAGAAGATGACCCACCATTTTTGTCGTGAAACTTTTTTTTCTTCAAGAGTCGTTATTAAAATGTCAATATATTTAGAAGACAGCATTAGTCATGAGCACTATTTCTTTGTCCCCGACTAGAGAGATTAAAAACCGCCATTTCTGTTCGGTTTACTGATCCACATCAATATTTAATGTTTCGCAAGGTAGGGGCAGTACGTCTGTGCAGATAACAGTGAACTTACATACAGCAGGACAGTAGAAAAGGACGGCAAACGTTATGTGACATGCGTGACAATAATTATGTTCGAAAAAAAAAACGTTTTCCGTCAGACTTGGCCCTTTCTTTAAACATATCTTTTTTTTGGTAAAAGACCAGAACATACTAATGTTAGGAAAGATCACAACAAAACCCGCAATAGCCCTGAGTCAGGGTTCATACAAAAAAATTGCAACCATTTTTCAAGGATTTTTCAAGGACCACATTAGATTTTCCAAGGACCACTAGGAATATAATTTCACAGATTGTACAAAAATGTATATTCCCAGTCTATTCTAATAAGACTTTAAGGCTTGAACTGTTTGCTTCACCAACTTCTCTACATTTTCCAGTTCACCTGTCTTAAACTGAAAGTTAATTATTGCAAAACACATAGAGCACTTTATGTAAATAACCTTTCAATTCTCTGAGCTATGATTTATATTCTGTCTTGGACAACCAAAAAGCATCAAAAAACTCTTTCCAGGCCACTACATTCAAAACTGACGAAAATTCAAGGACTTGCACAGAAATTTAAGGACTTTTCAAAGAAAAATGGAATTCAAGGAGTTTTCAAGGACTTCCCCTAAAATTCAAGGACTTTTCAAGACTGTGCGAGAACCCCGCTGACGTTTGTCACACAAAAAGGTTCTGCCGACCTGTTGCGTACGCTAACTTTTTTTAAGACACGGGGATCAACGCGACCTTCTGCTCTTCTACCAGCTATGCTCATGTTGCAGGAGGTAATAACTACAAGCTAAATGATTACGTAAGTCCTTCCTATATTTTCTGCTCACCTGGCCACACATCAGGTCGCAGCGCAGTCTTCAACAGAGCCACACACCGCCGAGACAAAGTTTCACCTGGAGAGCCCATAGTTGTCGATGGTTCATTAACCTATAACGCAACACAGTATGCCGGTTTTCATGAAACAGTTACAGCCGCTGTTTTCCCTATAACTTAGACCAGAAGGTACCATCCCTATCCCCAACAGTTACCTGACAAGCGATCCTCAAAAGAAAGTTGACGACAGCATCTGCATGGTGTTTCTCAAGCGGTGATTTGGCCTGGCCTTCTTGGACTGATACTCGAGAGACAGTGCCCTGCAAAGCAACAGAGCACACAGGTGACGCACAATGATTCTTTATTCGCTTTAGAAGCAAAACGTAACAGAATAAGCGTTATTAGAGAGTTTTAGATCCGAGTTTCCCGCGAACCTCTAACCGTTGGAGGTCACGTGACAAGTCTTTCGCGTCACGTTTGAGGTTTACATACCCTGGGTGCCACAGACTTTTCTAGCGCGGTTTCCGGTTTCTGTCAAGTCTTTATAGTGACCCGCTTCGCCGCTCGTGGCTTCGGCGAAGATGTGTCGGCCTTCGGCCAACACCGAAAATTCCCGCTGCACGCGAGAAAAACCCCTGGTACCAAGGGTAAGGTTTACGACGTGCGTTTTCAACGTGGGAAGGTAGGTTTTCACGTATGTCATTTACCTCAAAGCTTTTAGCGTATAATTCTTGTTTCATCCAACGTAATGATACAAAAATCTTGTGGAGCAACTCTTCATTCATTAACAGAGGCACAAATTCGGGCGAAATGCTAAATTTTATAAATCCTATGGGATCTTGAAAACAAGTGCCATTCATGGCTGCTGATTCAAAATGGCGGCCGTAATTTAATCCACCGCCAATCTAAATCGAATTATTTTTGAACGTCGAACTGCAAACGGGTAACCGCAACTCACCAGTCAACTCACCAGCGGTCTGTCTGACAAACTGACTGACTCAATAATTGAACGATTTATTATGCTGATCGATTCATTACTTGGAAATAATTGAGAGTTTGGCAGAACGACAGGGGATGGACAGACGCTGAGAGTTAGCATTGAGGAAAAAAGGGTTATGATGGACGGTAAAACAAGAACCACGGCTCAGGTAACAGACCAACTGACGAAACGATGGACAATGAGATGGAGCGATGGATAAATGAAGAGACTGTAGAATACACGCATTACACATACCTGGGACAAAGACCTTGTCCTTTTCGCTTCTGGAGTGGCAGAGTCCTCCGATGGCCTCTTAACGCCTCCAACCTAAAACAAATACAACAATTTAAGAAAACTGCTGTCAAGCCATCTAATAGAGAAAAGACCCCCGACTAAGAACCTGTTAGGCTATTATTTGCCAGTAGGGCCACCTCTAAACAAGACCCTGTTTAGCCTAAGATTTGAAATTAAGAATTGTTTCCTGTTTAGCGTGCGTATATCGAGTTATGGATGCACTTGGAAAGTTTGAAGAGCACGAAAGAAGCTTGAGTTGCTCTCGGCGAAATACAAAGACTTGTTTCTCTCTCTGCAAATTTACCTTCAATGCTGCTGATGTCGAAGACTCAGACTGCTACAAAATACAATAAAAAATATTAATTTCTATGTGACAAATTCCCTTCCGTTTTTCGTTTGAATTTTCACGCAGAATAGCAGTTTAAAATTCAGAAGGCACAACCAAAAGAGAGTAACATGTTCAACTGTTTAGAGGCTATACGTAAACTTTTCAAAGTTGAGCACACAGGAAATTTTTACCTCTTGGGTTGCTGTTTGTTCTTGATCATCCTTGATTCGTTGCAATTCCCATTTGAGAATAACCTCAGCGAGATCCACGGCAAGCTTGCGGTGTTCAATAGACGCCTATTAAGAAAAAATTAATTACTCAATTTCGTCGCTGAGACAAACCATGCATCCTGTCAAGTTGTCACTGCATTATGTTGGTATGGTTCGTACCAAACAAGGCACACATGACACAGCCAGGTCTCGACAGTACTTTGGCTCACACAAGCTTCTACAATATCAAGAGTGAGGAGTCGTCAACCTGTTCTACCTTCACTACACTTCGGGTCACCTTCGGTAATCTTCGGAGTCTTCAGGTCAAATCCGCAGCAGTTATTTTAATTGTAAATATATTTATATTCGAGATGGCCTCTGTCATAAGCCTGGTGGTTTCTTGAGGTCTCCTTGCCAACATAAATGTGGCTGTTAACTTGCACTGTATTGAAACAATGCAAAATAATGACGATGATGATGATGACAATGATGAGTCAATAAATAATTTTGTTGATTGTACTGTAATACATAAGGGCCCAGTTGTTCAAAAAGCGGATAACGCTATCCACGGGATAAATTTTGATCCAGGGGATAACCCAATTGGTTTCGCTTATACTTATCCGCTGGATAGAGATTTGTCAGGTGGATAGAGTTATCTAGTCTTTGAACAACCCGGCCCAGAGCTGTAGATTCGTCACTCACATTGGCAGTGAATCCAAGTCTTTGCATGGCACTGACCATGTGCTGAATTAAGTGAATTCTAACTGGATAGTACACTCGATAATGCCGCACTAGCAACGTCCTGACAAAAAAAATGTGCAAAACTAAAAGTCATCATGAAATACTAGTTGCGAGGCAGGAATGCTATACAGTTAATTCTTTCTAAGACAAACACTTTAGAAAACAACACTAGAGTCAGTCTTATGGAGAGCAAAAGAGAGCGACTGAAGAACTGTAGGGATCCATTCTAGTTGCCCATTTTACGAAGGAGTTCGTCCTAAAGACGTGTTCGTTAAGTTTACTATATTACCAATGCGCTACCTAATAAAAAGTGTTCTAACTATAACATACAGCATGTGCACAAGCTGTGCAACGGTGTGTCCTTCTTCAACAATTATTTTCTTCGTCCAGTGAGTCAGCTTGGTCTGAAAAGAAACAAAATATTTACTATTCAGCAGGATCTTCCCTACTTCCTTCACACTTGCCAGACCAAGAAAAACAGTCGGTTCCCAATTCTCTTATAAGAAAAATGGAAAACCCCTCAATCAGCTCAAGGATTTTTCAGACGGACTAATATCTGGAAAAAGTGCCCTTCGTCGGTTTGCAAATCACATTTTACTAAAACCTTCTAAGTACGCAAAGTAAGAGCTACAAACAACTGTAAGAAAAAAATGTTGGCGCATTGTTCTCAGGCTCAGAATGAAAATCCTCTGATTGACATTAACACCCAGGACTCTCAAATGGACGCTGAATGAGACACAACTCTGTCGGTTTGAAACTGACTTACAGCACGCTATTCGGTACACTTAGTATAGCTTTCAAACAGTCCAACCTACTTTGAATCAGATATTATTTTCCCAACTTACATTTTCATCTTCCATCCTGGCTGGCATTGCTGGTGTCAGGATATCCAGTGCCTGCCTGACGACTCCACGAGCCTCGACTGCATGCGCTTTGAGCAAGCTGTGGAAAACCTACAAGCACGCGAATTGTCACTGAGTCAACGACGCTGGTTCATTTTACTAATATTTAGTACCAACGTCAATAGACCTTTTTACCGACACGGCGGCCATATTGAATCAATTCGATTTAAGGAGTATTATAGGATGCCCAGGGGGCAAGAGCATATTTCGTTTGTATTTTCGAGCGCTTTTCGGGACATTTTTTCTTACAGTTTTCTTAGAATAAGATTGTGATGGGAAAAAAGATCCTTGTGCCGTGTTTGGATGTAAAAATGATCGCCTTTTTCCCGAGAAATATACAGTGAAATATCATATTTCTAATATTAAACACAGCACAAGGATCTTTTTACCCATTACAATCTTATTCTAAGAAAACTTTAAGAAAAAATGTCCTGAAAAGCGCTCGAAAATACACACGAAATGTGCTCTTGCCCCCTGGGCATCCTATAATACTCCTTAAATCGAATTAATTCAATATGGTCGCCTTATCCGCAAAAAGGTCTATTCGCAAATTCGCTCTTTCATTTTCCCGAACATCATTTGTGAGTACCTCAAAGTTTCACTGCACCAGAATTCTTTCAACAATACCAACAATAATACATCACATGAATGTTAGTTTACCTGCATAACGATTCTCTTGTGGATAGCAAACTTAGCGATGATGTGGGCCAGCAACAAATGCCCATGGTACTTGGTAGATGGGTCCTAGAAGGATTAACAGTAAGTTTATTCTTCGATGACCGATTTAAGTTAAAAATATGGTTAATGGAATGACGAGACCTGTATTAGTTGAGTTAAATTTGGAAATTTTTTAAAAGTTTAAATCTGGAAATTTTTTTAGAGGAAAATGACAATAAAATAACACATAATTTCTAGGAGTAAAATGATTATTTAGGATCCGGGAACCGGTTGCATAAATTTCAACTTGAATGTAAGATACTTGCGAATTCATTATGGGTACACTAGCGGGTGTTGCATGAAAGGTTAGAACATACTAAGCACTCTCATACGGGTCTGCCTTACAGAGAAACATGCCAGTTAACTTACGGGACCACTTAACTTTGTTATAATATATGCATCCATTTCATTTCCCCCAACCTTTTTCTTTTGCGATACAAACAAATACTAGCCATTAAGAGGTCGAGTGATAGACTGGGTCGGTACTTTGTCGAATTGCAGTTAGGGACTTTTTCGGAGAAGCTATCGCACAGGAAATAGACCTTATTCACAACGATTAAGTCACGTGGTTTCCAGAGGGGGCAAACAGACAAAAAGAATTTGCCAATGAGAGTAGCCGCGGTCGACTTGGTTTATTCTCTAAAATGAGTCAAATATTTGAGTCTTGCAAGAAGGTCATAGGTTCAATAGACCTTTTTAGTCCCATAGTTCCGTTCGAGCCAGTCTTACGCGTAACTTCCAGAAGGCCAATTGTACCAAATTTATCATAACAAACTAGAAATTCCAAGGGCTGGACTTACCACACATTGCTTAGGTAACAGACAAGGCCAAGCAAATGTCATAAGACGACGCAACTTTTGTCCTTGTTTTCTGTGACAGAAGAAGAAAGGCTGGTTACAACAAAAAATCTCAAATTGCCTCAAATCGTTTTGCTATTTGTTTATGTTAAAATACTCGGGTGTCGGAAAAAAGTCAAAGTTTCTTTTCCTAAAATTCTAACCCTTCATAAGCCAGTCTTTGCTCTGATGGCCAAAAAACAGGCTTAGGGGAGGGATGGAGAAGGCGATTTTCACATTTTTGTTATTCTTTGCTTTTAAATTTCGATTTAAATATTTTAAAGGTTTGTAGCTGTGCACAAAGGTCTTAATTCCACCTGAATTCCACGTGTCCAGGTCCCCCCACCCGAAACCTACACTTCCAGGGGTCCTCTCTAATTCTTCATCAGCTTAAGGTTAGCTTGGTTTACTTTCACATAATAGCTCTCTTGTTTTCACCTCGAATAGCATGTATGCCATTTGCAGCGGGTAGGTATATCTAAGTATTTTGTACAATGTAGTACTTAGTACAGCACTAAACTGCCATGATAATGAAGGTCCTATGATATGTTATTGCAATTGCTTACTTGTTTGAAGCATCATGAATATGCTGGGAGGCATGTTCCACAAGTAAAGCTGAAAACTGTAACAGCAGAATGCGAACAGCATCCTGCAAAAAAATTACAATTAATACATCCTATTTCCATGCTGATAACTGGCGGTTTGTACTCACAATAAAACGTCACAACCTTTACCATATAAATTTACCACCAAAACCTTGTTTTACGTTTCCCCGTGCTATTCGCCTATTTACAGTGAACGTAATTATAAATGAGCAAGCCGACGTATTTGCAGGTATTCAGAAAGGTTGTATTGTTGAATACATGAAGTCTGGGACCATTCCCGTTTACTTATCGACATGCGCGTTTTTGAAATAAGTAGACAATAGTACCTTCTCAACAATGCTGATCACGTATTTAGAAATTACTTATTAGAACGAAGCTCACTTTCTCGCTGTAACGAGATCTACACGTATAAATCTGCCGGAAATAGAATTCCCCACTTCAAAATCCCTGGGAAGAATTGGCCACAAGCTTAGGCGCAGCTATGATTGGGTGATGGTATTCAAGGCAACCAATCATAAGTAACGCTTGTCCATCCAAGAGATCCCAAAAATCGTTACTCCGAAAGCTTGTACCAACAACAACCTTATTTATTTCAAACTCTTTACTATAAAAGAGAGACTCTTTGTCACAACTTGTACCATTCCCCATGAAGTTTCTGAAATGGAAAATACGTGGAATCATGTGGGGTTTCTGATTAACTGCCCACCTACCCCTCCCCTTAGTCACAATGTTGCCCTAAGTGATAAGTAAGAGTTAACGTTGAGTTAGGGGAGGGGTGAGTGGTCAGTTACGCAGAATCCCCAATTGATTCCAATACGTTTATTGTACTTACAGACGTTCCAAATGGGTTATCTGGGTCAACAACCTTGCGGATAAACACACTGATGACGTTCTCGTTGCTGTCCTGTTCAGGACTCGGCGATCCACCAATCAAGGCATCACCCTCGCCACGTTCAAAGGACACTTGAAACATGGGTATCAACACATATTGCAGGGCCTAAAGAGAAGAGAGCAAGAAAGTGACAGAACTGCAACGGTTCAAAGGCGCTGTGTCACGTTATTTATCAAAATCAGACAGAGCATACTGGCATCAAATTGAGTGAAACATTAAAATAACCGCTCAAAGGTATAAATGACACAACAAATACAAAACGAGGATGGACAAACTTGAATAAGACTGAAACGGATTTCAATTGCGGTTTTGAAAACTTGTTAGCCCAAAAGTACCTTTTTGTTCTTTGTAACTTTTGAAATAATGCTTGGAAGATATATTTTGTTGACTAAAAGCTGTAATTTTGTCATTCATATGTAATTCTTCAAGTTCCACATTCCAAGCACATGGTCAAGTGTACCTTAGCTTTGAGCTCTTGAGGGAAGTTCTGATCGTGAAACAGTGCCACAAATTTGAAGAAAACAGCCCTCTTCTGCTCTACGGAGTAGCCCTAAGAATAGAAAGACAATGAAGACACTTAATTGTTAAACCATAAATAACAAAACATCACTTATCATATCTTGTTTCTCTTATTTGGTTAATTACTTTGGTTAATCCAGTACACACTACACTACTTTGGTTAATCCAGTACACACTATACTACTTTGGTTAACCCAGTACGTGTACACTATACTACTTTGCTTAATTCAGTACACACTATACTACTTTGGTTAATCCAGTACACACTATACTACTTTGGATAATCCAGTACACACTATACTACTTTGGTTAATTCAGTACACACTATACTACTTTGGTTAATTTAGTACACACTATACTACTCTGGTTAATTCAATACACACTATACTAGTTTGGTTAATTCAATATACTGTATACTACTTTGGTTAATTCAGTACACACTATACTACTTTGGTTAATTCAATACACACTATACAACTTTGATAAATTTAGTACACACTATACTACTTTGGTTAGTTTAGTACACACTATACAACTCTGGTAAATTTGGTACACACTATACTACTTGGGATAATTCAATACACGCTATACTATTTTGGTTAATTCAATACACACTATACTACTTTGGTTAATTCAGTACACACTATACTACACTGGTTAATTAAATACACACTACTATTGATGGCAATAAATCGGATCATGATGAATCCAAGGCACTGATGAATTCACCCTGGGAAAGGATTCATCATTTCCTTCGATGCATCATGGTCCGAGTGATCTAAATTAGGCTTACTTTGGCAACTTTCTCATCCAGAAATGTCCTCAAAAAATGGAAGTCAGGCACATGACGGATAGTAAACACACGTAGCAACTGGAACAGTAATTCCACCTCAGATGGACGGTGCCTAGAATGAAGATTAAAGAAATAGTAAGAACAAAATTTTGTTGAGCCCTTAAGACCCAAAAATGTTACAACCAAATGGAGATTAAAAACGATCATTTGAACACGGCATTGATAACTTACTTGATGTAGTTCAGCAAACACTTGGCAAGGAGTTTGGGTTCTCTCCAACGATGAATCGGAGTCCCATCCTAAAATAGACCAGAATGTCGTACTTCATTTGGGTGTCAATGTATTTGGAACTAAAGAAAACTACTACATTATTGACGACACCATTTTACGAGGTCGTCTGTGCCACTTAAAGCTCGAGCCATTTGCAGGGCAAAGGCAGTACCTTCATTTCTCAGTTATTTTAAGATCTAGAGTATTGGTCCAGGGACCAGTTTTTCGAACGTACCGATAACCTTTCGGGCCCAAAAAGCTGTCTTATGTTTGCCGTGTTTCCATTTTAGATCAAGGTTTCAACAATTTTGAAAATGATACAATGAAATTATCAGTTAACGAAGCAAAATTGACTGGTTTGTGAGCTTGGGAACTTTGCTGCTATTCAGCTGGTTTTGAATTCAAAATTTGCCTTCGGACCCGAGAAGTTATTGGACGAGAAACGGGCCCCAGTCCCGGAGATCAACCCCGCGACCTCCTACTCTGCAGTCAAGCACTCTACCAAGTGAGCTAGTCCTGCCCTGATTATATTACCAACACCTTAAGAATATATATGAACATTTTTACAAAATATTCTGCTGCAAATGTACCTTTTTCAATCTCTCTTGAAAGTTGTTCGACACCCAAATTCGTCTTAAGTGACCAATCTATGATTTCCAACATACAAACACAATGAAATTACATGACTCAATAAAAAGTATCCACGTAATATTTTTTCAATGATGTAATCTCTGCCTGTTTCTCAAATAATTCTTACCAACACAGGATGTTCTGGAAGCCAGGAATCATTGAACTTCACCAACAACCTGTAATTAAAAAAGGTGGGTTTCATGTCCAGTTATATATCCAGAGAGTACTTCTCGCAATAGACAGAAATAGCCTAACACTTGTGACATCTTGTCCCTTTGATGACATCACTAATCCTTTTTTCTGCCATACCCCTATTTGTCAACGCCCAATATCCTACCATTCATGACAGAAGCATTGCTACTTCTTCCTCAAACAAGCTGTTGAATGTGTGGGCAAGTAGTTGGACTGACAAATAGGCAAGTAAAAGTTTGGTAGGAGGAATGAATATAGAAAAATTGAAAAGGATTAGTTCTACCTGATAATCTTGATCCCCTGGTTCTGTAGCTCCATCTTTTTCTGAACCGCTTGAACTTGATCCTCAGGAGGCTGATGTCAATTAACACAAAAAATTATAAGCCATAGATTAACCCTTTCACTGTCAAATATGGCCAAAGGCAAGTTTCGATCCAATTTCTAAAATTTGATTTTCCAAAATTGTGAGAAACAAATAGCATCATGTGAAAGCACAGGTAGAGAGCTTTTACTTGAATGGTCACATCATAGGATTCTGTCCACAGACTCAAAAGCTAGAGTCACCTTACAAAACTCCATCAAACACTCAGGCAGTGAAGGGGTTAAACACCACGAGAGGCAACCAAATAGTCAGAAGAGGCCATTAGCTCATGATTATCAAGGATTCTCTCTTCCATACAAAATATTGGAATCTTTGTTTGCCCCAACTGTTTTATTTTGCGCATAATTTCAACAAAGGCGAGCTATCTTACCTGCGGTATGCTGAACGTACTGTTGACCAGTTTCAACGAGTGTGCTTCCAAGGTTTGTCTCAAAGGTTTGGAGCTTTCCTGGCTGAGGACATACTGGAATAAAATATTATTAACGTTAAAAAGAACCATTAGGTTTTTGTACACCTTTATAATGCTGTCTACAGAGCGTTTTTACTCACGCGGCTGGCAGAAACGCAGATTTCCGGGGGCAAAACAAAGTGGGACACCAACATGAACGCAGTCTTATTGTTTACAAACACCAATATGGCTGCCTGACCTCAAATGGAAACGATCTATAATGTACCAATTCTCACACAAAACGTTCCTTAAACACTCTTCTTGTTTTGCGTACGAAACGTAAAAAATAATAAATAAGTCCTCGGATTACCGCGTACTTACCATGAGCAAACGGTTCATCTGAGAACCAGAAAGTTGTAATAAGAAGAAATCCACAGTCTGAGTGGGATATCGAATCAGGAACTTCAACAGTGGTTCTCGTAGGGGACTTCCAACCTGAAAATCAGTCATAAAAATATAAGATACACGAGTGGTAAAATCAAACGTTATTTGGAATGTGATGTCTGATCTTTTTCCACCTTTCCATCGTCCTTTTGGTTGCCAATGGTTTTATCAAAGCGAGGGTAATAAAATCTTCTTTATCAGGAAAAGTTCTGTTGCTACGGGGGTGACTTGATCGCTTTTTTAGCACGTATCAATCTTGTCCATCACTTACTTCCATCAAGAGTGACTTCTCCACTTTCAACACCAAATTGATGAGAGGCTCAATTAACTTTGAAGAAGCCGCCGGAATCAGGTAAAACATGTTGATTATAGATGCGCAGATTTTTAGTTCTTGCGCAACCTGGTTAGAGAAAGAAAACAACACAATAATCAACAATAACGCTTGCAATAATAATTTATAACATCCGCCAAGTATTGAAAGGACACAACTACAGCTTTTGTCGATTACTGTGGGTACGTAATTTTTTTCACGTACCAGCTTTTCTGAACAGAGGCCTGTAGGGAACGTGCACGAACGGGACTCAGGTCCCATGCGAGATGCAATCCCTACACAATCCCACAACCCGTAAAGGGTTTGTCGCACAATCCATAAAACGTGGACCACAAGAACGTGTGTGTCCCTGATCCTTTTCAAGATTAAATGGGACATTTCATGGCAAGTGAGGATCAAAGAAACAAGGAGACAAGGAAGAGCTTAGGTGCTGGTCCAGTCACTAAGAACGATGAGCTACATTTATGAAGTTAGTTTGGACTAAGCCAATTTGACTAAACCAAAATAAAAATATCGTTTTTGGAAGCACCAATATCTTGAACCTGCCAATAACATAAATGTCTAAACTCATTTTGTTAAATCCTTTTGCCCCTAAAAAGAGACGAAGAAAAAAAAATTTTCTGTCATTTTGCAAAATGCTGAAAAACAAATAGTACCACGTGAAAGTACCGCTAAAGGAGTTTCATTTGAATGGTAATATCTGCGAATTTTTTTTCCAGACTCAAAAGATAGAAAAAATTGCAGACTCGATCATTCACTTGAGGAGCGGATTCATGGATGGGCAACGGACTCTATAATTTTTTATTTCTCTTCCGGCAAATTGACTTACATCTTCAGGAGAGTGGCTGGTCTTCGCTGCAACTTGCTGTGATTGAGTGGAACCAGTAGTTATCACTTCTATCCACTTCTTCAGATGTGCCTGGAAAAGTACAAAAAAAGCATTAGCTGTGTTCTGCGTTGACTCTTTGTGTCTCCTATGCACAGCAGCACACATACACAACATCTGTAAGGATAAATATACGTTGATAATTTTCCGACAAAGTTTAATACACTTATAATCTTAAATCAGCTCAACTGCAATGACTGCATGCGATTACCAAGCAAGGATCGACTCCAGAAAACTCAGACAATGTGTAGTAATTCCCTACACTTCAGGTAACAACTGACTACATGTAGTTTTAACTATTTGTCTTAGTAATTAAACACTGCGGATAAATGAAGAGGGTTTGTTGTGTAATAGGTAAGTATCTATTACAGCATTTTCTGTTCTTTGACAACCTTCCTTTGCAAATTCAGTCATTGTACCAACAAAAAGACCCACAACTGAGCTTGTTTGCATTTTTGTTTTCATTGGGCCCGTAGACATTCTAGTACGAGAAAAAAGCTTTTTCTGTCCTCGAAATGACGTGAGTATTTTGACATTACAGGGATACAAAGCATTAAAAATAAACGGGATACCAGATATTAAGGATACAAATTAAAGGGATATGGGATATGGAAAAACCCGCTATAGGGCCTCACAGGTATACAACTTACCAAGAGCTGTTCACAGAGTTTCTCATTGAAGCTGCCAGGAAAAAGCTCCATCAAATGTGATAACCTCTGCAAGAGGAAACAGGAGGAGAAAATTTTGCTGGTGCAATATACCAAATAAAGCCCTATCTAGTTAAAAACCAACTTTTGTACGAGTTGGTATCTTACGCACAAAGTTGGGATTACGGAAACTGTTTTACGTCCCCTGATGGAGATGCAACTACCATTTCATTTTTTTTCTACGTGGTCATCCGAGCCACTTGAAGGCCAAATCGCTTGCAGAGCAAAGCCAGTACTTATTTTCTAAGTGTTTTGTAAGACCTTCAGTAAAACAGTGAATGGTTTGCACGCAGGAGTCATTTCATAAGTAGGAGGAATATGACCATCCGGGTGAGTGTAGTATATCAACGTGATATGACTCACTTTGTCTCTGAAGATGACTACCGCATAGGTTGTCGTAATGTCAGTCACTGTCAACAACAGTCTACTCAGGATTACGATCACGAGGACGATCATATTCCACCTACTTACGAAGACCCTCAGTGTTGGTTTGTCTATGGTGATCGGACCCGAGAACGTCCGCTCTGTAACCCAGCGCCCTACTAACTGAGCCATCCCTGAGCAAATCTTCATCAGCTCGGTAAATAGAAGGCTTAAACTGTCACATCAAAACAAACATAGATGATTCCTTATCATTACTTATCGAATTTTCACAGAAATTGAGACAAGCATGAAACGTTCCAATTTTCTCCAGTTTTGGCCATTCATGTACCGTTCTTCTAAGTTTTTGTGCTCCTCTGTAGTTGTAAGTGGTTGTTGTGTATTTCAGTCAATTCAATGACCAGCTCGTAAGTGTTCAAAAATTGCTTTAACAACTGCGTCGCTGAGTGGAGGTGGGTGCCCGGGATGTCCAGGGGCTTCCACCTATGGCACGGCCAGCCCCTAGACAGAGTTACGCCCCCATGGCTGGCAAACCCGCGCCCTCCAGCCATGAGCCCCCACGCCAATGGAACCAGGCACTTGTCACACTGATTAACAGTGGAAGAATTAAGGGCGGAGGGATGGGGGTAAAAGAATGATCCAAAGGCTAAACGAAGAGAATGGCTGCCACGAAAACACTGTACTGAGCACATGGAGGTAATGCAAGCAAGGCTGACCGCGCTTGAGCCAAATGACCGACCGCTGACCACGCTCGCGCTCCTTGTTGTTAACTCTGTTAAATAAATATTTATTTAACCTCATTTAAATGTCGCGTCTAGTCCCCTAAGATAGCGCAAACAAGGCTAAATGTCACTAGTAAAACCTTAGGCAAGATACTATTATCGCGTAGGCGTTACTATTGTCTCCTGAGGGCGGGGCCAGCACTGCGTGACTCCTGCCCGAGCCGTTGCGAAGGAGACTAGCATTACTACTCACCTGTATGAGCTGCAGATTAAGGCTCCTGTAGTCACCTAACTTGAGTAACAGTGGTCTGATACTCATATGGACTTGCTCCATATCTACTTGAGACCCAGCCATAAACTAAAATGAAAAGTGGAAAGTGGGACGAGGTCAGCATGCAAGTTAGTGCCAGCATATACTTAATTTGGCGCTTCTTTAAAACGAAAGTGTTAAGAGATGGGGGTACATGTCTCACTGTCCGATAGTTTGATTTGCTATTAAATAACGATGTCACTGTACAGGCACAATGGGATCATTCTGAGGACAGAAGAGTACGTAAAATTACTCTGTATTAGATCTGCATTAGAAATAGAAGGAAAATACTTTTTAAGTGCTACAGGGATACATGGGCAAGAGTGGTACAATAATCAAGAAATAACTAGCTCGAGAGTTACAAAATGGCGAGTTGCTAATAGTTGGAAACTCTGACCGGTCTAATTGTTTGACAAATCAATTACGCAGTAATTCACCTGATGCTGCCAAAGCGTAGGATAACTGAACCTATTACCTTAATGCATGAGTGGGTGGATAGACGATTGACCAGATAAAATGATTAACTCACTGACTGATTGATTGACTAGTTTACTCCCTCAAAAGTGAACTCACCGATGTAATACCCAAGCAGGAGATATATAAATAAATAAATAACGATGTAGAGATAGCACATCCACATAGTGGTTCTTCGTCTACCTGATTCCTGGTCGAACTGGAATTTGTTAATGTTTTGGTTCTTGAGGAGAGGGCAAAACAAAAGCAAGGGACAGAACCAACATCAAACTCAACCCACATACGGCGTCGACACCGGGATTCAAACCAGGAGGACACTGGCGAGAGGCGAGTGCTCTCAACACTCTGCAACCCTTACTCCCAACTAAACGCTAGAAGAACGTTGGGTTAATCAAGTTTAAAACATAATTTACTCAACTGAACAGGGGACAACGACAACAGTTTGAAGAAACAGCTAAAAGAAAATGTCTTGTGATTACCTTTTTCATACAGTTTTTTGCGGCTTCTTGTATTTCAGTTGTAGGGGAATTCAAAGCCTGCACAAAAGAATTTTAGTCAGTACTTACAGGTTTTTTTTTACCCACAGAAGTCGAACAATTGATGCTAAACTGAAAAAGTTCAATGTACCTTGTACAAGACATTGAAAATCTTGTCCTTTACTTGCGTAATGTAATGGCACGCTGTCAAGGCATCTACATAATAATACGCACAGGAAATTAGTTTCCCTCGATATCGAAACTGATTGGAGAGATATGTTCATTCTTTGTATACAACCAAAAAACACAAAACAAACCACACTACATTGAATGACCTACGAATTTTGTGGGAATGTAGTGGAATTGACAATACGAGTAAATAAACAGAAAAGGAGCTTATTGCTACCGCCTCCTTTGTCGACGCCACTTTTTGATGGCGACTTCAACAGCTCAGTCATTTCTTGACACTAATATTGTTGTATAGATTTTCAGGGTTAGATTTCTGTGGCCTTATCATCATCATAATCATCATCATCATTATTCGGCCCTTTCGGTCGGGATACTCTGAGCAATCTTATTCCATACATTCCGATCCGACATCGCGTTTGACAGATCCTCCCTGTCAATTCTGTGGCCTTCTACCAAACCAGCAATGGCGGTAGAAAGTTCAGTGATTTTGTTACCTCTGCGTACTGCGTCCCTGTCCCAACTAAATCCCCAAAGACGCAAAATAATTTATGGCATGCTTCCCGTAAGAAGCAAACGCCGATCGATAGATCTAAACATGTGTTTTTGAAGAAACATTCTGTTCGTGTAATTACTGTGGCAGTTATTATGGCTGTTGTTTAACGATGCATATTTCATTTAGGCTTTCTTGTGCTTTAAAATGGAAGGACTATATTTTAATTTCAGTATACTGTAACACAGATTTTTGGACTCTGTCTTCAGATTAACTGTCTGGTTACATAAAGGCCCTAGCATTTTCAATTTTGAACTCGTTTTGAACTGGGACTCAGTGGGTCTGGACTGGGAAAGTGTGGGACTCATGGTTTTCCACACGATGAGTCCCACGACTCACCACAACTATCTGTAACAAAATCACTGTTCAGTTTTTAAGAATAATCACTCTGATTACTTACTCAGTGCGCTTTTCCGTAGAGGTGTCAGAGACTGAACTGTTTTATAGCATGGTAGCTTGAGAAGTTGAGAGTCATCTGCCTCACATAAGGAAAGTAACTAAAATATATAAAGACGCAGATTAACAAAATTCTCATTCGTAACAGTCAAGCCTAGCAAATACTTGAAGTCCTGAATTTTATTATTATTATTATTTTTCAGACTTCTTTAAGAAATTGCATAAATTGCGTTCACTGCGACGATCATTTCTTCATTTTCAAATACTTAATTGTTGTTTTATAATTTAGGACGCTAAATTAATGCAATCCAACAAATACCTCATGGAAGAAAACCTTGTGTTCCATGATCGTCAGATCCATTGTAAACAACCGAGGTGTCAACGTTGTGCAAAACGTGTTACCATCCTGAGAAAGGGAAAATAATACCATGGCAAAAAATCTGACATGACTTTCCAACAACGGTTCAAGTATTAACCGTACAGAAAATTGGTCATATTCCAGATTTCTAAAGCATAACTAGTACCAGTTTGAAGTTGCAAAACATACCATTAATGCAATCTGCGTGTTGACGGGTTGGTGCCGGAGTAAATGTTTCTAAGAAAAAATCCTTGATTAGTAAATTTGAAACGAAAATATTGCCTCAATAAGAATTTCTAGTTGATTTTCAATACACTTTATACAAGTGACCATCCTTGTAAGACATACCTTTGGTGGAATCATGTCCTCTAAAATCTACAAAAAATAATCTCAAGTTAACAACATTGCTTATACGAACCCAAAAAACGAAGTACAGGAAACCTACTATTTCGTTATGAGAATCGATGAAAACAAACAAAATCAAAATAAAAGTTAAAAGTTCCTTCCGTTTTTTGACTGAATTAGGAAGTAATAAGGAAAAGTACCCAAAACTAAGTAATCACCAAGGACCTAGTTCACCTTTCAACATTGAAGCTCAAATACACGAAAACTTTCTGTAAACTTTTACTATACATACAAAGCACGAATATTGCAAATGATCTTTCGGGAGTAAATAAGAGAGACAAACAAACCAAAAAAAGGGAACGTCAGCAAATCGTTTAAAGGTGAAAGGACATTATAACTTAGTTTAACAACTGCATCGCTGAGTGGAGATGGGTGCCCGGGATGTCCAAGGGTTTCCACCTTTGGCACAGCCAGCCCCAAGACAGAGTTACGCCCCCATGGCTGGCAAACCCGCGCCCTCCAGCCATGAGCCCCCACGCCAATAAACCAGGCACCTGTCACACTGATTTAACAGTGGAAGAATTAAGGGGGGAGGGATGGGGGTAAAAGAATGATCCAAAGGCTAAACGAAGAGAATTGCCGCCACGAAAACACTGAGCACATGGAGGTGATGCAAGCAAGGCTGACCGCGCTTGAGCCAAACGACCGACCGCTGACCACGCCCGCGCTCCTTGTTGTTAACTGTGTTAAATAAATATTTATTTAACCTCATTTACTTCTCAAACAACTTACCGTTTTGTGAGGAAGCATGATGCTGTGAACGGATCTACCATAAATCTCGGCCAGCACAGATACGGAGCGTTGGGCCTGTGAAAAACAGAGACAGGACTTTAAAAAAGTTTTTCCATACCTAATTTAGTTTTTAAGTCAAAAAAACTAAGCCCGTCTGTCAAGGATCAGAGTAATAAATAGCTCAGAACAATGAAAAATGAATAGTTTACCATTCAATAATATGAAAGAAAAGCAGGTTATGAAACTTCCTGACGAGTATTTAGTTTAAATTAAAGACTACTACGTTACAAACAGAGTCAAAAAGAGAGAGCAATCAGAGACATGCTGAAACGAATACCAGTTCACTCGCAAACAGTAAGAGTGAGGGTGGTAGTCTCTCGCTGGATTTCCAGCCCGGAATGGGCACAATGTTTCAAAAAGTTATTTGCAAAATTTACGTTAGAAATAAGGGCTCATCGCCAAAACACGGAATGTCATGGGTATCGAAATTATCTCTTTTTGCATCTTCATTCTTCTCCACAAAGTGGCACTAGGATTTAAAGCTGGTTTGCTCAAGTGAAAAAAACGTTTGCCTGCTCTTGAAATATAATAACCTTATTGGATTTTGTACCTGTTGCCTTATAGTCTGGTTTGGCGAAACAATTTCTCTGACAAGGTGCTGTGTCACTGTTGGAAGAGCCCTTTCTCTCACTGCCTTGATGTGAGATTCCTGGAATAAATGCAGTAATCATAAACTATTGTTATTGAGGAATAGGATAGCAATAAGAGCACCTTTTGCAGAAATCCATAAGAAAAGGCATGTTAAAAAATTGATGGCTAGAATAAGTGGAGAAATGCTCTGCAAGACGGGAGTGATTTCTGTCCTCCTTTTAACCACTTCACATAGAGACTGAATTACAAGGACATGAAGGACAAGGACATCGCTTCATAGCTGAGTTGGTAGAGCATCGCACCGGTAAACGGGTTCAAACTCCGTTGAAGTCCTGAAATTTTTTTTTTCAGGCTTCTTTACGCAATTGCATAAATTGCGTTCACTGCTACGATCATTTCTTCATTTTCATTTTATTCCCGTAGTTCATATATGATTTATTTCATATATCATTAACACATATTTCTTTCACGGGAAGATATGAACCCACAATCGACCTGCTCCCAACGTCAGTGGCTTCATAGCTCAGTTGGTAGGGCATCGCACCGGTAAATCGCGAGGTCACGGGTTCAAACCCCGTTGAAGTCCTGAATTTTTTTCCGGCTTCTTTACGCAATTGCATAAATTGCGTTCACTGCTACGATCATTTCTTCATTTTCGTTTCATTTCCGCAGTTCATATATGATTTATTTCATATATCATTAACAAGGACCTGCATAACGTTTGAATCCACGTCAATGTTGCCTACCTCGCCGGTCTGTGGCTCATTGCACTGCCTCAGAAGGGCTTCTAAAGTCCGTTTTGCACTATCAACTGTACCAGCGGATACCTACAGCGAAACATAACGTTAACCAAATAAAATGCCTTTTCACACTGCAGTAAACTTAAGAGTCCTATGACAGCTCCTTGCAATAATTTAGCAACCCAATTTTGTACTCAAGATACATGAAAGAACACACACAGTTGATTCCAAAATGATGAGGGAGACAAACAGCAATGTCAGACACAAGTGTAGAATATGAACTTTCTAGCAACAACTTTACTACATTATGAGGTGCTCCTACACAATACCTCCTGCAGTTTTTATTTGCACTACTGACGAGAGAATTCACATTGGGTGACAAGAAATACTTTAAACAGAGGAGAAAAAGGCTGTTGAACATAAATTAAGGTCACTCTAATTTAACGAGACACCTCTTTTAATGAAAAAAAAAAAAAATTATCATGTTCTCGTTTCCTCTTCAAACTATAGGGTCCTTGGCATTTAGAACAGTGACTGTTGGTAATTCATTGACAGGTCCACGCTATGAGCTATGAGTTGCACCGTGCATGGAATGTTTTCACGCAACTACAGGTATAATCTGACTAAACGAAATCAAGCCATAAGCTGTGAGGAGGTTCTTTCTCTGAAATGCTGGCCTGCCAACCTCGGCTTCTTTGCTCACCTCATTAGTAAGATCCATCATGACAAAGCACAAGGCATTGATAAAGCTAAGTTGATGTTCAATAACCCACTGAAGTGGCATTCTCTTCATCAAGAAATTGATGGCAGTACATCTGAAAAATAAAACACCAGCATTACTTCATAAAACTAAACACGACTGTTGACCTTAAGAAAATATATACAAAAGACATCAGCACTTAATCTCTCGAATTAGTGTAATGTATCTGAGACAAACGAAAACCACATTTAAACTGTTTTTGGCGGACTATAGCATAAATCTTACCCGCCATTTTTGGCAAACCAAGCCCTCTCGTAACAACATCCGCAGAGTTTTTCTGACAGGTACTCAAACAAAGGCAGACGTGCAGCCTTAAAGAATAAAAAAGAAATAAATTACGAGTACAGTCACAAATCACTTTTCATGTTCCATTTCTTTTAAGACACAATTAAGTTCAATTAACAAAAGCAATTTCTTGTTATAACTACCTCGAATTGTTGAATATGAAGTTAGTTGAACCCATTCTATAAAACTGCATACATTGTCAAGGCTCCAATAAACAAATTTAGCTAGAACAAATCCTAGCTTGCACTGGACGCTTTGTGCTTTCAACAGCTTTTTTGCTTTTTTTACGTCAATCACTTTCATTGAATTGTGATCGTGGTATAAATTTATGTAACATGTACGTTGCAACCACGCAACTAATAGAGAAATCAGTGACAAGACATTGTTGCTGTCAACTTTTTCAAGTCAACATTACAGCAGAGCTCCCACAAAATTATTTTGAGCCATGTGCACCATTGAGGCAAGGACCGATCGGCATCAACCCTCATTTCATGGAAAGGCTTATTACCTTGTAACCATCTCCGGTTATGGCAGATGCAGTTTCAATCATAACAGCCACTGCGAGTTCACCAACTTTGTAGAATTCTTTGTCCTCCATGGCCATCACGGCTGCTATTGCATCTACCATGACATGAATATCCATTCCTCTACGGTTCCTAAGTGATTAAAGAACAATTAAACGATACACTGAATAACATACAAACAGGAATATGTCTTACAAATGCTCACAAAACTCAGTGTGCATAGCACAACTCACGTTAAGCCCTGAAGGGTGGGTTAGGAATTGGATGGGTGACCACGTTGTAAAGTGTGTTCTCTACCCTATTTTATTCTTAAATGCTAAAATTAATTAAAAGCATATTTCGGCCACTGCATGGAAAACAAGTGGCAAACTAACCCAAGGTATTAAGCTGGAAACCAGTATTTAATCCATCGACAGTTTAAGCACCAAGTTAGCTGTACCTTGGTGTAACATGAATTCAAAGATAGATTTCCGTTAAAATGCTGAAATGAGACACACCAACACATAGCTAACAGAGGCAAACTCGTCTTCCATGTAAGAACTGAGTAACGAAAAGCAGCGTTTTCCTTAACAGGTGCTCCAAAGCGAGATGAATGAACAGATTAGTTTCTAAACAAACTGTGGTGTTACGTCGGTGGGGAACAGAAATACAAAGATTTGGTTTTATCTGGTTTTATATTTAAGGTAGTTTGGCCACCATAGGGAGATAGAGAAGCTAAAGTTTCGAGCGCTATTTGCTATGAGTCACCTAGCCTGTGGTTTTATTGGACAGGGCCCAGCTTGTTGCACCACGCCCACGATGGTGAAGTGTCGCACAAGGTGTGAAACAAATGGTACTGCTGCTGCCTTCAGCTCCTTTATAGTACCAGACACTATCAATATGAAAAACAAAATAAATACAGTTTCAATGTAAGAGTTAAGCTGGGTTAATAACCCTGACTGATGTGATCATTTTGAGATATTCATAATTTGTGTACAGAAAATATACATTGAGATACAGGTTTCATTTCACATCAAATGATACAATGAACTGTGTTTTTATTTGGCAAAAAAAACAAGAACCATGATTGCCTCAAAATGTCCGGTGAAACCTCTGTGAGGAACACCAATGAACTGTAATAACAGGAGGAGTAGAAGAAACAACACGTACATTCTATGTAAAAAGTCGACACCTATGGTATCTTTTGTACTCCGCAAAGACAAAAAAAATTCACTCATTATTCGAAGCAGAAGCCACTAGGCTGTAAAGTAACAGTACTTAACCACACGTGCTGCAATGATAGGAAGAGCTAAAATAACCAAGATGTGCATCTTATTTAAGACCTCATCACCATGAATGTCTTTTGTCCTTATGGACGATGACAAGAAAAACACTTATGTATCACCATCTTGTACCAATACAATACGAAATATACACGAATAAGACAACACTATTTAATGCTGAGTTTTGCCAATGTGTTAAGAATTGTAAAGAACAGTTTACACAAAGTTTACAACCTTTTATTGTTTCGTAGTGAAAGACAGAGTTATGAAGGTTCAAACTCAACAGATTCTTCATAAAATGAGGGTTCATACATTTTGCTCGGACACTGAATCTAACCTGATTTTATTTACTTATTATTTTGTGATAAAAGGCATCAAAAGCTCGGTATTGTTCCAAGACCCTTAAGATACTTACACAAAACCCCTGTGATGGCTTGTTCAAACACCTTCTTGGATAGCTCATCAATACACGGTGGAACAGCTGTCTTGTTTACAGTAGGAGGATTTTCTGTTCTAAAGCTGAGGAAAAGCAAGAGGGCAACAAATTGTTCATATATTTTAAAAGGCTTGATTACAATACTGTAAAAAATATGCCAGCAACGACATTTGCAAGCTAATCATATGAAGTGGAAATGATGAAAGAAATACCTTCTGTGTGACAAAACTTGATGTAAAATTGATTCAGTGTCTTCCAGTGACATCATGGCGATCAAAAATGACTGTAGGAGAAAAAAATGTAATGTTCCAACTCTCACGACTTAAGGATATCTTAAAACGATTTTGGCATGTTCCGTTACATGCAAAATTGTTCACATTACGTATACCAGTATTTAAAAGCTGTTTCAACTGTTCAAAACAATCAAAACCTTGTTTTCAATTCCTCATATGGTAGCCTGCGTGGAAGAGAGGAAGAACTGAAGAAGAGAGAAGAAAACTCAAACCCTACCACACCCCTCGCAGAGTTTTCTGCTCACATCCCTTTGCACCATCCCCTAGACAGCATGCACACATCTCCTATTTGAAGCAGGTGACGTCTGTAACCAGGCTACTGTCTCCATAATCTGATTGCTTGGAACAGGTTAATGAAAACTAAGGGTTTAAGGAATCAGAGTGCTGTAAACCCAATCTCGTGAAGGTAATCCAATCTTAACGTCTCTATAATCATTACCTGCACAACCAGCCAGGCCTGTTCTCGGTAAAACACAGTGTGGTCTATTTGCATTGGAGACTGCTGAGGAATAACTGTCATATTTGGTGGAAGTGTTTTCAGCACTGTCAATGCTTTGTCAATAACCTGCAACAGACAATATCCATCATTGCCTTTAAACATTTATGGCTCTGTTTGCAAACCTGAGAATTCTTCCTTTCTCTTTCAACGGTTTTGACTCTTGACGACCTTCTTTGACTGTTAGGTACGAGTCACATGTACAGTCGACTCTCTCCTTACGGACACCTCCTTAAGTCAAACAGAACAACTCTGTAAAACGGAACCCCAGAGTTTGTCCCAGCCTTTCTTTACTTGTTTAGTTGACTCTCTATACGACGGATATCTCTCTAAGACTAGCCTGCGAGCAAGCTCTTCTGTTTGGGCGAGTGAAACGAGTCTCGCAAGAACGCGCGAGCGACCGGCGAAGCCGCGAGGTGCAGAACGGCCCCTCGCTGGCGCGTTCTTGCGAGGCTCGCTTCGCTTGCCCAAATAGGAGAGCTTGCTCGCTCGCATGCTACTCTAAGACGGACACTTGCTCCCGGTTCCAAAGGCGTCTGTCTTAAAGAGAGTTGACTGTACAACACTGTAAAACGAAAAAAGTCAGCTCTAGCACTGTCTTTTAGCTTTCTTACATTTAAAGATTACACTCGCCTTACCATAGTAACAGGAAGTGAAACAGGATTGGTGCTTTCTGGATAAAATATTGACAGGCATGGTCCTGATGTTTCAGCACTGTTATACCTTAGCTAAGAAGCAAAAACACTTTCTTTTAATACAAAGTAAGGCATTCACACTGCGTAGGTTATGCAAAGAAGGGCATGACAACACGTTATATAAACTATCTCATTACTTGCTGTATTAAACCTAGAAAACTGTGGTGCTGTTGGGAAATTTGAACGCCCTTAAGCTCAAATCTAAACGATTTTTTCTGAGCTGGAAATTATGAGCACTTCACTCCAGAGGAAAGGATAATTTTAAGCAGAAAGTTAAAATAAAATGCAGTTTCCACTTCTAATTCTTGGACCTGAAACTGATTTATGGGCCAAACTATGCCCAGGACCAACCTTCTGTGGCTCTTTGAGCATTCTCCTGTTACCGCCACCAAATTTGCCCAAAACCCTGAAAGCCACATGAGCAATACTATCATGTGGATTGCGAAGAGTTTTCCAAAGTGCCTGAAAACATAACATTTGGTGGCAAAAATGTTAAGACATTAACGGCATTTAATAAAGTTTTGTTCAAGTCCGGTTTTCATTAGCCCCAAAAGCACAAGCACAAGCATAAGAAAGTCCTTATCACCCTAAAAACTGGCCTTGATGTTAACATGCACAAGAACAAGGGTCAATTTTTATTCTTTTTTGTGCTTGTGTTTTTCAACGTGATAAATGTCAAAACCTATCATTCTGCATATTGAGGAGGAATTCGTGTTGGGGGATTTAGACTTTTTTAAACTAGACGTTTTTCTTTGTCCTTGTCGGAATTTTACACAGGGGAACTATTAAAAAGGACTTTTCTTCTCCTAATGCTTGAACTTTCAAAGCGAAAGTTAAGCTTAAGTATCCTCACTAAACAGCGCGAAAGAGCATTATTATCTTCAAAGTCAACTTACCTGGAAAAGTTCTGCTCTCACTGGTTGAATGTGGTCATACAGGAAGTCAGGTTGAAGATTGTCAACACACAGCTCCAGTGTCCGTAAGCCCTGGTTATCATACAATGTTAAAAAGGAAGAGTCAATCATATTGTTTGCCAGCTGAACTTAACATAGTGTCCCAAAGGGCCGAGAGAGAAGGATTTCACCCAGCTAATATCAACATAACTCCAGGCCACCTTCATAGGAAACAAAAGGAAAATAGGCCACAGAACTTCAAAGCTGTTTGATTCATCGCCTAGTAATTGCATTTGGTAAAATCCAACTAGTGGTCTATTATCAGTGCTACATTCTGATTGGTTGAGCTACTACTAGGCTATATGTTATAGTCCACTAGTAGCGAAAAGAGCCACATTTTTGGCAGCAAAAAAAGGATTAAAGTCTAGCTTTAACTAGCTGAAGTTGTTTGGTCTCGATAGGTTTGACCAACTAGTTGGATTTTACAAAAACAATTATTCCTCTAGCCCTCATGGCCTTGAGTCAATAGCCCATTCGGGCTTGAGAAATAATTGTTTAATACCCAACAACTTAAAATCTTATTGACAGCCCTGACCCAGGTAACAAGAAAGTTTTTAATACCTGACTGACAAGTGTTTGGGATCCATTTAAAGCAGAAACAAGTGGATCCATCAGCATAGGCAAGTATGGCAACAAAGAGCTGAAAAGGAATAAAACAGCAGCTTTCAATGGGAATCTTGAGCTGGCCCGTTCTACATTTAATGATCTATTACTTACCAGTACACTCCATACAACTCAGCATTTTTGACAAAAAAGGAATCTTGCTACAACCTGGATCTCATTTACGTGCTTGTGTTTATAGGTTTCAACATAACTTAAATAGGAAACATGAATTAAGACGGAATCCGTTAGGAAATTGAGTAATTTTAATTTTCAGTGGACAAAAGCCTTGTACCAGAATAATAATATTTAAACAACATTTTATTCTTTTTTACGTTTTTCAAGGGCTAAAGATGTGATAAATCATCTGTAGTAACACCAAAGAAAATTTGTCATGAAAGTCCGAGAAAATAAATGTCAAATTTCACAAGAATGGTGATTACTCAGGTAAAATTCTGAAAATTTCATTTGTAATAAGAAATTTTGGGAAACGTGACATTCATTTTCTCGGGCTCCCATAAGACAATTTTTTTTGTGTTACTATTGATGAATCGTTACATCTTTAGCTCTTGAAAAACGTAAGAAAGAATGCAATATGCACACTATGTTCTTTACACACAAGGCTGATGTGTGATGGTTGGCATTGTGGCTGCTTTTCATCTCATTATCTGAGCTCCCATCTTACCTCAGCCTGACAGGCACTGTGAGGCACAACTCAACAAACAAGTCTTTCATGTACTGACGATGGATACCACTCTGAAGGTTGTTCAGTCCTTAGAAACAAAAAGGCAAGCAATTATTGGTAAGCAAAAGTTAAGAAGGGTTCATTCATTTAATAAAAGGTAATTTCAAAATTTTCCCATGTTATGATGCTATTATATACTTGACAATGTAAATCAAAGGCCAAATTTAAACAGCTGTGTTTAATGCACAAGTGGTAGACTAGTCGCCGCCCAGTTAGCTCAAAAGGATAAGCGTCGGTCTACCGAGCGGGAGGTCGTGGGTTCAAACCCCGGCCGGACCAGCACTCAGGGTCTTTAAATAACTGAAGAGAAAGTGCTGCCTTTGTAATAACATCTGCTAACGGTTTGACTTTCTAGTCTTCTCGGATAAGGACAATGAACCGTGGGCCCCGTCTCACAAGCCCTTGCACATGTGATAAAAATATCTGTGGGACGTTAAAGAACCCACACACTCTTCGTAAAGAGCAGGGCACGTAGTGCCCAGTGTAGTGGTCTATCTCACTTTCACACTCATGTATGGGGGCATCATTACTCATTCCTTCATTACTTGTAAACTGCACCTTAAGCAGTCTGGCATGACACTAATGCCTCAACCTCATCCTCATCCTATAAATGACGTGATTATTAGACTTCTACCATAGCTACATAGTACCTAGATGAAATGAAACACTAACCCTGTAGCAAGTTGGGTAGGAGAGGCAAAAACTCTTGATACAAAAGATCATGACTTCCTGAAAATTAATGAGAAAAAAATAATTTCATCTTTGTTCAATGCTTCTCTTTAATAATACTATAGTTTCTTTGTGATGAAGAACTGTTATTGACGCAGTAAAACTAGTTAAGGAACACCAGCAAATTATCAGACCAGAAATGGTACAACTATCCCATACAATTTTTATTCAAACATTATCCTACCAATATATTTAAAGCGCCATTTTAGAAAAGAGAGAAGTTGCATGTTCTATTTGGTATTGCAAAGTAAAAGACACAAATTTATAATCTTAGAGCTAAAGTTTGAAGATCTCATCATACACAACAGAGTGAAGATAAAGGGAAAAACAGATTACTGCAGAGAGGTGAGGCATAATTATATGTATAGATTCTATGGAACATTTCAGAAAAATTACCTCCACCAATGGATCTAAAAAGTGCTCTCAACAGTAAGAAATAATTGTATGGCTCCTTGGATGTACAGGCAAGCTCCATGGAACGATTTACAATCTCATGTAAATGAGGCTGCAAGTAAAAAAAATCAGCTGTCAATGCCAACCAAGGGGCTGTTTACAAGGAGGGAGGAAGATCCTAGTACCAGGAAGATCCTAGAAGGTGGAATAACTTTACGTTGGGTTTACATGCAGAAATTTCAGCCCGTGAGTTGTCCAAGTAGAGAAGGTTAGAGAAGGGATTAAAAATGGCAGACGACAAAATCAAAAATGTAATTTGGGTCCTTCTGCTCTCTTTACTGGTGTAAATCACTACCTTTCAGCTGAATTAACACAATAATCTGCTCGTAGATTACTCCAAATGAAATGGTTGGTCCTTTATGCCATAATTAGGCACTGAACGACCCGCCAACATTTTGTCGCGTTTGTCCCTAGTACTAGGATCTTCCTAGCAAAAGCAGTTTACATGGCGCTAGGATCTTCCTACCTCTCAGCTAGGAAGATCCTAGTACTAGGAAGATCCTAGTGCTAGGGACAAGTACAACCCTTTGCATGTAAACTGAATACAGAAAACATTATGGCGCTAGAATGATCCTCCCTCTAGGATCTTCCTCCCTCTATGTAAACAGCCCTTAAGAGACAAACTAGAACAAGACAAATTAATTTATTAGTTACACGATTGTATGCTGTTAGACATAAACTGTTCCTAGGCCAGAATTCAAATACAATGAATGTTTTTTATAAAACATTAATGAGAACTCCTTTTTCTGATCAAAAAAATTACCTTCAGCATTTGTTCATTTTCAGAGGCAAAAAGAGATACTGATCCAAACACAAGCTTGAACAGTTTGAGGTAGAGGTTGGACCGCTCCATATTAGCTAAAAGTGAAAAACATATAATTATAATTTTATTACACTAAAATACAAGCATTTAGTTACTAATAGAAGTTGGCATTCAAATACGAAATGATTTTATAGTTTATACTACTACATGAGAAATTTCTGCAATTTGATTGGCTTAGAGCAGTGATATTTCAGCTTGATTTGAAATACCTACACGTGAAAATTACAAACCTTTTGTGGGTAGTAGTATAAACAAATAATAGCATGATTTGTACGTGATATTTGGCATAAATACCACTTGTGATATTTCAAAATTGTCTCAAATTTCACTCACCTAACGGCTCAGGAAATTTCGAATAACAATTTTGAAATATAACCCGTGGTATTTATGCCAAATATCACTACAAATCATGCTATTACCTATACTAATCCTTAACAGGAAATCATTTGGGAAGTTGGGAAGGATTAATAGACATCAACTTTCTTGAACGTTAAGTTCTACAGGTCATTTTTAAAATATTGCTAGCCCTACATTTGAAGCTTATTATTATGTCAGTGCTACAATTGGCAACAAAATCGTTGAGAAACTGTCTTCAAATGGGGCAACTTCTGAAAGCAAAACAATCCACACCCCTCTCCCCTCCCCTCCACTCAAAGTTGGGTGTTAGTTGTTTTCTACAAGTAGCTCAAACAGAGACACAACATTGCACGAGGGAGGGTGGAGAGAAAGCTTTAGTTTCCCCTTTTTGAGTTGGCAAAACATCAGAAAGGCCCCATAAGAGCAAAGTGTCTCACTTAATGTTGACACAGATTGTGGCTAACAAAAAGGGGAAATTTTCTACACAGCCCCAAAAATGACATCTCCAAAATTCATTTCTTGGTTTTACTCCAAACATTCTTGGATTTTCTAGAACATAAAAATAACTGCTACTCACTTCCCATTTCATCGAGTCTGTCTAGCAGAAATCGCACAAGGATTGTAGCAAATGTTGCTGATGTGTTTGGGTTTGCAAGAAATGAGTTGGGGATAATCTGTAAAGAAATCAAATTTCAGTACAGTAATTGTATATTGAAAATGTTACAATTATAATTATTATACTGTTAATACTTGGATTTACTTATAATAAAGGCGTAGCCCCATTTTCTAATAATATTAACTAATACTAATAATTGATTGACAGTTTTTTGCCCAGAAGCTCAATATAAATTATTATTCATGGTTAACTTTTAAACTAAGGGTCGACTAATTAAATACAAGTAAACCCATTCTGTTAATGCATTTTCTGGATCATGTTACTCAAAACTGAGAGCTTATCACTGAAAAAGCTTGGTTCAGATAAATATTTATTATAAGCTATCGTAAAATTCCGAAAATAAGCCCCTCCATGTATAAGCCCCTCCAAATATAAGCCCCCCAAACCAGTAATGCAAAAAAACCCTCCATTAAATCGCTCCTCCAAATATAAGCCCCCCGGGGGCTGGTACTCGGAAAATTGCCCTCAAATACAAAGTAAAACAAAGCAAAAACGATAAATTTACTTCCAACTATGAGGCTTGCCCAATCAATTTTGAAACACAAATTTCCCTCCATAGATAAGCCCCTCCGAATATAAGCTCCTCCAAAAATAAGCCCCTCAAAAAGGGCTTTTGAAAAATATAAGCCCCAGGCCTTTTTTTTGGAATTTTAAGGTATTTTGAAAAAAATCATTGACTGTCTCTCACCTGAAGTGCATAGTTTGTGTGAATTCTTTCCACTAAATACTAAGAAAAAAAAGAAATGTTAGTCTGATGAATATGTGACACATAATATTAAACCCACAAATATTAATAAATTATCATTATTGTCACACTAAGACCAATAGTATTGTTTAAGGTGGCTGAACACAGTTTAGGCAGCTTGTGAGTATATGTCATTTGCCAAATTATGGCAAGAAAAAGGTTGCAGCTCACAAGCTGAAACTTGGCAAGTGAAAAATAAACTGATGAAAGATTTTGATTGACAGGTAGAATTTGACTTTTTTGCACTTTCCATGGCAACATGAACGACTGAATACAACCTTAAAATTTCACTTTTGCTGAGTCTACTTAAAACTTGCTCATTAGATTTTCCTATAAACTTGCACACGGCTTATTATAAGTAATCATTACCATTTGAAACTTATTTGACCAAATTTTAACAGACGGGTTTTTAGATAATCAATAATATAATTGTACTGTAATTATTAAATGCGCCACAAAATTCGTCTGTTCAACTACCATTTTAAAGTTTTCATTATTTAAAATATGATAAAAGCAAAACCTCGGCCAAATATCTCAAAATTTTAATGAGTAGATTTTGAGAAATCGTCACCTGTGTATCATTGATTTTTCACCACCATGTTTGTTTGTCTAATTTAAAACACTCGCCGTCATGCGAGTTGCCGCTGACCGCCCGCAAAACTGGCAGAAGTTCAGCCACCTTAAGTACAGTACCTTGATACTGGCTGTAAAGACTTCCTTAAATGTGGATGTATTCATCATGGTAAACTAATAAATTAAAAAAAAAACAAGTAAACAGAACAGGTTATTGGCATAGCCTAGACATGCACACATAATAGCAAAAAAGGCAGTGTAAAATACAGACTACGGACTATTGATCTTACACTGACTGAAAGCAAACAATGAATTTAAGCAATCACAAGGAAAAAAACACTCACAACTCCTGCAAAATGTTCCAAGATTTCTTTTTCTTCTTTCATTCGTACTTGTTGAGAGCTGATAAAACAAAAAACAAAACAGTTAAATGTGAAATATGACGTTAGCGTCATTTTCATTTACCATTAATTTTAATCTTCTTGAATTCACTTGTTAAGATATAAATAAATTTCATTTTAATTATTAATCTTAAAAAACTGCCTTGAAAATTTGACTCAATTAGTCAATCTGAACAACAAAGATTTTGTGAAACAAGAAGAATGCGGAAAGTCAGTGTGTTTTGGCATTCCGACTTTTTTTTCCTTGGGCAGTGCTATGAGATACCCCCTTGATTTATGTTCACTAGTGGTTGGAAAAATAATTGGCACAAACATAAATAGTAAATAAACAGCAAAAAAGCTTCACAAGACTAAAAATAATAATAACAGGAAAAACAGCAAAAAAAATCCAATCTTGTTACCCATACCTAGGAGGTCTGAGGTAGTACTGTCCTGTTTGAGGATTCACAGATACTTGATAAATGTCCAGGGCTTGTAACGCTGAATCATTCAAAAATTGATAAAACAAGGGCAAAACCATAAGCACACACTGATAAACAAACAACAATATTTTCCAGCTCGTAAAAATCTGGTTCAGTGCTAAAAGCTAATGATAAAAGTTGTAAGTAAACAACTAAAAACTTGTTTTAAATCATTTGGGACCCAAATTTAAAATTACTCCACACTAGCTCCTTAATGGCCCCTGAGCCTTAACTTTTTTTACAAATTTGAGAGCCTACAGTGACACAAAATAGACCTTAGTCTGTAAATATAAAAAAACTTGACAACTCTCACCATATTTTAGGAGCCTTGTGAAAAGATGTGTTTCCCATGGAAGGAATGTTTTATTTGTTTGAGATGGAGCAGGGGCATTGATATCACCAGCTGCAGAACAAAAAACAAATATTAAGAATAAATTTTCCCAGAATCATTTGATAAAAATATTACTGTATTAAAAGAAAAACACAAAACGAGGCACATGTGGTATAAAACTCATTAGTTATTGAATTAAACATGAAACTGTAGGAGTTTAGTTTCGTCACGAAACTCATGGCCTGATGCTCTTGTAATCGTTTACAAAAAACGGCCGCCGCCAACTCGATAGCCGCTTCATTATATGTCCACATACTTTGAGCACAAGAAAAATCCAAGAGCCAGCAGCCTCTAAAATAACTCAATAGAAAGGTCCTGTGAACTATAGGGAAGATTCCATCAAAGATTCCATCACTTATTGTCGAGTAGCCGTCATTAACTCTGCCATTACAACGGCCGCTGATAAGAGGACACAGTAAATCCACGTAAAAACATTCCACAGGCAAACAATTTTAAAATAACGCCAAAAAATTGTTCTGTAATCACCATAGAACGATTCTTAATACAAAACTTCGCTAACTATCGAACGATGGCTGAGATTTAGACAGATAAAAACAGCCTTCCAAAATCTCCGACACAACTTGAAAAAGTTGGGCCGTCTTTTTCAAGTTTGTTTTCATTGGCTTGCGCATGCGTGTTGGGTGACATAGCCCCTTTAAGTAAAAGCCATTTAGCAGGACTATCAGGACTGTGATAAAACTTACCACAAAATAAATATCATTTATTATGCTGTAAGTTTTTCTTATTTTTAAGGGTATAGATGAATTTCTCTAGTGTGACCATTAAACTCAAAGCTTCTGAACAGCACTGTGAAGGTACTGTTTATTACAAGCCTGTGGATGAAAACTGAATCTTATGGTGTAACCACTATTTCAAATGAAAGATCCTTAGCAGCACTTTCACATGAGCAGGTTGCACTCACCACTTCACAATTTTTGCTTGGTTCATCAACTTTGCTTAGAAAGTACAGTTTAACTTAAAATTATGTAACTTACATGCACTTCCTGACAGCTTGCATGAACCAGCACCCCAAGTGATCGTCTTGACACCACATACAAGCGTCTTCACCATACTGCGGCAATCAGGAACTGAGAAGGTGGTTGTGGGACTAGGACCTTTAAAATCCAAACATTAAAAATGCTTTTAGAAAAAAGTCATTGTCAGTTGTCAGTAATCTGTATTCTCTGCAACCATCATCAGGGCTGTCATTATGGGAGCAGTGCCATGGTATTTGCCGTCTTTTCAAAAAGCTTAAACTGTTTTCACAACAATTGAATTCCAAAAATAATGGTAAACTTTTGTTATTTAAGAATATATTATTATTTAGACATTGAAACTGTTTCCTGTTGTCTATTGCAATGGATGACAAGGATGCACATGGATTGAAGCTTGAAAATGTTGGGCTAACTTTTCCAAGTTTTAATGCCTGCTAAAATTATTTCAAACTGAAATTTGTTTGGTATCTTCTTATGTACATGTAAGAGCATTCTGTACGGGTAAAAGTACTAGGCAATGATTTCAGCATAGAATTGGCCTAACACCGCAAAAAAAATGGAAGGAAAATAGAATTTAAAAAAATCTCCAGCTGTTTGATTCCATGCCTACTTGTTGTATTTACCTGGCAACTCAAAATCTTAGTGACATCCCTGATGTACACGCAGGAAAGATAATACACATAGTCTGTAGCACCTGCCTGATTATGTTGAAAAAGTGCCTTACCTGATATTGGTGATCCTGCTTTCTGTAACCAAAAAAATACAATATGTGGCTGTGTTAATAAGGTTGACAAATGTTCTATATTATCTAATTTTTGACCGACAAGTTTCCATAGGTTGAGTGGAACAAAATAAGTGGAAAAATGTTTATCTCTCCCACCACTGGGGCCTGCACACAGATCAAGTGACCATTGTGGTGGATACATGTACTTGTTATAGTTGCATCTGCCATTCCCACTCATATACATCCTAGGACTTCAGTACCTCCATGCTGTGTTAGTATAATCCCCAAACTTTGTATACTTTGGTTGAGTTTTCACTTTTACAGAACGTAAGTTTGCTATTTTTAATCTCAAAGAAAAGATCAGGCCGTGGCACTCAACTTGGAAGAGATTAGATTGTTCATGGCGTTGTTCAGCCATTCACTATTTTTTGAAGGAACATGTCAAACAACAAGTGAACTGAGAGCAAGTGTGAGTACAAGAAGGAAACACAAGAGGGTGGGGATGGGGAGAAATTCCCTGCAGCTTTGCTGTCTACTGACACACACATCCATTTGCTAAGTTCATCATACGGTACATATTTTTCATTAATTTTGATAGAGCCATGAGTATGACATAGCTAACAGTGGTGTGTAAGAAATTAAATAATTATCGAATTAAGACAGACACAAAAATATTCTCCATAAGTCTCCTTTTGAAACACTAAGAGCCAAATGTTTAGATGAAGTCTAACTTAAGCCATTTTTTAACAAATATTTGAACCTCCAGATCTCTTCTTTGGTGCGTTGTTTTAAGAAGATAAATGCTTTTCTAGTCTTCTCTATATTATGCTTTCATAAAACTGTTTAGAATAAATGATGTTTAGAAAAATCGTTGGGCAAATTGAAAATGACTTAGAATGTGGTTTTGTTAAATACTGGCTAAAAATAATGTGTCTTAATATTTGGCCCTAAGAGTTTCTGTGCCAAGTATGCTTTCACAATAGTGATAAAATAATTTGACAGTAGGAAAATAAGTAAGGAAAGTAATTCAGTCAGTCAGTAAGTAAAAGTACTGGTAAGTAAATTAAGCAAATAAGTAGACACTCGATTTAGTGAGTTGATTTAGTGAGGGTAACACTAAATAGCTAAACGCTAACAAACTTGTGGCCCTCTAATTAATTAAATAAATTAATCAAAAATACCTATATCAATTACTAAATTTAGCAGGGCTAAAGGAATATCCTCTTTACCTTGACTGGTTCTTGTTCCTGCTTCTCTGTGGACTGTGATTCACCGTTTGTTGTTGAGCTTGATGCTGCTGAGGCTACAGTGGCACTTGATGAAGAGCTGCGATCAGGAGCTGTGCTGCTGCTAGTAGCAGAAGAAGATGCAGTGGGATTAGAGCTGGATTGTTGAGCTGCTGTTTGTTGTGCTTGAAGCTCACTCATCTGTGGGCTACAAAATCCATTTATTTTGCAGTCAACAATTTAAAGACAGCAAGAAAGAAAGCGGGGACTACTGACCAGCAAGTACCGTAGTAACTCGAATAAACAGAACAGATGGAAGCAAATTAATGACTATTACATGCCGCCCTCAAAATTTAATTTGGTGCTCCATTTTGTTAAAAATACCACAATAATATGCAAATATTTTCAGTAGTGATTGAGAAAATTTCACTTTCAAGTTTCCATACCATCTGTTGAAGATAGCTGGGACATGGTGCTTAGCAATTGACTGGAATTTCCTCACAAACACCTCTAACATTCGCATAAGAATTTCTCGTCCCTAAAAAGAACAAAAGAAGATGTGAAGTCATTTTTAGATAGACCTTCAAAACCAAAGAGGAAACACAATTATCAAGCAAAACACTGCCATCAAATCATTATAGTGTACATACTGTTCCCTGTTCATCACTCTTCTGTCTAATACACTCCACAAGATTCAAAAGGAGCTAGAAATTTGAAAAGAAACGTAAAATATTAAAATACTGGTAATTATTGTCCAACAGAGTCCAACAGACAATAAAATTGATAGCAATGATGATTTTGATGAGAATAGTGGTGCACAATCCAATTAACTTTTTTATACAGGAGACAACCAGTGACTGGTTTGGTTTCCAGCAAGTGTCTGTAAAATTTTTGCTTAACAGTAAAACACAAAGAAACAAAACAAAGACATTTTTATGCTAAAACATAATCTTTAATACTCATGAACGAATGCAAAAGTCACTGAGATATCTATGTAAAAAAGGCATTAAATGATCATGTAGCTTAGGCATTTTATAGAAGGCACTTTTCATTAAATAGATAGCTCTCTTAGTTTGAGGATTGAACATAATGCAACCACCTTTCCAAGTACAAAGCATTTTTTTAGGAAGGATTTACGTGCAAAGCTAGCCACAATGTTGCTCATAACAGGTTACTTCAGAACAACATTGCTCAAACCTTCCGACAGCAGTGATTTCGTTCGCCAGTACAATGTAAACAGTCAATACTTTTTAGATTTCCTATTTTTTAGAAATATTATTTTCTGTGGAGATTAAAAACTTTGACAAATTAAGGGGTAAGCTTCTTCTTGAAATCAAACGCAAAACATTAAACAAAACTAATTCCTTTAGCACCAGTTGAAAACATTGACAAGGCACTGAAAGTTAGTTCTAGCAACTAGCCTTAAAATTCTGGTCGCCAACGCTAAAGTTTCAGTCACTGGTAGTTAAGTTGACAAATTACTGTGGAAGGAATACAATGATGGCGGCAATGAGGTTGGTGGTAATGGAGATGAGGGTGATGAAAATGGCAGTGGGAATAACAATCAGGATGAATCTACTGAATGTTTGCTGCAATAAGGTGGAGTATGGAGACTTGAATAAATATTTTACCTTGCATGACATTGTTTGAATGCTGACAGGAAGTGAGTCATCATGGACATTCTTGGAGAACATGTGGACAGCCAGTGACAGATGAGGGAGTGGAAGATGAGTGCGCACATGGTGGACCAGGTCAGCAAGAGTGCTGTAAGCTAAGGGACGCAACGACTCCTTGGTTGTCCAGCCCTTTCCAATCAACACTTCTTCATCAAACAACTGGTCAATGTGAGGAACAAATCCTATGGAAAAGGCATGGAATAACTTGATAAAAGGCTAAAAAGATTTTAAAGGATGATGCCCACCAAGCTACTGGACATGTGTAGCTGCAATCCTAGATTTATGATACTTCCTTCCTGTGTTATTCTTTGTTATTGTTCAGTGGTTCTTTGCTTCTGTTTCGTGCAGCAGAAGGAACTCAATTTTAAACTTTAGAAAGTAAGAGTGAAAATGGGGAAAACAGCGAAGGATGCCTCATTATTTTGTATCACCAAAATCCCTGGCCCCTACTATAAGTCCAACCTTTGAGTAATTACATGTAAAATCAGGAAATTTTTTAATCACTGATGAGTCACTGGCTGAGCTGGTAGGGGGGCCTGGGGGGTTTTCTCCTTAAAAAATTTTGAAATCTTGATGCTCTAAAAAGCCATTTCCAGTGTTCTGAGAGGACGATTTTGTCTTAAATGTTCGCTAAATCACACAAATCGATTGCCATTTTTTTTGCTTATTTTTATTTACATGTCTTCGCGTATAAATACTTGAATTTAATTTATATTTTGTGCGTTTTTCTAAGTTTCCTGGACACCAATTTTAGTCAAGTACATGCACTCCGTTAGATGTTGATGTATGAGCATCATAAGAATTCATCTGAAAAATATCAGAACAAATATCAAAATCGGGATTACCCATCCCCATTGTATATTGGTTGGCATTCGGGATTTTCAAGCCAAATCAGGAGAATCCCGACAAAATCGGGATAGTTGGACAGTCTGGTGACTAATTCCCTACCCACTCTGCTTTACCCTACTTGCACCGACCTCTCACCCAATCAAAATCCCACAATTACCACTGCATCAAACATTCAAAATCATCACTTATCCTTCCACTTACTATTTCTTAGATCTGTAGCCAAAATGTGTCGGGCAGCAATCAGTAACTCCTTTCTCAGATGGGCGACTTCTTGTGGACAGTACCGTAGGAGACCCAGCATTCCACCAACCATGTTCTGTGAGTAGGTATTGACCATGTCTTGATAAATCCTGATAATGTACGCTAGGAAAGATAGTGTCTTGATCTGTGCCGCAACAAAGTCTACATATACTTCTTTATTGAAAGTTGGAGATTTCCTGGAAATTGAAAATTTGTGAACAATAGTCCAGGTTTGACACAACAAATATAATGAACAGCTAGTGCTTCATAACTTGTCACAAAATTAATGTCAACCCGCATTTCTTCAGTTCTTACCTTGCAGTAAGGGATGGCTGCAGAATGATTGTGTTCATTATCAGTGGGATGAAGTCAGCCACAACACTGTGTACATTCTGTTTGTATAACTGAAAAAGAAAACAGAATAACAGTTTTTTTTATAGCTGTGATCATTAATAACAACTACCCTAAAAGAACTGGCACGGGTTGTTATGATGATGGATAGCGCTATCCACCGGAAAAATCACTATCCAGTGGACAAGCATTATAGAAACCAATTGTGTTATCCACTGGATAGATTTTATCAGAGTTAAAAGCATTATCCACCTTGCCAACAACTTGGACCTGGATAATAAGCCAGCAATGCCAGAGGTAGCAACTAAACAGTCTACCCAGATTACACCATTGAAATCTTAAATCCATTTTCTGAAGTGACTCAAAGACCAACTGAACGCTGTAAAGCTACAAAAGACTGAATGTTACATGTATTAAACATTGTACTCACTATCTGTCTTCGCATTGCATTTGGTAAAGAGCCTACAGTTGATTTTGGAAATCCACTCAACCTACAGATTAGTCACTGTTATTAAACATTGTACTCAATATCTGTCTTCGCATTGGTAAAGAGCCTACAGTTGATTTTGGAAATCCTAGCAGACCTATATAACATAAAAGTGAATAATCTGTAGGTTGTGTACACAAATCATTATTTCTGAGAGCAATGCCATATTGGGTCAGTGTGACAGTGTGTTTTATGTAATTTTTTTTAAACAATGTACAATAAAACAATTACCAGATTCAGTTTTTGTGATATCCTAGATAATCAACATCTCAATAAGTGTTATCAGCCTCAGCTCAGCTGATAACACTTCCCACCACCTTGATTATTCTGGATATCTAATCACAAAAAACCTTATCCAATAAAAAACAATAATCAAAAATAATCAACAATTATTGTTTATTAATGGAGCTGCAAGAAGGGTGTAGTTACTGCCTGGAGAATACCTGCGGCCAGCAGATGACCATAAAAGTCTTCCAAATGACCCCAAAGCTGATTTATTACTTACCTGATACATTAAAACCACGATGATTGGTAACTCAGCCAAGACTTTCAGTGAGTTTACTGCCTTGGGAATTGTGGTCTGAAAAAGGCAAACACAACACCACAAAAATAAATAAATATCCTCTAGCATACATAAATAATCATTTTTACCCATCTGTGATAAAACTATAAAAAATATCATCATGCCGAACATACAAACCTGTTGCGAACTTTTTCCGCTTCCCACATCTCCAGTATTCAGGGGTGAGGTGGTAGATGCAGATCCAGTGCTTAACCCAGGGTTAGTGATGGTAGGAGTGGTGGCACCAGCATTGTTCTCTGCTGGTAAAAACCCAGTGGCTGATATTGGCACAACGTCAAAGAATTGTTTCTAAAAAAGAGAAGAAAGACTGCTTCATTATGCTGTTTATTTTGTTGGGTTAGAAAACACTGAAAACAGATTTCCAACCACAATGTCTTGTAAACATGGAGTACTTGAATGTGTAGATCATCATACCACATTTGTTGGTAAATCTTTGTAAATTGTCTTCACAAATTGTAGAAAATGCTGTATCTGTAAAGATAATAATAATATATTAGTGGATACTTATCCCCTCCAGCTGTACAAAACAAAGCTGTTTTTAACTTGCATAACTCAGATACACATAAAACTACTGTGCAGAAAACAAATTTTAGTGATGTACATTGTAAAATAGCTGGCTTCTAAGAACTGCTTCAAAATTAAATGAATCACCAATTACACTGCATTTAAGAGTGTTTTACGGTCTTAGTGCTTTGAGAAAAAAGGGTCATGAGCTTATTACTGATCACCCACATCTGGTTTTGAACAACAGCAGAGAGAAGAGTCCATGAAAGAATCCAATCAAGATCATTAAGTGTAAGATCCCAAGCATCTTTTTACCACAATCATCACTCATGGTTGTTACTATGATTTTTTCCCTTCTGTTCTTTCTGTTGCAAATGAATATGAACGATAATAATAATTGACCACAAAAATATTCTTAACAAATTTGATGATGATAATAAAACACTGTTCAACAGGGAAGTACATCGTGAGATGACTACTTATTATAAAATGGTACTTAATGTATTCATGATTATGTAATAACTATTTGACATTACTAAACTGTACCTCAGACTGCAGTGGTGGTCTGAACTGCTTGTGAAGCTCAATAATGATTCTCAAACAAACTAACACGTTCTCTTCATTTTCAATCTAATGAAGTGAAAAAGAATTAAACAAAATATAAAATACAAAATACAAAATAGGGGCGCAAAGCAAGGCAAGGCTACATGTACAATCAGATGAAAAAAATTCTTGAGACCATGTACCTTATTTGGACTTTCAGCAGAGAGTCCAAAAGTGTGACCGCTTTTAATTTATTCACATTCTTTCGTGCAGATTTAACCCAATCAGAAGCCAACTGGAAACTGTCCTCAACTTCTGATTGGTTAACGCCTTCATAAAGAATGTGAATTAATTAAAGGAGGTCACACTTTTGGGCTACTTGCCGTAAATGACCAGTCCATTATCTTTTGCTTGCGATCCCCCCCTCCCCTTTTTCCAGTGTTCTCCTTATCAGGAGGTAACCAGTAAAATTTACCGCTTGAAACAACACTTCTTACCCCTGCAACCACTTGAAATGTTACTAAAATTAAATAAGCTGTTTCAAGTAGCACGCAAGTTATGATCCAAGCCGATGCTCACAAGAAAAGGGAGTAAATACAGAAAAAGAAAGAGTATCCACAGCTATTCACTCTGATTACTTTATTTAAATGCTTACTGGTACATTTCAAAGCACTGCAGGCTAACAATTTTTTTGTGGGTTTCAGTCTTAATTCTAGACTTTCTTGACCAGCAAGAAAAGTATGTGACTTCCATGATTTGTGTTACTAAATTGAGCCTAGCGGTAAAGGCAGCTTTCATTGATGAAATTCTTTGTTTTGAGGCATTTAAAATACTTTTCAGTCAACAATTGGTTGATAGGATGCTCGAGAATAAAACCCTTCATGATCGTGACATGTTACACTGACATCAAGAATGACTTGACATTTGTTGCACACATGTACACATGTACTGTAGCATTACAGTGTACCTAAGAAGGAATTCTTTCCCTTGTACTCTTTCATTGAACTTCAGTAACTGTTAAATTTTGCAGGAGCTTACACATATTGTATAATTCAAACAGATAGCTACATGCAATCAAGTTCAAATAAAGTAGAGGACTTTGAATTGGATCATTTTACATTACTATTTTTTTCAGAGGAATAGTTTTTGTTTATTAAAGCTGCCAGCATGATCACTAGTCAAGTTCTGTTGAAAACATACAATCATGCATGTACACTGTACTGCTTACCTCAAGTAGATAAAACATCAGAGAAAGTATAGACTATAAAAAAAAGAAACAGGGATGTATAAGTCTGTTATTTCTCATCCTTGAAATTAGTAAGTTTTCTCTTTAAGCAATGGTTCAAAATTGCCACATAGACAAGCAGTATTTTTGGGGAGTTCCAAAGTGTGATGTCATAAAAAAAATGAATTTGGGTAAATCTTATGGGATTTTTGGGGGTAATATGAAAGAACAACATTCAAAAGGCCTACTTGCCAAATATTAGCATTCCTAGGCAGATTGTCTTTGAGTCAGATATTAGCCCAGTTATGCTCTGATGACTCAGTTCATAACATTGGGAACCAAGTCAAATTTAGAAGGATTTGTATGGAGTCATCAGAGCAAAACAGGACTAGTATCTGCAAGACAATTTGCCCCACAATGCTAGTTTTTGGCAAGTACACCTTTCAGATGCTGTTCTTTCAAAATATCCCAACAAATCCGATAATTTCAAATATTTACATGTAAGTTTTATGATGTCATTATTTTATTAGAACTCCATACTTACCTGGAAGTGAGGTCTCAAGTGATCATTAGTAGGAATACGATGAAGAATCTCAAGCAATAGTTTTCTCAGTTGCTGAAAAATAAAAATAAAGAAAGATCAACAAAGCAATAATTTTATAATAAATATTATTCATAAGGAAATTTGGTCTGAGATCCAAGATTACCAGAGTACACACCAATATTATCATATTTATGTCTTGTCATTTTTGGGGAACAATGTCCCCGCTGGCAAAGAGTGCATACATTAACGCTGGTGTAAACTTCTCTACAACGACCACCTCTTTATGATGGCCACTTTCTTCTGTCCCCAAGGTGGCCATTGTGGAAAGGTTCAAGTGCAGCTTGGTGTAGAACTTGGGAAAGTTTAATTTAGTGCAGTTGGTGTAGTTTATTGTAGTTGCTGTAGTTGGGGAAGTTGCTGTTAGTTTAGTGTAGATGATATAGTTTAGTTGCTGTAGTTTGGTGTTCACATTACCATACCTGTGCTGGAACTTCTGCAACAAACTGTGGTTCTCCTGAATTGAGAAGTATAATAAGATTAAGACTAAAATATACATATATTTATTTTAGCTGCAATTATTCATGTCACTGCTACCTTTACAGCAATAAAAAGAATAACATATGTAGTGCTACATGTAAGAAGTTAAACCCCTCTCAACGCAAAACAGACAACTTGTAAGTAATGACAATTAATAATGTTTCCATAGAGGCTGACTGCCTTGCCATTAACTAGCTACAGGTACAAAATTAGGTCTATGTTACAAGTTAAAAATTTTAACATGAATTTACTTTTGACCCGTAACATCTGCATGTAAAAAAAATTCACACCAGAATTTTTCAGGTTCTTTTTCAACTGCTTAGGTTATTCATTCATAACGACATTCAATGAGGAGGATCATGTTCACTTTTATATCTTTATCAGCAGTTCAACATTTGATTCATTTCAATTCATGTTTTTCTTCTTACCTTCCCTAAGGTATTGTAAAAATCTTGGTATTGAGTGTTCAAGGAATGCTGAATAACTTGATGACTGTACAATACTCTGTGAAAACAAAAATATAGAAAAATGAAAAACTGTGTGCCAGTGTTAGGACTGCAAATAAAAGTCGGTATCAGACATTGGGTAGTGTCCCAGCTGTGTTTGTACTTCATGTCTGGAAATCATAACTATTCAAAATCCTGTTTCCTTCCCTTTAATTAACAAAACAATCATGAACCTTTTTTGTCCAACCAAAATTTGTAATCAATGCATTGAAAACTATCATAACTATTCATAATTAACAAAACAATCATGATTTTGAATTTGTAATCAATGCATTGCTATCAAAACACTTATGATTGCAGTGCATCAATAGTTCCATGAATCGGCGTAGCACGATTATTTAAAGTACATGTACTTTTACTCTGCGAAGGATCACAGAACAAAAACTGCTACATCATCTTGTTCTAATTAACAAGACTGTCAAATACATGTTCCACAAATTAAACCTACAAACTAAGGTTTACAAACCTCAAAGTTTTCACTGATTTCTTGGGCAGCTTTTAACTTTTTGTCTTCAGCTAAAGGCAAAGAAGGGAAAAATATTTTTTTTACAAGAAGGGGAAGCAAAGTGTGAGCTGGAAACCTAAATCTCAAGCACAAGGAATGATGTGTGCAAGTTAAATACAATAACAGTCATTGTTAAAAACTGAATCATTGGATAATACAATTCTAGAGCTCTAGCCATCATGGTATATGAGCCATTATACATGCACCATGTCGGTTGTTTTTACAAATAAAGTCAGGAAAAATTCTCAACATTTTGTGGGCGTTTTTAATAAAACAATAATTATTATTCCACCACTGTGCACTGGATATGAGATGGTACATGTAGATAGCCAATGAGGTGCATAGCGCCAAGTTGGCTATAATCATCTTATATCCAACACTGAATATCCAAAATAATATTCAGTGAAGAAAATATAGATTTACCCACCCCCCTCTTAAAAACTGATGACTAGGTTTGATAGGTGCTAGTTCCCCCCCCCTCCCCCACTCCCCGCCTCCTATCCCACTGCCATATCCACACGTTTGCCCCCTTCACCCTCTGTACTCACGCATAGAGGCCTCTGTTAAGATGTTAGTATATGTAGTAAACATCTTGACAATGTTTGTTGGCCCAGACTCCTGGGGAGATGTCACAGAAGCTGGACTTGAAGAAGCCATTTTTGTCTATCTGTTAAAAAAAAGAAAAACATTTACCCTTTGTTTTGAGGTATGGTAATATATGTGAATGAATTTAATGAAGTTAAAGGGAAATTGAATTTAAACCAAGGATAAAATTGAACCACAACATATATGTTAGAGGTCAAACGTATTTTTAGGTATGGTAATGTATGATAATGAGTTTGAAACACAGAAAAACAAAAAAAACGTTGAGCCAAGGATAAAATTGAATTATAACATAGATGTTGTAGTTAACTTTTTATCTCAGGTAATTTTTGTTTTTCCTTTGTTTCAACTTCATTAGCATGCATTAAAAATGTTTGGGAGAAACTGTCTACAAATAAGATAAAAGAGAAAAACAAGGAACAGCAATGAAACGTAGCAGTTTGTGACATGGAAAAAGCTCAAACTGGCAGAAAATCCTCGAACAGTCAGTATATATGAGGCAAGTTTATTGTTTTCCCTTTTCTGTTCAACATATAAACCCAACAGATTCCATGTCGGCATGCGTCCGTTTGGTAATAGGTTAAAAAAGACGTCAAAATGTAGTAAAACATCAGTGACACACTTGGCGTCATCAGTGATCTATTACTGAACAGATGTACAGCAACATGGAATCTACTTGTTAAACAGATGAACAACTTTTTTACGACCCTGATGTAACAATTAAAAGTCGCTATCCATTCCTTTGATCACTACATTTCAATACAGTTTAAAAGATTAACTGCCTCTGTTTTCATTTGCGCTTGGATCACAAAATGTACTTGAATTAAGAAATGTACCACACTTAGATTGGAAAATACTTGCCAATGGCTTAAATACAACAATTAGCACTTCCACACTGTTGAAATTATATTCGAGAGTTTATTAGCGAATGACAGAAGTGTGAAGGAAACGAATTTAACATTTCTCTAATGTAAGCTTATTTTCTTATGGTTGTGACTTTACTGTGCTTCGATTTGTCTAACCCCAAATGTTTCAAAGTTCATCAACTACCCGATGCTGAAAACAATCTAATGTTACGGCACACTAACTATTTCACGCAAAAAGTGTAAAGCGCTGTGCATGCAGCAAGCACTGGCAGAGAAAGTGGCCATCGGAAATCAAAAGATCTTACGATGATCGATCCACGTCTAAAATACACCTAAATTGACTAAGTTATGACAAACAGACACAAAAGAGGAAAAAAGCGATTCATTACCTTAGTTAACGCAGAATAGTTAGAGCACCAAGACTTTAATCCTAAGCCTCAAAAGTATGCGTTCGTCCATCTTTGTTCCCGCTTCTCCTTTAGCCGTGCAACTTACATGAAGTAGTGACTCTTTGCAGACCGTCAAATTCGACGGTCTTGTTGAGCGCTTGCGTCGTGAAATTATCCGCTGTCTTGTAATTCGCTGGCGCACTAACATGTGAGTCAATAATTTCCACGATCTTTCACGACCTGGTAAAATTTATCTTCATCTGTAGTCAGAGCTCTGTTCTCTAATATGGCAAAAAACAAGAGGAAAAGAAAACTCAAAGAGCAGGACTTTCAAAAAGTGAAGCTGAAAGTTGGAAAGAAACTGCAACCTGCACAGAATGCAACAGACACTTCGTTCAAGTCGAGATCGATATTCATTCCAACTCAACTTCAGAAAGACTTAGAGCCTACAAATCAAAGAAATCAAACCCTTAAGGTATAATGGAGTTACGTTAAAGAAATTGAGACCTACTGGGTGTTCAATTATCGTAATGTTGTGCCGCATAGCACTGTGAAACAAAGATTTCTCTTCTTACCTTGTTAAGGTCCCCTAATTCCCTTCACAAAGACTATAAACACTCGTTGGAGTTTAAAGCTCATTTTTAGTCTCTGCTAACAACAAAATTTTTGAGTTGCCATCACGTAGTGTTCACAGTTGAGGGGTAGGGCAGTGTACTCCTTGGCAGGGTTTTCGTTAGGAATTAATTCCAGTAGCGGGAGAAAGGTGTAACGTTACAAGAGAATATTTTGAAAGAGGTTCCACATCTGAATGAAAATGAGCCATAATCGGCCAAACATTTGCCGGAGAATTCCGAATAGTTAATGGGGACTCCACAACCTAATGAACACCCTGCCTTGGAATTCCTTGTATAGTTTTGCTGCCCAGCTCCCGAAATCCTGACCATATGTCAGACCAAACTGTGCAATTTTCCATGTCCATTTTTAGATGTAGCAGATGTATAATGCAGAATGGTAGATATAGAATAGATATAGATATCGAATTTTCCAGTAGACCGATTACTGCCATCTGTTCACTGCAATAATGTTATTTCATTTGTAAAGCCCAAGTCTGCTCAAGGCAGATTTTAATCATCTGGCCCTGGTTGTTCAAACGTCGGATAGTACTATCCACTGGATAAATCACTATCCAGCGGATACGTATTACGGGAAACAATTGCGTTATCAGCTGGATAGTGATTTACCCACTGGATAGCGCTATCCAACGTTTGAACAACCGGGGCCAGGTAAGTATTGGGGAAACCACTTCCACTATCCACTGGATAAAGATTTATCCGGTGGATAGCGCTATCCAGCCTTTGAACAACCAAGGCCTGCAAAATGGTAATCTTCATTCTTGACTTTGACACTAATAAAGACCAAAGACTCTTATAAGAGTTTTTGGACACCATTGTCGACCAGGTTTTGTCAAATATTGTCCAACAATAGACTGTAGACATGCCACATAAGCTATGACATGCTGCTGAAGAACAAGAATTGTATTTTTTTTCATAGGACTTGCTTGCACAAGTTGGTCATTACAGTGCAACAACAAGACAGGAAGCACTTGTTGGTCTGAAAGATCTCTTTCAGTGTCATGAGTATCTCCTTGAAGATAATCTGGGAATTATTATTAAACGGGTTGCAGAGAGAATGACAGACAGTGAACCATCTGTAAGACAGTCACTTCTTCTGTTGCTCTGCTTTATATTCCCAATGGTACCACAAGAAAGAATGGCCCCATTTTCCTCACTTATCGTAGCTCATTTGAGCTGTGCCATGACCCATATTTATGATGACATCCAGCATGATTCACTTGGTTTTCTGGAACTATGCCTCCGATACTTTCCAAATTTCATGGTGACAAGTTCAGTGCAGTTAATTCACAACTTCGTCGGTATGATTTCACATCAAAGTTCTCCTGGGGGGAAGAAGTCAAAAGGATTGCAACTTGCAGGTGGAAAAGGACTCTCAGTGAATCCAAAAGGGAAGCTTTCTTCTCTTAGGTCACGCTTGAAAGTGTTGCAGCAGTTACTTGCATTCTTAAAAGCTCTGGAATTATCATCAAATCCTCGTCAAGAAAATGGCACCTTGTGTTCCGAGAAAAATGGCTTGTCTACTAGAAAACCTATTTTTTATTTCAGTAGAACCCAGCCAACACAAGTTCAAATATTACAACATTCTGTTGATGAGCCCAAATTTATACCATTTCAACTGGATGACAGTTCAACATTTAGTCAATCACCGATGGGGATTGATGGTAAATCCAATATCTTGACTGATGAAGAACAAGCAAAGGACTTTATGGAGATAATTGTACCCTTGTTATTGGAGTGTTGGATTGAGTGCAATCCTGCTGAAATGACAACTGGCCTACAAGACAGTGTGTCTTCATCAGCCATTGATGTGATGCTGGCCATAGTGGAAATTTTCAAAGTTGTCTTGAAAGCATCACAGAACAATCAATGGAAGATTTGCAGCATTTCTGAGCACAAATCAGTTGTCATTTGCTGGTACGATAAATATTTGAAAGGTTTCAATCACCATTTTATGACCTACTTTCCATTTACAGCAAATCCGACGCCGTCATTCAAGAAAGGAAAGAGAAAACTTGGAAAGTCATCTCAGCAAGTTGAAGGTGAAAACCGCAGTGCATCAGTATTAACCTTGAACCTTAGCATTTGTGAGATTATGCTGCAGTTTTTGAGCAATGGTGTCGCTTCACAGAAGAAACTCCAACTATCGGTCAAGAAGTTGGAGGAGTTTGTTATTGAGTCCTTGCAGTTGAAGGCCCTAGGAGGTGACAAGGCACAGTTGTTTCAGACAGAGCATGTTGAAAGTCTTGTCAAATTTGCAGAGAAGATTATTACCCATCACTGCTCCAGTGATCAAAAAGGTAATTCATGCATACGGTGGGGATTGGAAGAAACACACCGAATCAATACCAGGAGCCTCCAGAAAAATTTAAGTAGAAGGAGAAAAACATTAAGTAGGAATCAGGGGAGAGGGGGGCTCATATCAGTGCAACACCACCCTTGCTTCCAGGCTACCCTGCTTTTAAGTATTCCATCTGACTTTTGAAGTCTCACTTCTTGCATTGTGCTTAAATTTTAGACAGAATTAGATAGATGACTATGACTGGGTAGATGACTGCAGGGAAGGCAGGGAGTTGAAAAACGTTTGTTTTGTTCTTGTTGTTGTTGTTGTTTTTTCTATTAAAACAGGCAGGTTTCATTCTTATAATTTAGTTGCCAGAGATTATCTCCAACCATTTGCCTTAAGTGACAGGCTATCTAGTTCATGAAACACTTGCCACTTGAACTGTTCTGGATTCTTAAGTGCCCAAAATCAACCAACATACATGTATTCAAGAAAAAGATCGACTTAAAAGTATTGTTGCAAAGTTTTCACTTAAATGGTGACATCACAGATTTTTTCACAAACTCAAAAGTTAAAGCTACATCACATTTCTAACATAATCAACTCTATGTGGAAAATGAAAGGTAATAGATTAATCACATCAGACAGTAGTGTGTCTCCTCGCATTTGTAAATTAATTAATCATCCTTACAATATTTATGGTACTTGCATAGATTATTGGAAAGTAAGTGAGAGGTCAAAAGAGGCCATTTTGTAATGTATAAAACTACTCTGCAGAAGTTTAATGTTTAGGTGTATTTTCCCATCGTATTTTCCTTTCAGAACATGACTGTGGCATTGTCAAGGAATTACTTGATGCAAGTTTTGTCTTGTACCAGTCAAGCCATATCATGTCTGGGACCAAGCAGGTGCTGATGATGTTCTTTGCTAACCTTGCATTCTCTGAGAACCTCAGTTTGTCAAGGTAAACTTGGGAGCGCTTTCACTTCTAATAGCAGCAGAAGAAAATTTATTTCTTTTGTAAAATCCTAAGAAGTTAACATTGCTATGCAAATTGACTGCAATAAGGGTTTCATTTGAATGGCCCTTTAAGCCCCAATATCCACATACAAATTCTCCAAACTGATCTCCATACATCTCCTTTAAGAATTAGTTGAGAGAATTTGATAAAAGATCATGGAATTTTCTCTATGATGATCATTTTATTAATTCTCATAACTCATAACAGTGTATGGATATTGTTAGGAGAAAGTTGTTGTTGGTCACTATTGGGACTTAAAGGGTTAAACACAACAGGATTAACTAAGTTAACTATAAAAGATGACAAATGAAAATAACTTTGTCATGATGTTGTCTAGAAGTAAAAGGTTAAAAAGTGTCAAGAATAATATACTTTGCTAAATGCGTGAAAACATCTCCGTTTACCAACATTTCTGTAGTACAGATGCCTCCCTGTTACAGGTGAGAATCAGATAGAGAAACGTGCAAGTAAGGCTTGAATTTGAATGATGATTCTCTTACAACAGAAATGAGGTGCTGTATGAATTGATTCAGAGATGGCTTGCTGGCATGCCAAGTTTGTTAGTGCAGCTTAAAAGCAACAGTCCTTCCCTTACTGAACTTGTTCTTGGCATTCTGAAAAAAGCTGTGATGCAACAACGTTTGATCCTGGAGAGCAACTTTTTTCAATATCTGGCTGCATTTTTCTGTAAGTAGTGTTACACTGTAAGCTTTATTTAAACTAAAAATTTGTGACACAGTTATCCAACTAAAAAGACGTGTGTGTTGTGTTTCAGTTTTATTGTGGGTCAAATGTTATTAAATATTTTTCCTTATTTCAAGGTAATTTACAGACATTAACACACTCAAACTGAGTAAAAAGGAGAGTAATAAATACTTAATATGAAACAAAGATAAATGAGGATTAATAAATTGAGCCATAACATCAACATGTACATGTATCTTCAAGGGAAAGCTGTGGTTCCCCCTCTCCCCCTCCCACCCTTACCCAACTTATCAAAAAATCTTACATCATTAATCCAACATAATTATTCTTTTGATTTACTTTGGTCTAGGCTAATAAACCAGACAAAGTGCATCGTGCACAACCCTTGGTCTTTGGTAGGATGGGGCCAAAGGCAATCACCCCTCACTCACATATTAAAACTGGTTATGGAAACAGTAAATCATGACAGGAAGGCTGATTAATTTTCTTACCCCCATAATCCCCATGAGGGCAGAAGGATCTGATTATAATGTTGATGTTGATGATGATGATGGTGGTGGTGGTGGTGACAATGATTTTAGAGCAAAACAGCTTAAATGCAAACATTCCAAAAAACCTGCAAGTATAAAGAAGTGTTCTTTTTTTGGAGTCAAGCCACCCCTCTACGTTTGTGATTGCATGACTTGTATCTTTGTACAACTTTTGGTATGCAAGCCATGAGAGATGAAGGTGTATGATTACAGTGGCCCCATGGGAGAGAGCCCACAACTCCCATGTGGACCACTCAAACTTAATTCATGGGTCAACCCAAATTAGATAATTATGTCAGACTTATAGTTATTAATTCAAACGTCAATTTTTCATGTACTTGATTGATGGGATTAGGTTCAGTACATGAAAAGTTCACAGTGTGAACTGGGCCTTAAGCAATCTAGCGACAACAAGACAAACTGTATTTCTGAGCAAATTTTTCTTTTTTTTCTCTCCAGCTAAGACCAATGGTCCATTTGGAAGCCTGAGTGAAACTGTTCAGAGATCTGCCGTGGAGGTGTTGTTTCATCTCCCAACACTGGATGGAGAATTGTTTAAAGTAATAGTGACTTGTTGCCAAGGAGGTCATGTCAGTGTCTCGGTTGTGAAGTACATTCTTCAGGTCCTTCATTACAGGTTTGTAAAGTCTTGGATAGCCTAAGAAAAAAAGCCAAAATTTGGCAACATCACCACTGGTTTGAACAATAATAAAATATAAGAGCAATATTATTAATCTTTATACAGGGAGCTGAATTTGCAAAGAGTGATATTCAGTGAGGCCCTGTAAAGTGAAAGAAAAATAAATAGATAAGGGAATACTTCATAGTAACAATAATATAAGCTACAGGTTAAAAATGTTAAAAATTGATACGTCGAAGCCATTAATTTTAGAGATCCAAAACACTTTCTCAAAGCTAAACTTAGAAGTCTGAATCCTTACATCTAATTTGACATTGAAGAAGATGCAATGCACAAACTCTTGTTAATCAAGCAAAAACCTAAATAAGTTGATTGATTTTGCTCAATTTTGCTATTTCTTAGAAAAATTTATCATGAGGGGCATCTACTAGACAAGAAGGGTTTATTTGAGAGGGGTTGTCTATTTATGGTAATAACAATGTCAAAATATGAGTGGTATTCTCTTACACTTCTCCTCAGGTCTCCTTGTTACAATGGATGTTTGTCTTCTCCGGCCGCATTTTCCCTACCATTATATCTTAGTGGCCTGCTAAGTATAGCAGTAGGTAAGATGTAAAAGGAAAAAGGAACTATGAATTAAAATTTGGCTTGAGTGCTGCAATAAGGAGGGTCTTTGGAAATGTCCAAAGAGTTCCAAACATCAGGAGCAAAGTTTAAAGTTGTCCATTGTCCCCATCTTTGAGTGCCAAAAGATGTATGAATGTCTGCTTTATATCTGCTATTCCAGTCAAATGCTGCTTTATGGACACCCAGTCAATACGGAGACCTCATTATTTACAGACAGTTTGCTTTGTCCCTGGGGAAAGAAAGCCCTTACATTTTCTCTAAATTCAGTGTCTGTATTAACGGCGAGGGTTTGACAGTGTAGTTATGAAAAAATCTAAAATCTTCTTTTGCAATGGTTTGACACATTTCACATTTTTGTTTAGTTGTTAGGGTTGGCCAAATAAAACATGGCTTAAAATGTAGTTTTGCTAGCCATCAGGTTGTGGCTTTTTTCACCCATATGTGAGCCTAACCATTGGGGTATACATATTACACTATTAACAAAGGAACTGAGTGATATTGTGGGAAAATATAACTTTGCATTATTTCTTAACAACAGCATCGTGATATTCTCAGTTTCTATGAATTCTTCCTGATACCCTTGTAATCCTGGTTGATTTGGATCATATTCACTCTGTTTACCTTCAGTTGATCCCCTGCCAATATTATGCCATGGAGGAATTTTTATCTTACTTTGCCCCATTCTGTTAATTCTCTCTCAAATTCCTGTAATAATTTTACTATTCGTTGGTTAAAGGTTTTTCCAGACAGCAGCTGGGAGAATATCAGGATGCCAAGATAGAGGAGAAGACCCTCCTCAAGCTTACTGAATTGAAGTGGGTATTTATACAATGTGCTGTTTAATTTATATTTTCCTTGTCCTTTATGATGCCTACCCCCCCAACCTTCCCCTAACTCTACAGACAGCTTTTCTTCCTCAGATTTCAGCTTATCATGTCAATTTAAACACTGGTTATAGAAAATTATTTTAAAAAATTAATCCCTTTCTCTTTCTCCTTTTCCATCTATAACAACAGAGAATGTAGTTTTGTTATCCTGGAAGAAATATCGCAGGTAAAAATAGTGACTTACTTTTCAGTGTACAATGGAGCCCGATTACCGAGATCAGGCTCCACGGTACACATATTTTGTTGACTGGCCAAGCATTTCAATTTTGTGTTCAAAATATGAATGCTTGATTATTCCTGAGGTTGTTTCCTTTAATTTACAGACTGAGCAAAGTGGAGTTGAGTCGCCTGTTCTTCTGCAGAGTGATGAACATATGCTTGGAGAGGAACATCAAATTATATTGCAGGTACATGTAGTTTTATTTTCACATCAGTTTCCTTCTGCTTTCTAAGAACCCATCTACACAGTCCAGATAAATTTTGGAATGGACAAAAACTTGAGCGGATGCAGCTTTTTTTTAAAGGGACCCACGGAACTGGGCATCTTTTTGACATGATCAGAAGTTGGTCAACATGTTTGGCCGGTTTAGTTCCACTTTTATGTAGACTCATGCTAACACCTGAACAGCTGACTTGTTTCCAGTTGTCTCTAAGTTGTCTCTACTCATTAATTATTTACTAGGGAAGCGCTCGGGTTATGCGCGCGGGGAAGATGGGAAGGCGAGAGGAGGCACACTAACTTTTAACTAACTTCTCCCTTCTTCCTTCCCGTCATCCCCTTCTTTAAAGAGCCTGTTCTAGTCTTCCACGCCAAATACTAATAATGAGAGACGACTGGGGATGAGTCAGCCTGAATAGTGCAAGTTTTTGCTCAGTGTGTGCAGTAAAAACCTGGAGCCTAGTCACATGGTGACACGAGCCGCAAAAATTTGTACAGACTCTTGTTCATAAACAGTACTGCAACAGAATTTCCAGGCTGTTGTGTAAACATGTTGCACAAGTAAGAAATTCCTCCATTCAAAAATTTGTGCAGACCCGTGTTAAACAGGGTCTAAATTGCTGTAATCATTGTCTACTTTGCATCCAGTCCGGTATATTATTAATTTTCACCGACTTTCACTGACTCTTGTTGTCAAGTTTGTCGCTCAAATTTGTTTCCATTTTAGGCTGTTTGTGAATGCTACAAACAAAGTAAACAGTCCAACCTTCTGTTACAGTACATGACTTCACCAATGGAGACATTAATGGTGAGATTCCTTTGTAGAGGAACGTCTTTTCTATGTAGGGCTAAAAGTGTATTATTTTGCAGAATTGAAATGTCTTGCTCATTATGCCAGCTTGTTACTAATTATTCAACAATGATTTTCCACAAACACTGCTGATTTCAATAAGCATTATTTTTGCTTTCTTCAGAAAGATTTCAAAGTTCTTCCATTGTCATCAGTGCATAGCCTTCTGTGTATCATAAGATGGTAAGTGTCTTAACTAACTTGATCCACACTTAGGATTTGTTAACTCAAAAATGAGCTTTTCTTGTGGGGTGAAATCATTAAGTGTAACCGTACACAGTTACTGTAGTACTGTTTATTTTCAATATGCTGTAGATCGACAGTGCATGGCTCTAGCCTGCGAACGCAGGCGTATTTCCGGTCGTCGCTTCTCTCCACCCGAAAAGTTACTTTTCGAAGCTTGACGACCAGAAATACCTCTGCGTTCGCTCAGACGCTATATGTACAATGTAGAAGAGACTGACACAACTGCAGCTCAGTATCCATCCTCGTTAACCTGTGAAAACTGCGAAAGAGGTTTAACTTGAGTGGTAACACCATAGGCTTTCGTTCACAGATTTGAAAGTTAATGTGACAAATACTATACTCTCGCCATAACGCAGTTTAGAAGTGGAAACGTTAATTTGACGGTTTTGGTGAACTCATGTGGCCTTTTTTTAATTCGTGAGACGTTTCTTTGGAGTAAAATTAGGGACTTTTCTTTCTTCTGACTTAAAAAATTAATGTTTTGTTGTTTTCATGCTTAGCTTATTGGAACTAGCTGCAGAACCAGGATCTACGAGCAGGAGTCACCTTTTGCCGGCGAAGATGATGTCAAATCTTGCCCAACTTTGCCTGGTTTGTTTCCAGTACTCTACCACCCATGGGTCATGCACTGAGGGTCTTTCTGGGGATTCTTCAACTTCGAAAAGACTGCTTTTTGATGCAGTTGTGCAATTGCTCCTCACCGAGCCGGAGATAATCAAAGATATGCTTTCACTTCTGTTCACGATCGTCTCTGGTAAGGGAGAACGAGTGATTAGAGAACAACTGGGAGTTAATAGGTTGAATTCAAGGAAAGTGAGACCTCTCTTATCATTCGAAGCAAATTTTTCTTTCTTTTTATTGGCCGAGAGCCCACCACGTGACCTGCAAATAACTACCTACAAATAATGGTCTGCTCATGCGCAATGCCGTCTATCTGTGCTGCAAATAATATTCTGCTCCTGCGTAAAGGAAACCGTGCTTTTCTCCTTCTTGCAATCGCTCTTGCGTGAAAATGGCAGATCGCTTCGCTTCCCAAGGATATTCATTAAAAAAACAAACTCGGTGATCGAATGATAAAACAGTTATTGAACTCGGTTATCGCAAAAATATTGTGATTTGTCAGTGTCTCGCAGATCAATTATTTGCCGAAGCCGAAGGCTGAGGCAAATAATTGATCTGCTCGCCACAGACAAATCACGATATTTTGCTCAACCTCGTCCAATAATTGTTAACTATTTGAGGAAAGAATTTATTCGAGTTAGTATGTATTGACTGTTTCTTGCAGAAAACTCTGAATCTGTGAAGCAGAACAGTGCAGCCATACTCACTAAGGTGTTAAGCTGTGACTTGAGAAAGATCCATCTTCGGTTCGCGGATATTGTGCAGCAAATTGTGTCCCGTATCTTGGTAAGAATTTCTCCCCAGAGCGCTTGCTTGAAACTACCCTCAGCTTTTAGTAACTATAAAGCGTTATTTTAATAATCTATAATTACGCTGAATCAACCAATTAGTCCGCCATAACTTAAATGTTTTGGCAGAAAATATTGACATCAAAATAACTTTGTCTAAGCTCCTTGACATTTTTAATATAGTTGAACGTAGTTCACTTTTTGATTTTTTGTTTGGTTGATTGCTGGCGAATTTGATTAATTGATTAAGTGGCTGATAATTATCGTAAATTATTTTTCAGTGCCCGGCCGAGCACCCTGTGTCCCATCTGAGCCAGTGCTTTGCAGATCTTCGTTACCAGTATTCTTTATTCAAAGTGGAAGCGGGTTTAAGTTAAAGCGCCACACATCCCAAGTTTGATGGATTTCCACATACGAGTTCTCGCGAAAACGCGTAAAGTGCAATCATTGTTCACCGTGTTCCTGCGTCGTCTTCAAATATGTTGCATTGAAATGGAAACTGTAATAAAGTTTTCAAATTTAAAACGGCAGTGAAATGTGGCGAAATGTATAAGTTACACTTCAATGCCACATTAACACTAGCAAAAACATGTTTTTATTTAAACTGCGAATGGTTAAATGAAACGAAAATTGGTATTAGTACATGTACAGAAAGCATTGACTTTTAGCGTATGATTCAAGTCAACTTTAACTTGTGCTTTCATTTGTTCCAAATTTGTAGTCAACAAAATGATTTGGCACCTTTTTGGAAGAAAACTATTGTGTGTAACCTAAACAGCTTTTAAACATGTTTGAGCTTTGGTGTAAATGGGGCATTGGATAAACTCCCAACTTGTGGCAAAGTGCAGTGACTCCCGTGAGAGTGTTGGGGTCGGGTCACTCCTCTCATTTTAAGGATCGAGATGTGTTCAAGTTTTAGTTCATATCTTCCTCTACGTTTCTACATCAGTGAAATTCAGTAAAATTTTAAAAGAGTAACATGGCACAAAATGTTTGTGCAAGTGCGATCTCTCCGGATGAACTAAAAACGTTTCCAGTATTTCCAGTATCTATCATTGCCACCCATGGCTTTTGCAAGAAAGGCCATTTTGATTTAATACAAGTTGGCCTGTTATGGAAAAAATCACGTGATTCTCAATTTATCATGCGGTGTTACTCAAAACTGATGATACTGTCCACTGTGAGACGAACTTTTGAAGTCACGATCCCTTACAGCCTTGATCTTTACACAGCAGTTTCTGAGTTCAGAACTGGCTGGAGAGGTTCGGATTTCGTCGGCTTTCATGGGTGGGATTTTCCGTCGGTATCTTCCTACTCGCGCAAAGTGGCGGTGAGACATGAAGATGTTGAACTGGCCCCAGTTGTTCACAAGGTGGATAACGCTATCAATCGGAGAAATCTCTATCCGCTGGATAGCGCAATTGGTTTTCCTAATACTTATCAAAAAAGTGGACAGTGATTTATCCGGTGGATAGCGCTATCCATCTTTTGAACAGCCGGGGCCTGGCAAATAGCAGAACACGTAAAGATGGCCGCAAGAGAGCTTCAAAAACGATTGCTCTAAAAACCGAAGCCAGTGCAGCTACATGAACAACCGAACTTGGGTTATTTCTCGCTAGGTCCATCACAGGTTACGGGGTTTAAGGTACATGCTTCAAAGAGGTTCATCTGTGAGAAGACAAGAAATAAAAAAAGTCAGTTTTGTGCAGCATAATATGTCTTAAAATTTGTAAGAGAAAGACATAGGCGAACTGTTTATGTTGATGAGCAATCATTCGTCTGTGTTACACAAAGTCACACCTTTTGGTGATAAACTCTCTTGGTGAGATGTGTAGTAGAGCGAGCGAAACGAGAGCGCGCGTGATAATCACCCCTCGCTAGAAAGGCGAGGTTATCTTAAGAGAAGGTACTGTATATATTGCAAATAAGCTCCGTGGCGCACAAAAAAAAAATTAAAGAAACGTAAGAAAAGTAATTTTTCAGTTCTATTCTCTCTTCTAATCAGTCAGGGCTTATCAGAAATGGCAAAGAAAAATCAAAATCAGCAGGTTCTCAATTGTTGCTAAGAAGATGCGGCGCTAATTGATATTTGTGACTTATTAAAGTGTGGAACTTGTTCATCGCTTACTGCCAAATACTATACATGCGCCAGGTTTCCGATTCGGGTCAAGTGTTGATAGTGACCGCCGCTCAAGGCTCTTGCTAGCCTGCGAATACAGCCCTCTCTCCTCACTTCCCGCCATTTGGGGCATTTCACAGAGAAACGTCCCCAGCGGTGTTGTATTGGTAGGCTAGGCTCGTGCCCTCTGATCGAAGATGTGTCAGCATGCCGCTTACCCCGAAACATCTCGCCGCGTGCCAAACTGAAAAATGCCCTGGTACCCAGGATATTGTTTATCGGTACCATGATTACGCCTTTTTGGCAAGAGAGAATCTCTCTTGTTGTTGGTTATAGTTGCTTTTGATGTTTGTTTGTTTGTTTTACTTACATGGTTTACACACACAGCAGTCAGCTGGAGAGGAAGGATTTGGCACCACTGCTAAATACTGGCCCTGATTTTAAGAAAAATCAACAAGAATTCCATCATTATTAAGTTTCAAAGGACTTAAGCTGACAGTGTCAAGTGTGAAAATACTAGCCTGTGAACAGACTCTCTGTTTGGGGAAAGGGTGAAAAAATCGCGAGGAGCCTCTCCTCGCGATTTTTTTCACCCTTTCCCCAAACAGAGAGTCTGTTCACAGGCTATGAAAATCCACGCTTTGCGTCCCGCGATGTAAGGAAACGAACGAATGTTTCACAGTTCAACCTATCAAAAGACTGTGTAACTGCATCTGATGAGCCAATACGAATGGCGAAAGCAAAGAGATAAAAAAGAGGCCGACTTACTTCTGAACATGACGCTCCTTTCGTCATGCACAAAGACTTGGTGAGGACGAAGGCACCAGCACAAATGCTCATATGACACATGTCGTCTGTGAACCAAGGGGGATCCTTTGGTGGAGGCTACAGTGGAGAGATCAGAAACGAGATGTGTGCTCTGGTTTTAGAAATACATTAAACACTGAAACAAGAAACGCAACCACAGGAACCCAAACGGAGATAGTGGGATGTAAGGGAAAGGAAATCTGAAGTCCAGAACCGCAGTTTATAGGAAAGGAAACGTTCTTTTTTGTCGTTTTTAGTCTGCGAAACAGTGGTCTCTTTTTCTTTTCTTTTCATTTATTTCAAAATCGGTTTTGCTAAGGCGCTGGCGTGACATCGCCCAAAACACATAAGCCTCACACACACGTATTTTTCGCGTCTCCCGCCAGTCTCACTGTCCGTTTTCACCCTAATTCCAGACCGTTCGCTTGATAGCCTGCAAACGCAGACCTATTTCCGGTCGTCGCTTCCCTTCACTTTACTTTTCGGGTGGAGAGAAGCGACGACGGGAAATGAGTCTGCGTTCGCAGGCTATTCGTTTGACCGCTCGCGCGTTGTTAACCTGGGCAAAAAAATACGGGCTGCTTTGCATTCTTGTTTGTTATAGACTTTTTAAAGCATAATTTTTTGACATAAACTATTCCAAGACTTCATAACTCTAACCCTAACCTATACGCCAAGAAAAGGCCAACAACGCTACCGCGAAATTACATTTAAGAAAGGATTTAGATGGTGGTAAACGTTTTTCTTCCTATGAACCTGGGAAAATTGAAAAACTTCCTCTCCACGACCTAAAGTCGAAAACTTAAAACTTATTTTTTTACCTTGCAGAAACCGTTACACTTTACCCCAAACTTACAAAGTAATCCTTCATTTAGTTTCTTATTTGTAACTAAACTTACGAATTTCATAACTCCATTTTTATCGTAGCATGGGCTTGGGCCAGACCAGATCTGTGGTTTGTGCTTCCCAAATCCTCCTCGTTTTACTAACACACCACCCAGTGAGCAGCGAACACAAATAACTAAAAAAGAAAGAATAGAATTATTATCGTGCCCAGATCTCTCACCGCCGAAGAAAGGGAAATCGAGCCTAAATTTAAATTGTTTCCTTGAGTCACAAACTCCCGACTGAAGAAAATTGAGGGAGGATCTCTCTTTTCACAGTAAGACAGGTTAGAAATTACACTATTTCAGGGTTATCAAGTTCATCCACTTTTGAACTTTTCTCCGTCTTAAAAATTGTTTAGGAGTATTGAATTTCGGAGTTAAGGCTCAACATAATAGTTTTATAAGCTCCAGTTTGATACATGTTTCAAGACAAGAAAAATTCGCTTTAAATTTAAAAACCTTAAAACGTAAAACCTTCCAATCTACAAAGCCCAGAAGACAGTGAACACCATAGAACTGCCGTAACACTCTTCAGGCCTCTCTGGTTTATCCCTCATGCCTCGCTATTAATTAGGATTAGCGCGACTGGGAGCTACGGGGAGCTAAACAATGATTGCACTCTTAGTATTTATCGTTAGAGCGTGCCAAGCCCGAATAGTTCGATGCAAATCTCGTGCTCGGCGATTTTCCCTTTCTCGACTTTTTTTCTCACCTTAGGTTTTTTTCCCGACTTCAAGTTTTCCTCTCGACGGAGGAGGTGTCTTTAGCAATATTCATAAAAGTTTTCAAACAACCAGCAAGAAATAATTTAACGCAAATGGGGAAGGCTGTCATTTTCTTCTTGATCCACCCGCTTGACATGAAATGGTTATAACGGGCATTTATGTTTTCTTTTTTGTTTCCGTGTTTTTGTTTTTGTTTGTGTAGTTTTTTTCACATCTTCGAGGACCAGCCATTACGGTAAAAACTTAACTATAGCAACAGCACTTTCTTTTCACGTTTCATTAGGAAAAGAGAGTAAACTGACGTACAGTCGACATAAGGTACTACCCGTAAGATTTCAGAGGTACTTCGAAATCAATTGCAAACTGAGCTAATGTCGGCTTGTAAACGAGAAACTAATTAAAGTTACGTTTATTCCTCGCGAGTTCTCATCGACAAACATGGTTCGAGTCTATAATAAGCAGACGAGAAAGATCCATTCTTATGTACATTTAATTATCCGTGTTCGCTTCTAGCATTTAAACAAACCTTGACTCACCTGACAACAGTCCTGAGGTAATCCAAAGGGTATCCAGTAGCATTTCTTTCACATCCAATTAAGCCCGTAACACAGTGAGCCGGTATACGGTGTAAGATTTGTTCAGTTAATTCTATTTCAAAAAAATTAAACTTAAAAGCGTTGCTCGACGTTTAGATGTTTCACACATATCGTTATCATTACTATTATTACACTCGAAATGCTCTGAAAATCAGATTCACTTTTGCGACTAGAAGCAATTTAACGCGTTAACTCCAAACAGGATGAAAATACTACGGCAACTTCGACAAATTTCACTAAATTTCCTCCTTAGTGAATTACAATGTTGACTCTGCTCTTCTCGATAGTTCAGCAAATATCTCTAGAGAAACACATTAGTTACGTTTTCTCACAAGTTTCTCTTCCTGAATATAGATGCCTTTAGATTTACACACATTACGGCTGCGTTCGAACACTTGTTAACGACCACCTGGGGCCTTTTTGCAGAAAGACGGTTAATTTAGCAGGTACCAAGTTTTTATGTCACGGGTGTTCATGCCAGCTTCACCATTGACTCTACGATCATTTATTTCCTGCCGCACCTTTTAGAGTGGGTACCAAACATTAGAACAAGCTGATCAGACTGGTCATCGTAAAAAGTGAAATAGCCTTTTTTGAGTAGTTTTTTTTGCTAAAAACTCATTACTGCCCTGCATACTTTTTACGAGTTAAGTGATCTGGGTTGACAGTTTGGATTAAAAATTAAATTCCTTTTACGACTAAACTAATCTCAGTGCCTTGTAAGTTCTTACAAACGGAAAGGACATAAGGAAACAACTTATTGATCCATCTACAAATACGGCAGAGTCTATCCTCCTTAATGGCTTGGCCCGAGGCCGCCGTCCCTGCCGGGTGGCACCTTGACAACAACGATGGGCAACAAAGCGTTCCCTCGTCAGAATTTTTTTTCTCGTTGCGTCAAGAAGAGGACGCACTCTTGCTTCATAAATTAGCAATCAGCGCTTAAAATAGTGGTATTCAATCCGTCTTGACGACTCGCTGACGGTTACGCAATCCAAAAGGTGTTGTCCGCAAAAATCAGAGCACGAAGTTGGATTGACTGCATGTTGCGACAAATAAACATCATTTGTTCCAAGAAAAGCGCAAAAGGGCAGATAAACATACATTACATGATCATATGGTCTCTCTTTCAACTTCCAAAAGAAAGTAATCTCGAGGCATATATAGATTGTGCTTGGTAATTTTTTAGCACCTTTTCAAGCTTTGAGCAAATTCGTGTACATCCACAACTTTAAGCATTTCTTGCAATGGGCTACTTAAGGGAATCGCCACATTTTCAGAGGATTCTACTGCTAATGATAAAAAGCCTTTCAAAAGAGAAAGGCGTTTCACTCTGTTTTCGATTCCGTGGTCCGTGCGTCCACGAACAGAACAGGTTTGCAGCTAAGAGGCTATAACGTTTTTAGCTTAAAGAAGATTATCGGCTTTTGCAGGCAAACAATACATGAATCGTTCCAACCATATCAAACAACTTTATGCATGTTCTTTAAAGGTTCTTTAATAAAGCTGTAAAATCAATGACTTACGTTAGTTATGTTGACAAGCAACCCACTGAAGGTGGCAATTGGAGCAACTTTTTTTCATTTCTGGTTAACTTTTGAGAACTTTTTACCCCGTTTTTTTAACAACTTTTTCAGCATTTTTTTTAGAACGATCTGTATATGCCTACACTTGTCACCCAAAACCTTTACAGAAGCATGCTACATTTTCTAACCTACATGGGAAACGCTCATTTTTTTGTCATTTTTATTGATTACTGATAATTACATAGAAAAAACCTTCAAGCGATGTAAACACCGTTTTCTGTGATTATATCGAAACTCAGATTATTAATTCTTAGTATAGCGGGAAATATCATGAACTATTGCTATTTCGGGATCACATCGTTGTAAGAAGTTTATCAGTTTTTATTCAGGGCCTGTTTACTTGGAGGTGGGGGACCCCAGGTAGGTGAGGTAACTCGCTTAGGTGGGGTAATCTACCTGTCCATATAACCTCTCATTTTAATTTGATCACGTTTACATGATAGGTGGGGTGACCCACCAAGGCGGGTAACCCGGTCTACAAGACCGGGTTTACCCTCTCAGCCGGGGTCAAATTTTGCCATGTAAACGTTTCAAGGTGGGGTAGCCACCCTGGCCGGGGTCGGATTCGTGATACATCAAATTCGCGCAAAATTCTCTCTGGCGGTGGCTTTGCATCATTATTAAAGTTAACAATAGAAAGCCACAGCACTGAAGGTTGCAGCAAGAGCAACAAGGGAGTGTAGAAGTGCATTAATCGCCAAAACACGTGGTTTGCCAGCATTTTTCTTGTTTACGTGCTTGGCGACTACTCAATAATTTTGAGAAAGTGCACCCCGGGATAGCGGGGTTGTAAGATTGCATGTAAAGGAGGGTTATTTTTTTTACCCCACATAAGCAGGTTACCTCACCTAACTGAGGTTCCCCACCTCCATGTAAACAGGTCCTAAGACTCATTTAAAATAACAGCGTCGATTTTACAACTTTCAAATTAACACTAAACAAGGCGCTACGGAGCGTACACTTCGGCGTCGTGGTTGTGGAACTAATCAATTGTAAATGCCGAGGAATAGTAAGAAATCAAATATGGTAAGAGTAAGGTGTTAATTTGTGAAATTATGGGATTTGTCAGGATATTCTGAAAAGAGAAACATCCAAGAGGCGTACTTGCCAAAAACTAGCATTTCGGGACAAATTGTCTCCGAGATATTAGCCCAGTTATGCTCTGATGACTCCATACAAATCCTTCTAAAAAAAACAATTCTCTATTTTTCGTAGTCACATCAGGCTTCAAAAACAGCATAGCACTCTCATGTACTGATTAAAGATATGTAAAGCATGGGTAAGGAGTCAATTACGTTGAGCATGGAATTGGCTAAAACTCAAAGTCACCAGTTCGAATGTTTTGAGGATAATTATTCACTGACTATCAGCACGCAGGGATGTCGGATTAACACAAGGAAGTTTAACACCAAAGGAACATAGCCTTTACAGAGCTTTAAAACACAGCATCACCAACACAAACTTGACTTGCACTTTGAGTAAAACTAAACAGCCTCTACCACTAATAACAAACTCTCACTCGAACTTCAGATATCTTACGGCTTCCGCGAACTTGTAGACACAGGACCTGAAAATCGACCTTCGTCACACTTGACTAAACACAGCAGTCCAGCTCGTGGGAAAAAACTTAGTTCGTCAAAAGAACTCGCTTTGAACTTGTATACCGTTTGACATAAGGTTCTAGAAAATGCTAAACAGGCGAATAGTAGTAGCTTTTCGACATATTTTATGATTTCAGTAACTGATGCAAATCTGCTGACTCATGCTGAAATGTAAACATGCCCTAATTAATTATTCATGGTTAATCCAAAAACATAGAGAAAGTTCGAGAAAGTCACGCAACGCATGAAAGCAATTTTACTACGTAACACTCAACAAAGACAAAATGTCTTTGTGCAGCATTTTGTAACTTTAAATTCATCATAAAACAGTTCGAAAGGAGGGCTCACTTGTGAAATGTTTTTCAACACTCGAAGAGAAATTTCGTGTCTCTGCGCGGCCACGAAATATCTTCTATTTACTCCTCGAGTAATTAAAGACTAACTCGAAGTGATCTCAAGATATCACGAAGTAGTCCGGTCTCATTTCGTGAAATAGTTGAAACAAGCCGAAAAGTCACAAACTTGCACGCCCAATCTTGTCTCGAAACTAGTACATCATTTCATAGCTATTTTTCATATCCCAAACTACCTTGGGTCGCAGTAGCGCAATCGGCTAATCCCTCAACTTAGAGTCTCCTCTGATCTGACGGGTCCCACAGGTGAGTCGGTTCAAACCCCGGAAAAGCCAAAATAATAATTCTTTCTTCCTCGAAAAAGTTAAAGAATAAATCAAAGAAATCGAAGTGATCTCGAGATATCTCGAACTAATTCGGCTCTCACTTCGTCAAATAGCCGAATAGAACCGAAAAACTACAGACTTTGCTTGCCCAATCTTGTCAAAAAATTGCAACTTTGATACATTCCTGAGCGTCGCGAATCCTTTACTTCGCGCTCCGCCGAAGTAATAACTACCCTGCGCAGGGTTTTCAATCTTTATTAAACAAACCAATTGCGCTATCCAGTGGATAGTGAGTTATCCGGTGGATAGCGTAATCCACCTTTTCAACAATTGGGGCCAGTACTTCACGTGAACTTAATTCATTGAATTTGATTCTACTCACAAGAAGCACGGCGTCTGAACCAATACGTTTTTAGTATCAACGCTAGCTTTGCTGTGCATTTGGTCTGTGATCCCTCTATTCTTTCCAACAGAAGCTCTTCCAAAACTGATTGTCTCAATTTTAGCAGCAAAACATTATGTGTGTGGGACGTATTGAGTGAGTATTTCGCTATTTTTTGCTCACATGCGTTTGCATTTTTCTACCAATTCAGGTATGCATGACAGAACTTACAAAAAATCCTCTTTAATGATACATTTACTCAGAAAAGTAGAAAATGAGCCTGTTAGTGGTAAAAAAAAAAATCAACACTTACTTACTGTTGTTATTTAGCAATTATTTGATGACGCTTAGTACGGTACTAAGAATTATGCAGTTCGAGGAGGCCCATACTGGTCTATTGTGCAAAATTGTGCAAAATAGCCTGTATTTTTGTGCAGGTCAAGAACGCGCGAGCGAGCACACGAAAGATCTGAAAACGCATGTGATGCTCGCGCGCTTCGCGCAAAGACCTCGTTCGACGGCAATAAGCCCTTTGCAGCTAGCTATTTATGTGGTGCAAAACCGCCTTGCTGGAAAGCAAAAGTCGCACTGGGACAAGCCAAACAAAGAAAATTACCATTTCAAGTTATGAATGTCTTTTGTTTGTCTTGTCCCTGTACGACTTTTGCTCTCTAGCGTGGCGGTTTTCTACCACGTTAATGGCTAGCTGCAAAGGGCCTATTCACGTCTCGCAAAGCAGATTGTGAAACAAACAAACAAACAAAACACAAGATTGTTTTGCAACCTTTTTTCTAAGAGTTTTTTTTAGAATAGTCAACTTTGTCCTATGATACTGTTTACTTTTCAGATGGACAATATTTTACCTATTACACGACTTTTCGGACCGGACATTTTTCAGAGCGTTGACAAAAAGCGTCAGAATGATAATGAACTAACTGCAACTCAATATTGCCTCTCCAATGGTTTCCAGTAAGTCGGTTTGCTGTCAAGCTGTTTCCTGACGAAACCCTTAAAACTGATGTTCTCTGCTCATTTTCAGATTCATTTGAAATTTTCTTTTGTAGTTTAATAAGCTTCTAGAAGTATTAAATAGGCAAGGATTTATTCAACCTTTAATATTTCGGCTTTCTATGTCTATGTGATAAAAAAGTTATTGTCTTTTACAACTAGTATTTAGAAACATTTAGTAATAAATTTCATGTAATAAAATAAGTGTCTATTTCAGGTTAATTACAGTCTGACATATCCTAATCGGGCTCAAATGAGATCACGTGATCTAACTTCATGTCTCGTTCTGTGACGGGAAGCTCATTGCAGAGTTGAGAACTAAACGCCAAACCTGCAAAAAATAGAACAACTGAGTGATCTTGAGCTATCATGTAGAATTCTACATTATTATATGGCTGAATCCGCGGGAAAAAATGAAGTGAAATCTGTATTCTGATTTGCTACCCGAGCGCGCAAGATGAGCCCATCTCGCCCACTCGGGATTACCTCTTTGGTCCCGAAGAAAAAAATTATCTTTTTGGCCTGGACATAAATCCTTTATGGACCAAGCTTGTTCAGTCAACATGTCTGGATATTGGCCTCCTTCCTTTTTGCGTTTCTAGTTTAACCTTCACTTCGTCTCGGTCAATAAAAACGCAAAAAATATAATTGGCCAATATCCGGCCATCTTGGCCTCACGCTTGGTCAATAACGCATGTCTTAAACTTTTAATATCAACATTCAGATTCTCTGCACTGTTTTCCAAATATTTCCTATTGTACTGATAACGTGAATTAGTTTAACAATTAGAACCTTTCTTAGTAAATGACCTTTGCGTTTGATTAGGTAGTGATAAGTTAAGGAGAAATGACATTATATCTTAGAGACCAGGTATGAAAACGGGTATGGATTTTAGAGGCCAGGTCTTAAAACGGGTGTGGAAAATGACATTTTTTGGTCTCAAATAGGGTCAGGATTTGGAGAACAGGGCGGCACACCCCCACCAAGAATAAGAGGATTAACCCCCCCTCGCCCTCCAGGTCACTCGTAAGGGTTAGAGGTCGTAGTATCAATATCCTAAGTAGTTAGCCTGGAAGTTAGCCAAGATGAATGCAATCATTTTAATAATGATAGTCTGTTGAAAGAGACTATCTTCCCTAAAATACTGTTTAATGCTACATTCACACGGCACCGGTAGTGGACCTGACGCTCAATATACTAATGTATTTATTGAGCTAGGGCTATTTCAAGAAAGCCATAGGTCACTCAAATGCAGTGGCCCCTAAATCCAGAAACCCTGAAAAAAAGACAATATACAGAAAACACAGCCTATTCCACAAACGTTCTTCAATTTGAATGAAGTGCAAGGCGAACATACTTTTCTAACGTTTTTTCTTTGTGTTGCGGAAGCTAGTAAGCAATGCTTTCGTATGAAGACTTTCTGGAAATCTTTTATTTTTTTCCTGGTTGGTTGGGCAATCTCGCGACTTGCTCGCTTGGTCACTGCGCGACTTCATTAGAAAGACTGCTCTCGATCGAGAACTTAAGAGAAGTCGACTTGAAGCAAGTCTATTTTGCACAATATGAGAACTTATGCAGATCTCGGAAGGTGTTATCCACCGAGGCCTGATAACACCCTCCGAAATCTGCAGAATTCTTCATTTCGTACAACGGCAGAATTCAATAATTTATTATTCCTGAAAATATTTCCAGGTTCAAAACATTCTTACCTCAACGTAGACTTCCTTCAAAACCTCTTTCTCGGCACTTTCAGCCTGATATAAACAAATGTTTATTTCCTGCAGATATTCCTCAATAAGGACTTATGAAATCTACCGAGCTGTATTTTTGTGTATTCCTGCGATCTTCTTTAGTCAGTAATTTGGCTTTTTCTTCTTTGCATAGCTGTAAACGCTTTAACTTCTTTATTGGGTTCAGCCTGGCCAAAACGGCTGAGTTGCCACGTTGCTTTCTTATGGGACGTCAGCTAAAGATAATTTTGGAATTATTTCATCATTGACGTCATGGCTGACGTCGATGCAGAGAGTAGAACACAAACTGCTAAAAATATTACGATACTACATACCAATTAAAAGAGGCTTCTTTTCACACTTTTCGATGCACTTCATAATATAAGTGTCGTAATATCCCTGCAAATGCCAACAATGAAATGTTATGAAACAAGACACGCCATTAGACTCTCATCTGTAAAATTTTAGTTGTAACTGAATGTTGACCACTAGTAGTGAACAAAATACGAAGACGATGAATTCGCAATCCTTCAGCCTCGTTCACAGGTATCCTTGGCGGGTTTAGCTCGCGTAGCAAGCATTTCGCGCGGAAACGATTGCTAAGCAAGCTAAGATAACTTCGGATGTGGCGTAACCTGTCTTCATCTAGTTGCCCCAGCTTCTGTTTCAAAACGAGGCTAAGAGCAAAGCCATTGATATAAATATGATTTTTAGTTCTCATGCAAAATGAAAATGAAATTCATTTCCACAAGAAAGGTTCTGCCCTTCGCCTTGTCTTGAAAGCAAGAATTTTTGGATCTCGGAAATGACCTTTGTTTCAAAAACTCTAATTCCACTGGAGAGAAACGAAGTAAATGAGAGTCATAAAATAACTGGAAATGACAGCTGGCCTATTCCTCTAGCACACTTGGTTCCAAGCCCCCTCCTTACATATGGCGAACTGGCCTAGTAACAAGGCTGAATATAGTATGTGCTTTTCGCCATAGCTCTCTCCTTTAGGGTTGTGACAGTGTAACATCGACCCAGGGGAGGTATTGTGTCCAGAAGTTTTAGTGAAAACAAGAGTTTGTTGGGGTTGCTCAGTCACGCGGGCTCACAAGATCTCCATTAGGTCGATCTTGTTTTGTATTTGCCCTCCTTTAGACGTGGAATCTTGCATCCTCTCCATTACATGACAAAGTTAACCTTTTTCACAAGTACAGAGTTCAATTTGTTCTAACTTAGGGTCAGTACATACCTTTCCTCGACCAAGACGTAGGCCTCCCTTCAATAGGAAAAAAAGCGAATAAGTTCTATGTGAATTCTCTTATCACTTGTAAAAGCATTAACGGGTTATATTGCATTTAATATCCATACCTCCTTCCGGTTAAGGACCTACCTTTTCTTCTCAACATTGAAGAATTTCATAAAACTGCACTCACCCCGCAAGACTTCCATAAAATATGGGTCTACGCCCCGAAAAATATGGGTTTAGCCCTGAAGAATATGGTGAAAAGTTTATTTGACTTCACTCCTGAAGATTTTGTTAAAAATTAAAGCTTCTACTCCAAGAATCCATATGCACTGCCCCTAAAGAAATCCTCAAGTTTTATAACTTACCAATGAAGAATTCCATGGGTCCTCAACCAGGAAGGGGGGTGCAGGTGTTTTAAAAATGCAATAGCCCAATATATACAAAACTCTTAATTACTGTTTACACAAGCCAACGAAACCACACCTTCCATAAGCAGCTACTCGCGATGCAAATTTACTTTATAAATGATGGGCAAGGTTCACCTCAATTAGTGACTCATCTAAATTTCTAGTAACCACCCATTTGCCTAGCTTATTAACCACATAAGAAGGGTAGATCATGAGTTTTTTATTGGGAAGGGCATAGAAATCAATACGAACTTCGCGTCAGTGTATAAGGAGTGGTGTGGGTGGGCTGCCTCTCTTTTTTCTTAGCAATAGTTTTACAGAAAATGAGATAATATAAAAAAAAATATATCAGTAGTAGTATAGTAGGCACCAAATTATCTGTTTTTTGCGCAAGAATCTCATTAACTTGCGTAGGAATACATTAATGCCGATGACATCATAGCCTTTTGTCTTTGTCTCATGAATAATAAAAATACACGCAGAAATCTCATCATCTTCTCTTTTTTGTATTTCCAATGCAATAGAAACAAAAGACCCACCATCCTTGACTGGTTTTGTAAATGTCTTGGTTTTCCATTGGTTGATTAGAAAATATGAAACGTTTTCATTGATTCATTCATAGTGTCTGAGGAATAAACTCAAACTTGCCTGTGACTTAAAATCACTGAGTCTTAACATGATTATGCAAGTTCTATTTCCTTCTGCTGTCATTGTCCTAGTTCCGGTTCAATGATTCTTGGCGCCCAAATTATTTATATTAATGAGAGCAACGGCAAACTAGCTTGTTTTAGAACGAAAGACATTGTTTTACTTACCCATCCCCTCCTGCTCCTCCACAATTTATTTCTTTCTCTTTTCATTCTCTTTTTATTTCTTTTTTCCTGTGCAAGTTAATGAGATTCCTGCCCAAAAAATGGATAATTCGGTGCCTACTGTACTACTATCAGGTAACAAAAAAGGAAACGTTGAACGTTTGATTTAGGCCCGAAAAAATACCAGCACTTTCGAGAAATGGGCCCCAGGTCGTGGTGTTTTTGCTGAGCAAAAGGTGGTCTAAAATGCCCAGTATTGCACAACTGGCTGAACTAGTATTAAAATATAAAATTCATAAACAAACGAATGGAAAGCAGGCTCTGGGATGAGATTCTGTCAGGCCAAACATGCTAGAGGAAGAGAGAGTGGCCATGTGCGCAAACCAGGAAGCACGAAGGAAGATGCACTGCCAGCTCCTAGTAAGCATATTTTGGGAATGTACCACTCTTCTTTCCTCTGAGGAGGCCTCTTTGTGTCACAAGGAGGCTGGCATACATTTTGATAAAAGAACAGTGCTTACTATGTTTAGAGCCTTGGCAAAAGTTAATAACTAACCTTTGTGAATCCAAGTCCAGGAACGATAATTAGATCAAGCCCCCCAGTTGATATTGCTTCTTCTCTTTCATCCTGTTCTGAAGAAGAAACCCACTTTATTATATAGATACTGATGAAATACCAGGATTTTTCCTTTTACTAAAAAATCATATCTTCATCGCGTGCAGTGAAGATACTATTTTTATCTTTCATGTGTGAGGATATTGGTGTCACCATGGTTACTAAGATGATTAGCCAATTACAAGAATTACAAGAGTTTCAAAAAGTTGTGTTTTTTGTAGGAATTTCATCAGAATCTGTAAAATAAACAGAACATTACATGGCCGCTTGGGGATAAGAGTTTTATCTTTTCTTGCTGAAAGTATCTCTCACTCGTTCGCTTCACTTCCTCATGAGAGATACTTTCAGCACTAGAAGATAAAATTCATATCCCTGCACGGCCATGTAATATCCTCTATGTATTTCACTTAAACTGTTCTTAGCCATGACAAATCTTTAAACTTGGAAAAGTTCATAGATGTTCTCTAAAGTGTTGCCTGATGTTCAATTTGGGCCTTAAGAGCTTAGTTGGATTTTAACCAGTGGCCAAAGTACTGAAATTCTTTACAAATACATAACAAGGCATTTCAAACTTTTCAAACAGATTTCCTTGCAGATTTGGTTGAGAGAATTTAATGACATCAAAACCTTTTCCCGTAGGTGATCATTCCATTAATTCTCATAATCTTTTGTCTTTTTTGCACTGATATTGTTAAGACAAAATTGATGTTGGTCACTCTTGAGACGTGACGCTGTGATCAACCATCTTTGGTGAAAAACTACTCTGTGAATCGTGACTGAAGTGCACTCTGTGAAACGTGAACTGCCAAAATCCTTGATTGTGTACATGTACACTAAGGATCAATTGAGGAAAATAAATCATTATTTTGGCCAAACAACCTTAACTATCATCTGGTGGCCTTTGATGTAACTTCAGGCCCGTAGCAAGCATAAAATGACTGGGGGCTGAGCGAGTGGCCCACATTAACTCCCCCCCCACCCCCACCCCCACTTCGGTCTCTCGGTTAAAGCATACTTCTTGGTACATGTCAGATCACTACATTAATGTCCACAATACCTTTTGTTCTTGTCTGTAAACGCACAAAAACCTAAGTTTTCCTCTAGTACAGTAGTATATTTTATGCTGGCAGACCTCTTAGGAAACCAATAAAGTTCAAGAGGTCAAGTTCAGGGATTGTCATTGGTGCATTTCGATCCATTTTGCTTCTGACTATTTTGATGCTTAATAAGCAGATATGTTAAAGCTGTTGGTTGTTTTTGGCAGAGAAGAACAAGAGTACGTAATCTTACTATGATCGACAATACTTTGAAACTTTAGCTTCCATTGAAAGCTGTCCATTTTAGTAGAAAAATTTCACTTTTGTAGCAGAATTTAATTCAAGTCTGAAAATTTCTGGGGGGGCTCGAGCCCCCCCCCCCTGCCCCCCCCCCTTCTACGGGCCTGAACTTCACACTTCAGTGCGCTCAGAGCCACCTTCAGCTGGCTTCCCTAGGAAATTTGTAGCTGCGCCCAGATCACCTGAACACGTGGTCGAGATCAAAGGTCAATAACACTATTAAATTTTTGTTTCCTGACTTGTGAAGCGCAAAATCGTCTTTCGTGAACTCGACACCCCCTTACCCCCCCTTAAAGAAGGAATTGAAGTTACTTATAACCTGATGGTTGTTTAATATTCCAGGCAGTGACTGGTAGAGACATCGTATCCTCCATGGAATTAAGTTTGACCATGTCCATATTAGGACCAATATACCGGGGAATGAAACAATCTCTGAAAATATATCAAACAAATGAAATAATAAAGAAAGTTGTCTGTAATGTCATTAATGCTTCACAAATTTCTCATCATTTCATTTACCTTTTTGTCTTGAAAATATCCTGCAATTAACAGGGAAAAGAGGACCAACATTAGCCATAATAACGGTAGTTATGCTATATTTAAAATAATTACCGTAGTTATTTCCTACTGTGAATTTCAAAACTACATTGAAAATCACCCAAGAAAAAACCCAAGGCAGTACTGTGGTCATATATGTGCTGTTCTGGAGGTAGAAATATCAACCAAAAATTTCTGTAGAGATGTATATTATTATTAACCTTCAGAATTCCCTCAGTCTGCACTTCAGAGGGCATGCTAAGATAAACAGAAATTCTCTTGCTTGACTTGTACTCTTCCATTCCAAGTAACTAAAGAAAAAAAAAATAAAAGATATGATTTCAAGGATATATAGACCAAAGAAAAAGTTAACAGCTACTCTAATGAAACTGTCTATTGACGGGTCCATATCTTTTCAATCTTTTCACTTTTGACAACTTCTAACTTCTTTGTTAAACCAGGTATGATATCAGGGGTGGATCCAGGATTTTTTTTTGGAGGGGGTGCACTCGTCTCTTGCTCTACTTCAACACCAATAAACCACATAGTTTTTTTTGCAGAATACCAGTTGTATCAGAACACTGCAGGTCATCTCAGGGGGCAGGGGGTGCGCACCCCCTGCACCCTCCCCCTAGATCTGCCCCTAGATATAAGGGACAAACAAAAAAAATACGCATCAATTTAGGTTTCTAGGAAACTGCCCACCTACCCATCCCCTAAGCTATCATTTTGCCCTAAGTGAGAAGTAAGTGTTAATGATAATTTAGGGGAGGGGTAGGTGGGCAGTTTCCCAGAAACCTACATTGCTCCAAAAATGCTTGCCATTATAGAGGCCCTGTTAGGTTCAAATTCTGACAAGTGACATGGCCTTGAAACAGCGACATAAACTGTGACACACCTGTCATCGGCCATCCCCTGGGGGGACCCCGAGGAGGGGGGGACTTTGTAAAGGATCCTGTGAAAGAGCTTTATCTCCCCCTCCTTGATGGGGGCACAGAGCAATCAAAGTTAAGAACTTGCCCCTCCCAGAGGGATATCATATTGAACAACATGAAACCACAGTAAACATGATGACTCAGCTTACCTAATCAGAAGAAGCATTTTACATAACAATTCTTGGTTTGCAACCACATGACAAGATGGCATGTTGGGGGTCCACACAACAGAATTTTTCTCGAAGAATTTATATGAAGATGGAGTTTAGTTCCCATGGGAGAGAAATGCACTTGTTCTTGACCACCAACATGGCCGTCATGACGTAATGTACAAACCAGCAATACCTGAGATTATGTGGTCTGCCACATTGTGAGTCCCCTCACCATGAGGAGAGAGGTAAGCCCGAGATCTTCTGGACAATTAGTCTATATATCCTTGATTTCAGACAACTTGAAATCGATCTAATTTCTTTCGACAAAGCTCCCAGTTTTTGGGGCAAGGATGTGGTAAACTTCCCCCACCTCGAGGGTAAAATGTTCTTTCAAATCCCCCTATAAGTCCCCATACAAAGCTGTATTTGCCCGGCGTCCCTCAAGGGGATGGTGGATGATAGGTGCATAGGAGACTAGATGAAATGGTGGCGAGGGATATAAAGATGGGTTGAATACGAAAGGAAACTGGCCAACTTTCTCCTACTTTTGTGCAGTTTCGCTGCCAGAGTTTGTATCGAAACAACTTGTAACAAAACATCTACGATCGAAACGACCAGTTTCCACCTTTCATGCAGCCTTGTAGCTAGCAGCTTGTTGAATAAATTGTGTGGTTCCAGAAAATATCCATACCCCCCCCACGGATGGTTCATGGAAATTCCTAGGGAGTGGGGGGGCTAAAGGGTAGAAATTTCCGAGGGGTACAGGGGGTGCCCACGAGAATAATTTTCCACAGGGTTGTAAAAGACGCGATCGATCATACGAGACATACTTAAGTATAAGTGGATTATTTTGATTTGTAGCACAACAAAAATTAGAAGTAGATGCCCTTTCGAGAAAAAAAACTTCAAGATGTTTGTCTCAAACGTCGATCGTCTTCTTTGCTGGGAGTTCGCTATCATCTCCGCTCTAACGATTTGTTCTAACGCTCTAACGGATTGCTCTTATGATCTAACGGTTGATTCTAAACAGCTAACGGTCGGTCCGTCCAACGTTTGACTTTGACGAAGTCTTTAAATAAATATCGTCCTTTGGGCAAATCGATCGCAATTCTCAACAGGTTACTTCTCCGGGAATAAATTCTGGCGCATCGATTAATAATAATTTCTTTATGTCGAACATGTATCTAGATTGTGGACTCGACTGCAGATAGTCTGACAAAAACTTACGCTAATCGAGAAACGTCGTCTAACTCGGCGATATATTTCTTGAGCTTTGTGTAAACAACTTTATGCAAATTTCTGTCGACATTCAGTGAGCTCGTCGCGACAAAGCGCTGCGTGACGACCCAAATGAGACCTTTGCTGTATTTTATTATTGACTTCTAATAGAGTACCGTTGAAGGCAAGCTGTTTGTCCAACAGACCTTTCGCCAAATCAACTTTTGCCCGAAAATAATAACGATCTGTTCCTTCTTTGTGGAGACGACTTTCGATCACGTGCTAGGCAACGAAATAGATCATGTTTCACTGATGTTCATTTCTGAACATGAATCGATGCAAATATGGGACGCAAAATGAATGTTTGCATATTTTGTTCTTTTATAACCCAGATAGGTTTTTTTGTAATTCCTGAGATTTGTTTAACTGCAAGTGTAATTTATTCAATCAAAGTTAAACGTAATTACAAACATCGAGAGATCGACTTCGTGGTGACTTTAGGACCCGAGGCCCAACAAACGATAAACTTTGTTGTAAGTTAGTTTTCTAGTAGATCCGTTTTGAAATTCGAATTTCTTCACATAGTTTAATGTTAAATCAATAGTTAACTTTGAAGTTATGCTGTAAATGTTGCATTTGAGATGAAACTGTCTTAGACAAGACGTGTACAGTGAAACTTAATTACAGTACCAGACATCAACTTTGTCTAACTTTGTCTGTAGGTAGATTCGTTTTGAAATTTGAAAATGTTCACATAGTTTTATTTCAATGAATAATTCGTATTTAAAGTTATCTTTTAAATGTTTTCTTGAGATGACATAAACTTATTAATCTCTGTTCTGCCTCGCGCGTTTCGCTGGAAGGACTAATTAAAGAAGAGAGACCGCTCATAGTGTATGAAGCGCGCTCTACCTACGTAAGAAATACATATTGTCTTGTAAAAGATTACAAATAGGTCAAAGATTATAAAAAAAAAGGTGTCTTAAGATGAGAACAATTAATTTTGAGCAGTGCACGGTCGATTATCTCTAAATATGGCAAATTAAGACCATGAAAAGGAAAATAGGAAATTCCTAGGGGTTGGGGGGGTTATACATGACCCCTCTGGAACGCAAATTCCGAGAGGGTGGGGGGGTCTAATCGGAAGAACCATCCGTGGGGAGGGGGGGGTATGGATATTTTCTGGAACCACACATTATAGGCCATTTTACAGTTATGGAAAGAAGTGAGGCTGAGGGTGACCTTGTTTTGATACAAACCTTCTCTGCTTTGTTATGGAAATTGTTCTTGAAAAATACTACTTAGTATAAGAATAACTTGATTTAAATAATAAAGCAGGAAGGTTTGTATCAAAACAAGGTCACCCTCAGCCTCGCTTCCATCCATAACTGTAAAATGGCCTTATACTTACCTTGTTCACGATTGATGCCGACTCTTTCAATTTGACATCATCGGACATTCCGGCAATTCTTTTCTTTAGTTCACGTCGTAACGCTTTCTTGGCCTCGTGAATTGCAACTTGTGCCATATTCTAATACAAGAAAACAAAAACGCTGAAATAGTGCGCAATTTCAATGTACGACTGCAATTTCGATCAGGCGTTCCAAAATCTTGCGTTCTCCTTGGACCCAATCTCCCGATCCCAGGCCTGCCACCGGCCAGAGAGATTTTTGGTCGAAGGATGCCTTTGATTCACTTGAAAGTTTTCACTCGTTGTTCATGGACATAATACATATAATTTCATGGAGTGCAACGTTGTCACAGTTTGGTCTTCTTTCCACAGGGATGTAAGTACGGATCATTAATTTTGTAAATATTTTGTTTGTAAACTGAGTAGAGAAAAAGAACGCTTCATCGCCGGCCAAGCGTCTAAATTAAATGCGGTCAAGTGGTCTTTTTCCCTTTTTTTCTGGGCTTGACTTTTGCTTATTTTATCTAGAAGTTGATTTCAATTAAGAACAGTTCAAGCGTGGAAAATCAAGAAATTTTGTAAAGGGTTTTTGGTTTTAATTTCGCGTTATCCTTGCATACCTAATTAAATAGTCTTTCCCCTCACAGGAAATGGCATAGTCAAATAACCAATTGTAATTTCAGTAATGATTTTATGTGTTTGAGGAATCATAACCTTGGTTTGCCCAGGCTTCACCAAGTCATCATATCATTTTGTCAGGCACAGGAATCATAACCCTGGTTTTTAAAGGCTTTATGAAATCATTTGAGGAATCATAACCTGTGTTGTCATAGCTAAGAATCATAACCACGATGTTGCAAGACTTATTAAATCATTTGAGGAATCATAACCCCCACTATCGCATTGTTAAAATCAAAGTATCACTCATTGTAGCTTGAGAGTATACTGTCAGTGGAATCATACCCCCCCCCTCCCCCAAATTAAAGAATTTCCCAAATCCTTTCATTCCAGATATGTGAATATACAGGAAATCATCACAATGATTTTTGCTTTTTGTTTATTTGGGTCTTAAAATTATGCTCAGATACATTTTTTTTTTTTTTTCAAACATTTCCCTTTTAATAACAATTTGAAAAATGCTTGGTGAACTGAAGTAACATAAGCAAAATTCCAGAGTCTCCCCCACAAATTGCACTGTGAAGTGTGCGGATCAAAAAATAATCCAATATGGAAAAATAACAATACACAAGGAATCAGTGTAGATAACAGCTGTCCGAGAAAACGTAAGTTTAATGGCGATGTTATATATACAAAACAATGTTGTCTGAATGTTAATAAAAGATAATCAAGTTCGTGTTTAAATTAATAAACATTAATAGACCAGTGAAATCCAATTAATAATGAACAAATATCAATAAACAATGTAAAATAACAAATTTGTTTTTTTTGCTGCAATGCGCCAAATTGCGCGATTGTGGCAATCCTTACTATTGTGTGACAATGTTTGCGTTAATTGATTTGACTCAAGTTGAAACATTTTTGGTCGACCAAAGGGGAGAAATTGCTCCTTCGAGAAGGGATTTTTTGACTAAATATACATGGAAGTGCAAAATCCAGAAGAACTTATGAAAGTGTTACACAAATGTACTTGATAATCCTTCTGCTAAAAAGCCAGTTGAATTCATTTGTTGAGCAAGCAATTATATCATGTCAGAATTAGAGAATTAAATAGGAGATCAAAACATATTCCCCACATCCTCTTTTTAGACTAGTGAAATCCAGTATTTACTCCTTAAGCCTGACAATATCAATAAACAAATTCTGTGAGACTGATCATGATATCCCATACATCTCATTATAGAAAATTTGATAGAGGATCAAAACTTATTCCCTTCGGAGATGACTATTTCTATGAAAGTTCTCAGAACCTTCTCTCTTGATGACATATTGATATTGCCAGTAGGAACTGATTGACGTTCAGGGTCACTATTAGGAATTGTAAGGTTCAATACTTATATACATGTATATTATAAGTTGTAACCACTTCTCTCCCAGAATGGCATGCAATTGTCAAAAGTATCTGACAAGATTTTTAAATTTCATTCTGTAAAGTGCTAAAAAAAAACAGATAGCGCCTAGAGTTATGCCAAAGAGGTTTCATTTGAATGGTCATACCACAGAATTTCATCAGCAGATTTTAAATCTAGTACAAGAGTCATTATTCATTCTGGGAATGAAGAGATAATTAATACATCATTCTGTTGTTGATCTACTGGTTTGTGTCAGTGACCTATACTAGCTGGAACACTACACTTTGTGTTTTAAATTTCACACAGCACAGTCTTTTAAAGACAACCAAAGAATAATTTAGACCGAACCTTTCAAATAAGATCCTTTAATGGACCAAAAATGTCTATAATTTTTAATATTGCCAGACCTGCCAACTCTCACAATTCTGGCTTCAAAGACTCTCATGATTTTTCACTTGTCTCATGGCCCCGCAACAAGACTCCCAATCTCATGTTTTTTGGGGGAGATATCTTTCTGAAACGAAATGTTACCTTGTTGAATATAAAACAGAAATTCTGTGGGATGCTAGTGCCAGTGTTTAACCTTAATGGGGCTTTGTAACATTTTAGCCACGAATTGGCAGGTCTGTATTGCTATCTCTTACACATGTAGCCTCACTTACACTGTCCTTAATCAGTAAAATCTCCCTGAAAGAGAAATGGTGATGAGTCAACAGCCATAGATAAACTATCCTCGGTCTCCACCAGTGAGGAGCGCAGTGCCCCAGCAGCCACCATGAGGTTGCTGCGTTCACTTGATGGGCCCAAAGATAACTTACCTATGCTTGTTTGAGGCTTTCTAGTTAATGCTAGCCTGCCCCTCTTTTGTTGTGCACGTAAGGCTGCATCAGCAGTAGATGTTGTACAGCACCTCAGAGGGGTCAGACTAGCTGATGGAGCCTTAGCTGCTGGCAGTGGAACATTCTCTTTTGCCAGCTCCATCAGGTCTTTGACAGACACTTGCTGACTGGGTGCCTTATTACCACTAAGAAGAGCCAGCAGGCGACTTCCCCTGCGTTGATTTTTCCTGGCTGTTTTCCTGCCTCTCTCCAAACTGATCTTGCGTTTCAGGAGAAGGTCAGGCGTGCATCCTCATCCTCAGAATCGTAAACTACCACTTCCTTTGCTTCCACTGGGGCAATCGTACTTCTCAGCTCCTTTATCTCTTCACTGCTCAACTCCTCCCTTTCCAATGCTTTCCTTACTTCCCTGTCTCTCTTTTCCTGGAAGTTAACATTTTGGTACATTTATGAGACATTGATTAATTGAAGCCATTGTGGAAAGAAAGGAACAGCAGTTTGTTAACAAATAATTATAATAGTTATAAATAATGATACAATAATAACAACTGGTCAGTGGCACTTCAGTAACTGTATAGCGAGGTTTTTCCAGAATCTATCCACATTCTTAGGATGTGTCCTTTGAAATGCATGGAATGTGACACCACAAAGGCCCTGGTCCATCTGATGTCAGTAATCACGTGAATTAATGCACATGCAAGTGATGCAACAATCATTAGTCAATTCAAAGCACACGTAGTGTACACAAGTACATGTGCTAGGCACTTTAATAAGCTTACATTTATTTATGTGAATTCATTCAAATTTAATTTCTCACTAATCCCTGCGTTAATTATCTTAATCTGCCAGCTGTAAACAACCAGGCAGTGGAGAATACATTAATCCTGTCCCTCACTTGTCCTGGCATGAACACCCTACCTCGATATCCCTCCATTCATTTTCCCTCATCTAAGCCATTTGAGTATGAAAGTAAAAAATATAGTATAATCCTACCATTGTTAGAGCGGTTCCTTTTGTTAAGAAACCGCTGTCTCCTTCTTTTTCTCCTTGTCTGCCTTAATTTGAGCTTGGTGTCTTTGACTCCTATAATATCTTTTAATCCTTTTTCCAATAATGCTTCTTGTTGGTAATGACACACCACTTGATGACATCATCTCTCTTACATACTCGACCATCTCAGTTCTCACAGAGTCTTGAACATCTGACCAAGGCACTGTTACGAATTTTAAATTATTGCCGTTAGCACAAATAGAATTTAAAACAGTCAATACACCCCACTCGAGTAACATCAACTGATAATAAATTAAATTTAATATATGGACAATACGTGTTCCCAACTTCAATTTTCAAACTAAACACATACAATACATCCGACTTCTTAACTAACATTTAAGATGCAAATATTCTTTCAGGATTCAATTATACATTTGATTTCCTCCCACTATATCTACCGGTAATAAATTATAGGAAGAATAAGGTTGTCTAATTATACCTTCTCCTGGATTAATTTGATCCTTGAATTCAAATTCAAATGCATCTCGTATAATGTCCTGTGAAATACTTCAACAAGAGCATATCTGTTGAATTATAATTAAGTCAACATGTAATATGGAAGGGTCTCACTGTCTTACAAATCTCAGCCACATAATTTAATATATGTTGTGCTCATTATAAGTGGAAGGAAATATCACTGAGTCAATTAAATGGTTAATATATTTTTTTTGCGATATGTGGATCTATAGGTAGATTATGTTTTCCCTATTATTCAGATTTGCCTCAAAACCCAATATATGAAATAAAAATGCACCTTGTTCATCTTTTTTATTATTATTTTTGAAGCAATTAGGGTAGTAGTTTTTATGGTTTCATTACATTTTATAATGATATGAATATAAGATATTATATTAACCCTCGGACATACAAGCAAATTCATACCCCCACCATGGTACAAGGGGGGGGGGGGACTGGGTGGATGGAACCCATCCCCAGAGTTTTTGATACGTTGCAGTATTTTGTAACGATATTTTACCTTTGGTGGAAAGCCTTTCATCTTCTCTACAAGATGAGGTATATTTTATGGGTGGTGGTGCTGCTGGGGGCCTGTGACGTCACCAACAATGGTTGCCATCTTGGTTGCAATCTTGGATTTTACCAAGGATTAGAAATCAGGTTAAAATCGTGAGAAATGGTGATTTTTTTGTGCTTCAGATGAAAAATAACACACAATTAAGCACTTTGTATGATTTTGGCCACAAGATTTAGTTATTTTTGAAAAAGTTGGAAAAAAAATGTACTTTCACTCAAAAATGGCTTGACCACCTCTTACTTGATGTCATATCTCGTAACCATAGAAATGGACCATGACCAAAAAATTAAACTTGACTCAAAATATGTGCGAGGGATGAACGAATAGCTACTGAAAAGATCCTCTGGGAGAAAACCTTATGGGCAGGGGGGTGGCATCCAACTCCCCGCCGTTGTACGTCCGCGGGTTAATGAGTTTTATAGATTTATTTTGTCACAAATTATTGAATTATTTATTAATTGGATTTTTGTATGTAAATTTGAAAATGTGTATGTACTGTAGTTCTTTGTGTCCGGGGGCGGGGGTACTGCCATATATGTGCTATATAGGTATGTGCCGCTGTGAAGGGTATGGTTTTCAAGCAGTTTACTCTAGGATAGAGTATATAAATCAGAGCGTTTGGGTCTAGAATAGGGTATCATTTTTCAGGAAACTGAGCAGTTGGTTGAAGATTTTATCTAGACTAGGTAAACAGCTACTCTAGGATAGGGGGATTTGGGGAGTTTACTCTAGTATAGGGTAGCAAAATTCAGCTGAACTAGCTCTGGTATAGGTTAAGGGTTCCAGGGTCCCAGCAGCACATCCCCACCCAGAAATTCCTAAAGTACCCCCGGGTTTGTGTTATACAAGGTTTTCAGTTCATAACATTTATTAATCTATGAAATAATGACAGAAGGACTTCAGTTGCAGACTGTAGAGGACCGAACTTTGAACAAGTGATTTTAGTGCCCTACCCGGCTCCAAAAAGCGCTCAAATTTGTGCCCCAACTGAGTCAGATCAGTTACAGAGTTTATTTTTAAAAAGTAGCTCACAGGATATATTAAAAGTGGATTGGCCATACACTACATAGCGTGAAAATCAAGTAAAATGTCCCGTCGAAATATACGTCTGAAAGATGCAGCTGACGTCAACAAATGTCCTAGTATATAGTTTTTTCCCCCAAAAGCTAGCGTTTAAGTAAATTGTAACATTTGGCTTTTACTTACCAGTGGTACAACTTTTGACGGTGCAGGTGACTAGAGGAAAACAAAAGGAAGAATTTTTTGTCAATTAAGTGTTGTCATGAAACCACTTAATTAATTATCAAACAAACCCGCAACAAAAACAACACACTTAACTTACGTGACTTTTCGCAATTGCTTGCTCAACAAAGGAATTCAACTGGCTTCTAGCCGACGGATTATCGAGTAACACTTTCATAAGTTCTTCTGGGTTTTGCACTTCCATTTTCCGCCAAAATCCCCTTTGAAGGAGCAATTTCTCTCCTTGCGTCCACCGAAAAATTTCAACTTGCGTCAAATTAGCGCAAACATTGTCACGCAATAATAAAGCTCGCCACATTCGCGCAATTTGGCGCTATCTCGCGAAAAAGGAGCACCAAAATATCCAGCAGATCGTACATGTATGACAAACCCAAGAATTAAATACAGATTATTTAAGTTAGTTCAGAATGGCAGATTATCAGACGTGTTTCTGCCCTGAATGCCGAGGTTGCTTGCGCTCAAGACGGACTGTTTTCAGACATCGGAACCTTTATGGATTAGATCGGTACACGGAGAACATCAAATGCAGCGGGCAGCCATCTAAAAAAAGCCAAATTTTCCAATTTAAGGACATCAGAGATACCAGGTAAGTCTTTTCTTCTATTGATAGCACTTTGTCGATTTAAATACATATGTATGCCGCGTAAATCTTCAACTGGGAAAACTTACTGGGAGAAGCGGATTTGGGACTGGACTTGAGGAATTTGGAATTCAAAATCGCGGATTTGCAATCAAGGAATATGGACCATTCGGCAAAATAAGTCAAAAAAAGTTAATTTAATTGGAAAAAGTAAATGGATTTGATTGAATTACAACGGAATTTTTAACTTCACATGATGGTGCATTTCTATTTTTTTTTTGTATCTTATTTCTTCAAGATGCCGCTGGTCAGCCAGCTGGACATGACAACCCTCCCTCTATTGACATCAAATCTGGGTCATGTGAGGTGAATGTCACTAATGATGCTCACACTCTTACTGGTGAGTCACATCAAGAAGTACTTTTATTACAAGAAATGATTTTAGATTTTTCTAGAAAGTAGGTATGATAGAAGGGCTTGAATTCTCTTTTCCTGGACATTACTGTCAGTTGTCTTTGTGCTACTTTCAGCCCTGGATATAACACTAACTCTGGCTTCTGAAAGTCAGCAAATTGACTCCCCTAAATACGGGGAAGAGGAGGGAACTTCTCAGTTGTTTTAGCATAAGATACAGAGGCGGATCCAGGATTTTTTTTTAGGAGGGGTGCACTCGTCTCTTTCTCTACTTCAACACCAATAAACTACATAGTTTTTTTTGCAGAATACCAGTTGCATTAGAAAAACCAGGTCATCTCAGGGGTGGGGTGCACACCCTTCACCCCCCCTAGATCACCCCCGGAGATATATGTTACAAGTCAATCAAATTCAGCTGAAAAAATCTCAACCTAATATGATAGGTTGATTCTCAATTTCCTTTGTCTCCAAACCCTAATTCATGTGAATAATATTATTGGGGCTAGGAGACAAAGGAAACAGACAATATGTACCTAGATAGAAAAATTTAACCTGAACTTAATTTTGACATGTATTGTGTATACATGATCGTCAAAAGAAAAAAGAAAGTCAACTTCAAAAGAGGCACAGTTTATATATTTTTTTTCATCTTTGGTCTTATAATTATGTATAGCCCCATTGGGAAAATAGAGTTTCATCCCCACTTAATACTCTTTATGCTTCTGAGACAGCAGTCACCATAGTATTTAGTTTTTAATTCAGGAATAAACACACAAAAACATACCGACACTATTTCCAAAGCTTACATTTCAGCTTTATTTTTTTATAACAGTCATATACAACATTTTTTTATTACTTGCAAACTTAATCGAAAAACAATAACATTCAAGTTTGACTTGGTTATTTTAATGTTGCAATTAAGACCACTCAGTTTAATAATAATTAATTACTTATTAATATAATACATTATTACTCCTCCTCAAAATATGTTTTGTTTTCTACATTAAAAATAATGAAAACATAGACTCATTGCTTGAGAACATCTAATTGCCAGTATTCTTAGCAGCCACCTTAAATGTTGGATTTTGTTTGCTCCAGGTGAAGTTCAAGGATCTGTGATAGACATGACATGTAGCAATAATAACATCAGTGCTGAGGAAACTAAAATGCAAATTTATTCAGGTATATTTTTTATCAATACCTTTATCATGAATTTTACTGAATCAAAACAACCTTACCAGTATATAGTGAGATAAATCTTAAAAGCAATGCCTATAATCCTTGCTAGTAGGAGAATTCCGATGTAAAAGTGACAGGCCAGGTATTATTTTGGGTGCCTTGAATTAGCCAAGGATTTTTTGGGGGTATCTTAAACAACGTTATTGGCGTATGGTAGTGCTAGTGCCACACGTCTTCTTCTGTTGGTTTTGATTTAACCTCTTTCAATTATCCCTGTCAATTTAACTCTGGGGTACTCTATCCTGGTGGTCATTGGCTTTGTAGTTAATTGCATGGCTATGATTGGATCGTCTGTAAGGATCAGTTAATGAATTAACTACAGGCAACATAACCTTCAATCACACAGATGTTAATGGGAAGAGGTGACACCACTTTACTCATCTCATAGTGGGGTCCTCTTCCTTGGGAGGAATAATTCCCCATACTGATTACAATTTTAACTTTTTTCAGGTGAAGATGGACTTGCTGACTCTGAAGAAAGTGACAAGGAAGATCAAGGGATTGCTGTCTTAAAAGGTATAATTTTTACTTTCATGAAATCTGTATCAGTTTAGAATTGAAATCAAAGTAACCCTCAATTTGTTTGGTAGACTTTAATGAGCATACACAGGGTTGTCACTAAGATTTCAACTTGCCGGGTAAATACAACAAGTAGGCGGGGAATCAAATGGCCAGGGATTTCTTTTGGTTCTATTTTTCTTCTATTTTCCGATAAAAGTAGCCGGGGAAAATCCCCTGCCCCCGGCTCTTAATGACAACCCTGATACAGAACAGAGAATTAATACAGATGTTTAATGCACCTGTCCATGTAAAGCCTGAGGGGGGGAGGGGGGGTTGAGGAAGGGCATTGCATAAGGATTTGAATGTTTTCTGTTGGCCCTGGAGTTAAGCATTTGACTAATGTTCTTCTGGGGGGTGGGATATTTGAACCTTCCTTTTTTTACCAACGTGGCATGTGGAGATATTGACCACTAACTCAGACTTGTCAAGACCGATCACATGTGTTCCACTTCACGCATGTGCCGTACAGTCTGGAAATCAAGAATAATTATTAAACTTAAGACTTTTTAACCTTTTGTTGTTGTTCACAAAAGATCATAACATCACATTCTTATATCTTATATCCATGGGACAGGGCCATTAGTTGGAATTCTATAATTGAGATTAAACAACAATGTGCAGCTCCCCACCAACTTCACATTGATAGGTGCATAAGGGAACTATTAATAATTGTCTAGGAATTTAATATTAGGATGATCTGACTGATCAGCTGCCAGAGGACAACAACTTAATACTGTCTCATGTGTGATTGGTTGTGGATAATCAATTCAAAAGCTGACTGCAGCTAAATCTACATTAACATGTATTCAGCACTACAATGAGCTGCTTGTTTGTTCTCAGGGTTTCTGTCTATGAGAGAGACTTTTTAAATTCATTGTTTATTGCCAAATATATGTAACTTAAAAACTACAGTCTTTGAAGAATGCATGACTGTAAATACTAATATACTTCTGGTAATTCACACCTCTAGACACTATAGAACTATCAGACTGCAGCACTGAATCCAAGCAGACCAGAGGAAAGACATGATGGAAGGAGAAAGTGCTGCAGTAAATGGTGCAGACCAGTGCAAGGAGGAAGAGCTGAAAGAAGATGTCATGAAGACAAAAGAAGAGGGAAACTAATTCGCTGGATTTCGTTAATACTTTTACGTTTAAAACTATCATTTAATTTATCTAATGCTATTTTTTCTATGTTGCTAGATCTTATTTATTTCATTTTTGGGTAATCGTCACCCCTTATATATGCTTTTCCCGAAGTCAATCAGTGACCTTGAAACCATTGCCAATCTTAAGGTTCTCAACAAAACAATACTTTTTGCTGTTTGCCCCAACCCCAAATGCTCGTGTCTCTACCAGATGAATGATATTAGTTCTGAGAGGGATGGGGTTTTAAAGCCTCGCTTATGCAGGAACAAATTATATGGGAAAAGGTGTAATGCAGAACTTTCTTTTGAACTAAAAGCTTTCATTTGGAAAAACTAAAATGAATCCATATAAGACATATCCCTTTTAGCACCTTCTGAGTGGATAAAGACATTTTTTAATCTGGAAGAATTCTTAAATCTCATAAGAAACCGCCTGAACCATCAACAACTGATTATAGGGAAATATGGGATGGGCGTATTCTTCAGGAATATCTAATGGATCCTGATGACAACACAAAGCCTCTTCTGAAGGACAAAATGAATTTGGCACTTTTACTTTACCTAGATTTTTTCAATCCATTTCAACGAGCGGTTTATTCATGCGGAGCCCTGTACATGAGTGTCCTTAACATTCCAAAGAGTCAGCGTTTTAAAGCAAAGTGGTCAATGCTGATCGGTCTAATTCCAGGTCCATCTGAACCTGAGGGTCACATCAATACTTATTTGACCCCAATTGTAGACGACTTGATCATGTTATACAAAGGAATTCACGTTCAAGTACTTGGGCCTGAGGTCATCTTCACCCGTTCTCTACTTCTTCCAGTACTTGCAGACATACCAGCCTCAAGGAAGTTATCACAATACAAGAGTCACAAGGCCGATCTTCCATGTGATAAATGTATGTTTCGGGCAGTTCGAGAAAAGGGCACCAGAGGGGCAAGTGGCAAGATGAGTTTTTACACAAGCGAGAAATCACCAGCACGGACTGACAGTGAGGTACGAAAGGCAATGGGTATATATAGAAAGGCAACAACAAAAGCAAGTGCACTAGCAATGTCTCAAAAACAGGAGTAAAGTACAGTGAACTGGCTCGTCTGCCATACTTCAACATGGTTGAAAATTTCTTAATTGATCCCATGCACAGCATCTTGATGGGCCTTGTTTCAGACCTTGGGGAAGAACTTATAACTAATTCCAACAACTTGATGACAGGAGGAGAGAGACATCTTGGCAAACAGATTGAATGCTGTGAGGGTGCCCTACGATCTTGAAGGCTACCAAAGACAATGCTCGACAAAATGTCAGCGCGAGGGTTGAAAGCACAACAGTGGAAGAATTTCATTGTCACCTATGCAAGGGTCTGTTTATGGAATGTAGTACCAAACAGATTTTATGATGCCACAAAATGTCTCGCTGAGGCAGTTGAACTGCTTCTGAAAGACCCCATAACAAGGGATGAAGTAAACAATATCTCTTGTCTTCTTCACAAGCACCATGGACTGTATTCAAAAGTGTTTGGAAAATTTGAGGTAAGTGTTAATTATCACATGACTCTACACATCCCTGAGCTCATTCAGAATTGGGGACCTCCTACCAGCTGGTGGTGCTTTCCTTATGAAAGACACATTGGTCTGTTAGGAGATGTCAACACCAGTGGGAAAACTGTAGAAGAGGAGATTTTTAGAAACTTTGTCATGCAGCATTTAATTGATGTTGCAAAGTTACCACTACTTGACAAGGTAAGTGAAAATGATATTCCCTCTTCTTTAAAGCCACTTATGAAACACAAAGACAGTGAACATCTGGAAGAGGGAACAGAAGAATGGTCAGTTTTTCAAAGAATCCAAGCAGAACGTCTTTTCAGAGGGACAGAAAATATGTACATGGCACCCTCAAGAACATCTGTGACCAATTTGGACATCCAAATGACAGTTGAACAAGAGGACATAGACAAAATCGACCAAAAATGGCCTGTTAAGATGCTTCCTCCAATGAGGATCAAGCAAAGACCAAAGTTTGAATTTTACAATGAGCTGAAAGATTACATGTCAGACATCCATGAGGATTCATTTCTGTTTGTCGAGCCCCATATAGATACCTTTTGCGAGATGTATGGTAAATGGTTCCACCTTTTCATCCTCTTACAACAGAACTGACAGGGGCCAGACAGCTCTGATCTATTGTGTGGACAAATTAGACAAACCTGAAAGTAAAACTGAGGTTTCTCCTTACTTTGTTCAGGCACGTTATTTTTTACTGCACGAGTTCATTTGAAAGACTTGATGGGAGCTACTAGTATGCGAGTTCATCACCTTGGTTTTATTTTGCCAACAAGAACCATGATGCGGATAAACTCTCTGGACTTCCTGCAGTAAAGAACAGCTTTTATCATGGAGAGCACATCGTAAATGTTAGGCGGTTGATACGGAGAGTGACTTTGCTTCCAGTCAAAAAGAACTATCTTCTGGTAGCTAATCTGAGTCGATGACGAGAGTACAGCTGTATGCAAATCACTAAATAGCACAATAAGGAGACACTACTCATTTACATCATTTCTGTTTACTAACGAGCACTTCATACATGTACAATAATAGTTATTTTAATTCGCCCAAATTATACAGTTTGGAATAATATTATAGTTTGACAGTCTCAATATATTTGATTTAATGTTTGAAATTGTTTACCACTAACAACTATATACTTTAATTGCAGCAAAATATGTAATTGTAAAATAATATGAAATAAAACAATTGGACACTGCACCCATACTGACCCTGATCCTTCCACATACCTATGAAATTACTTGGAAAGCCTAAACAGGCATTGTTCATAAAAAGGACAGGAAAAAGGGTAAATTTTTTGCACTGTGATTACTATAGTGCATCATGAGAAAAGCTTGATTCCTGTGTTTTTTAAAGGTCTCTGTTTGTCACCTTTATTTGATAAACTTGAGTCTGGAAAGAGAAATAATAATTTTTGTTTTGGAAAAAGTCTGGAAAAAGTCTTGAATTTTGGATCCAAAACTCTGTGAAACATGCACTTTTAAAAGTAGACAAAAAGTCTGCAAACTGAAAAAAGTACCAAATGGGCAAAAAAACCCTTGAAAATACATTTGAATGAGCTGCCCAAAATTGTCAATGTGCATCCACTCTCATTGGGCTCTTCCTACACATGTGATGTCATCAGTTTACCATTAGACATTACCGTCTAACCTCTCCTTATAAACACCTCTATAATACGGACACGTCTCTATATATTACGGACAGTTCATATTTAAAAAGGTGGGGAATCGAAAAGTTAGAAAGTTCTTTGCATTTGGTTCCATTTTGCCTTGGTTTCCTACAAAAGTAACCAAGGATCATGCTCAAAAGTAAAATGCTTGCTCCTTGGCCACTGGTGGCAGCCCTGCCTAAAAAAAAAAATCAGTTGTTGGGTGTTCAGGCCTATATATAATTCTCGACTGATAGTCAATATCTATGACAAGTACAAAAAAGTAAAATAAGAGAACAAATTGTACTTAACATTTCAAAATTTCTGTGTTGTTTGATCAAGTCTGGATCTTAAAAACTCATTGTCACTTAAGTGCAACATTTTATTAAAGTTCAAGGCTGTGCTCTAAGGCTGTAACACCTAGGGTGCCCAGCATATGATTTGAATGAAAAAAGTAAGACTTTCAAGTTGCTTGAGAGCAAGAGTTATAGGAGCGGGGTGAATAGGCGAATGGATCGGCGGATTTTGAAAATATTTTTGCCCACATTTTGGATTCAAAGCGAGATTTTAACGGATTTCCGGATCCTGTAATTGCAGCGGATTGCGGATTCATCGACTTTTTAGGCCCGGATTTCGGACTTTGCGTGTAATAAAAATTTTTTTGCCCAGATTTCTGATTCAGGGCGAAATTTTAACAGCGGATTTGGCCAATAAATCATAACGGATTGGCGGATTTGCATACCCCTATTCAGCCCCCTCTTATAGGCACTAGGAGCCAATGGGCTCTGCTAGAGAACAGCTCTGATGAATTAAAATATTTGTGTTTCATTTTAATTTGGACCTGTTTGACCCCAGGGGTAATCCAGATTTCAAATAATGGGGATAATTGAATGGGGGCTAT